CTATACACCTTATAAGACAATTTAGGTGATGGCATGTTGTTTTTCTGCTATTGAACTGTTTTCTAATAATGTTGTGTTAAATAAAGTGAAGGAAGGAGAGAAATAACGTTTCCCTAGCAGTTTTTAAAAATTTCCCCATGTAATCCGATTAATCGATTAATCGTGTCGAGACCCCATCCGATTAATCGATTATCCAAATAATCGTTTGTTGCAGCCCTAAGTGTGAGAAGACGTTTCACCCTGTAAAGGGCCTGTATTTGTATAGCGTCTTCTTAAGGGTTCTACAACCCCCCAAGGCGCTTCACAACACAATGAGTCATCAACCCATTCACACACACAACCACATGCTGGTGGTGATGAACTGTAATGTAGCCACAGCTGCCCTGGGGTGTGCTGACGGAGGCGAGCCCTGCTGAACACAGGTGCCACCAGTCCCCCAGACCGCCACCAGCAGTCAAGGTGGGTTGAGTGTCTTGCCCAAGGACACAACAGCAGCATTCTCCGGTGGGAGTCGGGATCGAACCTGCAACCTTCCGATTACTGGACAACCCGCTCTACCTCCTGAGCTACAGCTGCATCTAACCTGTTACACTGCTTTTTTGAATGCTTGTGAATATTTTCTAATGCATTTTTAAAGTGACTTTAAAACGCTGTAACCATGTTCAGCGCAGTTTTGAAGTGCTGTGATTCGGATTTCATTTGAAGTGAAAACATTTTAGATCAAAGGTAGCTGTCCCTAGAAGAGAACACATTACTTGGAAACTCGTTGATCTGAACCTGCCGTTTTTTTTAATGGAAACAGGAAGGCAGCTGTGTCAGTGACGGCCGAGAGTGAGGAAATCTTCTTTTCTTTATTTCGTCTTTGTTAAACTTTCCTGTTCAACAGCTGTTTCGTGTAGCCACCGAGTCTTTCTTAAATCACTTATCAATAGAGGAAATTTGTATTGACAAGAGCCTGTCAGAACAGAACCTTTGTAGTTGTCAGTTATCTCAAAGGAAGGCCCCCTCAGACACCAACCGGATCGATCCGCACGCAAAAACACAATTGTGAGGCTCTTTTGGGGCCTGGATGTTGGTTCAGGAGGACGTGGGGCTGAAGAGGGCTGAGTGGATCGAAGATCTAAGAACTTCTTCATGGGGTGAATCGATAGGGCCCGCTGGCCTTTGACCTGAGGGAGACGGGGAGAATGGTAACAGCGGGTCAGTTGGTTTTCCTTAAGCCCCTGTGAGTGCCAGGATCACGCTGTGAAGCCTGACACTGGCTGTGACACACTCAGGGCTTAGAAAGACATTGACCTGGCTGCAAACACACCAAGTTAACACAACAAAGCTCTGGTTCACAGAATTTAATTGGAAAATAATTTTATGACAGCCAGAGGCAAATTCAGACCAGATCCATTGATCTGATTTGATTGACCCTAAAGAGAAGATGCTGTCCAAATCTCTCTTTTATACAACCTGGAGCCTCGTTAACCTCCATTTATCTTGCTATGATCTGTTGAACAGCCCCCAGGAGCAGCGACACCAGCAGATCAATACGAGACACTGAGTAAAGATCAGTATCCTAATTGGGCATGAGGACGACGTGTTAAAGATGGACAGAGAGGTACAGACTGCTGGGTGAGAACTTCGGGGTCACGGGAGCCCAAAGTAGGGTGCAGGAATGAGTTCAGCTCTGACTGAAGGGAAATTCACTGCCACATGAGGCTGCTAAATAAAAAAATAATGTATTTGTTAAACTTTGCCGGAATAAATTAAATGACACATAATATAAAGCAACAGGCAACAACAGAGTCCAATAATTAAACCTTTCTGTTGTGAACTATGTTTGTTTAAGCCAGATGGAATTTCTATCCATCCATCCATTCCATATCTTTTCCTGTTCAGGGAACAAGGAGCTGGTGCTCCAGGAGCAGGGCAGGCGAGGAAACCAGACCTAAAATCTGTAAAACAAAGCTACTGAACGTAAATAAACCTAAACACTGTAGAAATAAGACGAAGGAGAAACTAAAGATAAATAAACTAATGACCTAAGAGTTACAGACTAATACACTGGAAGGCAGGAGAGGATAATACTTAAATGGGGAAGGAACACAATACACTAAAGGGAGATATGAACTAGATCATCTAAAATGACAGAAAACTAATGATAAGTGAAGTGACTAGGGGGAACAAGAGGGAAACCTGGAGAAGCTGGGGACCAAAAGGGGGCACAGAAGATAAGGGGACACATGAGGGGAACCTGGGGAGGACTGGGGACCACGAGGACACAGAACATGACAGATTGAGAGTGCCCCATTTGCTGCCAGTGGGCCAGTCACAACGATCAGCCACAGACCTGCAAACTACCCTCACAATCACCATTTTTTCAATTTGACTTTGTGGGCTGCATGGTGGTGCAGTGGTTAGCACTGTTGCCTCGCAGCACGAAGGTTGCAGGTTCAAAACTCGGCTGCGGCCTTTCTGCGTGGAGTTGCGTGTTCTCCCCATGCATGCGTGGGTTTCCTCCGGGTACTCCGGTTTCCCCCACACATCACAACATGCCCTATAGGTTATAAATTGTAAGTCGCTTTGGATAAAAGCGTCTGCTTAATAAATAAACGTAAACATAATCAACTATGTGCACCAGGCTATATAAGGGTGTAAGAAAACATCAATACACTGACGTATCATGTTTTGTGTTACGGAATGAAACTTAAAAGCAGAGTATCGAGTTTTTTATGACAGTTTACTTGTAAATACTTACTGTATTTCTTTTGTGCAGAGCAATTCAAAGTTTGACTACTAAGTGGCAGCAGTTGTCCACCTTTCTGACAGAACAAGATCACATGACATGAATGGATCTGTCTTGGAAGCGTCTGGTTTCCCAAATCAATCCTAAAGATTGCAAATATGGTCTAACTTTTAGTATCAGCATACTGTATCGTCTCTGCTGTATTGTGATAAATATAATGCTCTGTCTTGTCAAAGCCCAGGTGAGTCGTAGCAGTTCCGATCCAGTTCTGCTGGAGATTTCCTCTCCACTGTTGCTACATGCTTGCTTGGTATGAAGATTGCTGTAGTCTCTGACACAACAGGCAGAGTTAATTTTGACAGGAAATTTTAATTTAGTTTTAGTCTTTTGTCTAAATTTTTTTTAATTTTAGTCACAATTTAGTTGTCCAATTTGTTTTAATTTTAGTCAACAAAAAAGTTTATTTTTTCATCTGATGCAATTATTTTCAACTTCTGTTTAAGAAATGTTAACCATACCTATTTGAAACTGTAAAGCATGATGAAAATTTCACATTTCACACTTTGGATCAATAACATTCTATTATTTATTACTGTTTTTATAATAATTATTGGAAAATACCAGCATGCACTTTAACAGCTTGAAATTGTTTATTAATAAAAAATCTGCATAATATGCAGTCATATTTGCAAACATGACAGGAAATTACATCATACCATCACACATTAAAAGGTGTTACTCTAATAATGCAAGGAGGTAAACTAAAAGTAAGAATTGCTTTCAGGCGTAGTCATTAGTTTTTCCTGCAGTTTACTACGGTGGGCAGAGAAACTACTAAATCATGCAGGACCAGGATCTGACACTGCTCTTCATAATCTACCACCAAATCTTCATAATCCAAACCTGAAAGGTTAAGTAACTTGTTGCAGTCATGAATTTCTGACTAGTTTGTTAGTTTAGGCTGCTAACTGATAGATTTGTTTGCTTGCTGCAGCTCTCTGAGATGATGCATCTCTTCATCTCTTAGCATAAGGTCCTTGAGGAGCCGCGGCACCCAGCTACCCCCTCATGACCCCCCTTGTTAAAGGTGATCACGGGGAGAGAGACAGAGAGGCTCTGATCGAATTTGATAATGAAGACGAGCCCTCTAAGCAGCTTTGCTCCACATGTTCAAAATCTCTGGAACACTCTGCGGACACTAGGAAGCCCCCCTCTGACACTGCAACATTGTGTAGGTATTGATCCCTGCTAACTGGCTCTTTTAATACCTGGGGCCGTGGCCCGGCCTGGGGAAATGCATACTGACATGTGACGGGAGGAGCTTAATAGGCAAACACGCTGAAAGAAAAGATGGGCCTCACAGTTTAGCATTTCTCTCCTGTTTCTTTCTCTTTTCCCCCAATTTACACATCTGCTGAGGAGAGAACTTACTCTCTCTGCACCTGCTGCTAAAGGAGCACACAGGCTGCCAGAGGCAGCTGCCACACTGTCACAAACTATTTGTGCAAAAGTGCTCAGAGACGTTTTCACTGAACTCAAAAATGCACAAAGAATAAACGTGTTTGACGTTCACAACAAAAGTTTTATTTCAGTTAAAAGTACTTTAGTCAGCTAAATGTTGGAGTTTGTGCTTTACAGGTAAACACGTCTGCAGAATCTTTAAAGAACTTAATGTTTACTGTAGGAATTCATTTACATTAGTGAGATAAGTTATTTTTGACAAATGTTTTTCTTTGCACCATGGCAGGTTGTTTAAAAGATTTCCACATAAAAGGCCCTTAAACCGACTGGATCCAGCTTTGTGTTTAAATGTAACAAATACCCAATTAAAGAAATGATTTCAAATCAGAACAATTGGTACTTTATAAAAGTGTCACAAAATGAGAATACTTGTTTATTTGCATGAATAAAAGTACAAAAGATGACACAGATCAACACGTATGAAGACATTACTCAGCAGCCTACAACATGTTATAGCTCTTTTTCCCATTTTTAATACCATGTGGATCTGCTGCGTGTTTTTATGATTTTTAACTGTTTTTGTTCAGTGTTAAAGCTGTATTTTATTTTTTAAGCTGAACTAACAGATTGTTGCAGTAAAAACTTAGTTGAACCATCTGCTTGCCAGCTGTGTTCATTCCTACAGATCAAACATGGCAACTAGAGGCCCGTTTTAACTACAAAAGTCAGTTTGTGGTCTCGTATTCCATCCTGATGGAGGTGTGCGTGACACGAGTGTTACAACGGAACAATAAACAGCGCTACATTTTCTTTTAGCTAACACTTTTTAATAGAAAAGGATAAACAACCAAAGATTTAACAAATACAAAGGAAGTGTTTACAGGCACATTTACAGCTCTGGGTGTATTTTTCAGTCACTGTCAACATAAAACAGCAAAGTTGGCTGATTATTGTGTTAACCAAAAACCCAGATTTATATTAACAATATATTTTCTGTTCTAAAGCGGAGTAACATATCTGTTATCACACAGATTCCTGTTTTCTATCACGCACTGCACATGACACAGGAACAGCGGCTACGCATCGGTTTCCCTGTGGGATTACTCGCGTAGCCGTTAGATCCCATAACTAAACTAGACCAGAGGCTGTGCGTTTCCTCTGAATGTCTTTTCAAACCATCTTACAAAATTGGCAAGAGCCTCCACATCGGTGGCCATAAACTAGGTGCAAGTGAAAAACATGTGTGTGTTTCCACAGCTTTTGTCAACAGACTAAGACGTCAATGCACTTGGATGCAACTAGGTAGTAGTAGTAGTACATTATTTTAATGATTATTAGAAGTAAAATTATCACAACACACACGAGGTACTCAAATTTGGGCCCTGTACAACAAGAGCATTTTAAATATAGTGCAAGTGATGCTGGAGGTCGTCAGCATGAACCTGTAATTACACTGGACTGTTCAGTAGACAATGCCCCGGCTTTTCAAGTTCTTCCACAAAAATGTTTTATTCATGAACAAGTGTAAGGCTTTAAAGAAAAACACTGCTCAAATTAACAAAAGCTTTTAGCTAGCAAACTTTAGAAATGAAGCTAATGAAAACAATGGTTTAGATTCCTATTGCTTTGAAGGCAACACGAGATTTCTAATTGTTCTAAACCCTGTTCCTCCGCCCAGAAAATGTCCTAAACTGTCTTACGCACTTCCAGAACTCAGGCCTCTCTCTGAAACCTAGATGAAGGCAGGATGCTATGTGCTGATGAAGGGTCAGAGGTCACCTTTTGACCTTTGCATCCTCCTTGATCTTCCATATCATCAGCTCCATGCAGGCAGATGCATCTTCGCTCGAGTCGTGGCCCTCCACTAGAAACAGAAGGACGACGTGTGTCAGAACTAAATTCTTCTTCAGTTTCAGCAGGAAACACTGTTGCTACAGATCCAGATCTGTTGTCCGGGCAGCCCGGACATTAGACGAGTGTGAATGAAGCAGTCGTGACAAACGTGACCACATTATTAGTGAAAATTAATTCAGACTTCAGAGATGTCAGATAAAACCAAATGGCTGTTTGAATAATGTTTATCACGTCATTTATAAAAGTTAATATTTCAGATTAATCCAAAGGGGAACCTTTCACAGCAGTGACACCTGCTGGTGGCTCACGGGCATTGCAGCCAAATAGAAGTCCTTTATTGCACAGACCTAGCCTGGCAACCCATCCTATTTATGTTATAATAAAGGACAACCTGCAGAGCAAAGTCTTCCTGTTACTCCGGCGGTTGGTCCAGACTTCTAGGCTGACACAAATCTTCAGCCACGAGGAAGACTAAACATATCTGAAACAAAGTGTTTGTCAGCTTAAATGTAACTGGAAAGGACTTTCGTTGAAAACTTGGCCATGGCTGGACAAGGAAAGCAGTTGTCCTTTGACTGGAAGGTGAGCAGCCGTGTGTCATAGCTGGGAAACATATTGCACCCTGAAAGTTGCTCCACTGGTTCTGTACAAACGGCAGCCCACTGCTCCTCAGGGATGGGTCAAATTCAGAGAAATTAATTTCTCAAAAGGGATCGGTAAAGTTATAAATGATGAATCATTATTATGAAGTTTCACTCATGAATAAGGGCTGTTTCTGGACGTTTACCCAAAAACAAAAGTTCCCAATTTATTAAAAGCATTTCCAAGTTCATTCTAATAATTCTGTTGAATAATTCTTCTAAGTTTAGCTCATGAATATATTTACTTATAAATAAATAAGCCAAAACAACAACAAATGTCACCAAACACATCAGATTATGATTAAAAACTCGATGATTATTGTATCTGGATCTTCCTCACCGTTGTCCTGGATGATGCGTTTGAGGTAATCAGCCATCAGATTCTTCAAGGCACGTTTGTAGGGCAGACCAAGGCGGTGCGGAAACACGATCGCCGTGTCTACGACGGAGCTGTGAAGAAGCTGCAATCAAAATAAAGTGTGTCAGCACGCTCCGCATGTAGGCCGATTTTTATCTGGTTTTAGGTTCCAGGTGAAACGTGTAGAAGCGTGTCTTTCAAACCAGGAAGTGTTCTCACTCACGAATAAGTTTAAGTTCATATCAGTTCACATCAGTTTCTGTTTATGAGCCGAAGCTCTTCTTCTGATTTGTTGATGGAAAAAAAAACAGGAAATAAAAGTTTAAATGAGATGATTTATGTGAAGCTGACTTCTGTACAATACTAAGTAAACTGAGTAATAATAAATTTGCATTATTGCATAAGCAGCATTAAAGAGGTGTTAGAAATTATTCATTACACATAAACACACAAAAAAACACCACGAATCTCATAATTAGTCAATAACTGAGTCAATCCCAACCATAGAATGTTCAGTAGGAACTGGTCGGGGCTCATTTTAGTCAGATCTGTGTATTTAGTCATCAGGTAGGCCGTAGCCGAGCAGCTCCCACCTTGAGAGCGAGGAGGTCACTCTCCAAACTGTGTCCGATGAGGATGGATTCAGCCCTGAACATGCTGAGCAGCACAGCCTGGACGTCCCTCAGAGTGATGGTGGCACTCTCCAAGTCCTCCTCAGTGACACCTGAGAATCTGCCCAACAAAAACAAGCTTTTCACAGCTGATTCAAACGCTGAAGCACACCAACGTGTCTCCGTCCGGCACTCACCGTGTGTTGTAGTCCACCACTTTGCTCTCAGGCTTGACAAACGTGTCGTAGATGACCTTCATCTCCGAGTTGATGACCGTCACCCTGGTCAGCTCCAGACCCTGCTTGGTGTAGCACTGTTTCCGCATGAGACGAAGAGGTCACGGCCAGCTTAAGGGTCACATATCTGAGTGTTTTAAAACGTCGCTCGGACTCACCATCTCACAGTCCAGAGCAAACACCCCCCCGTTTCCGTCCGGCGGGAGCGGTTTGCTGAACGTTGACACGAACCCATCAAGTGACTCTTTCCGATTGTCCTGAACATGTTGCTGAGGAAATATTACATGTTAATGTAATATGTTAAATACATTTTCTTATTCTGTTGTGTTTTATTTACATTTTAATCTGAAATCATAAGAAGGAAACTGACCGATGAGGATTTTCATTGGAAATTTGATCTTTTAATAAGCATCATATCTCATTAAATATCTAATCGATTTATTTTGTTATAAATGACATTAAAAGTTGATTCTTCTTTAAAATAAAATATTTGTAACTTTTTTGTGCTTTAATATTTTATTTCTATTTTCCATCCAATAATTTTTGGTTGCTTATCCAGAGTCGGGTTGCGGGGGCAGCAGCCGAAGCAAAAATACCCAGACTTCCCTCTCCCCTGCCACTTGGGCTAGCTCCTCCGGGAGAATCCGAAGGTGTTCCTTGACCAGCCGTCCCTCCAACACGTCCTGGGTCTTCCTTCAGGTCTCCTCCTGGTTGGACGTGCCCGAAAAACCTCACCAGGGAGGCGTCCAGGAGGCATCCTAACTAGATGCCCAAGCCACCATAATTGAGGAGCAGCGGATCTACTCTGAGCCCCTCCCGGATGACCGAGCATCTCACCCTATCTCTAAGATAGAGCCCAGCCACCCTGGGGAGAAACCTCATTTCGGCCGCTTGTATCCGAGATCTCGTTCTTTTGGCCACTACCCAAAGCTCATGACCATAGGTGAGGGTAGGAATTAGGGATGGACAATATATCGGCATCAATATCGGTATCGGCCAATGTTAGCCATTTTTTTTAAAACATATCGGTATCGGTTTGAGAAATGAAACAAACAATATATTTTCCATCTCCTCTCCATTTGTTTGCCTGTTTCGGGGGGGGGGGGGGGGGGGGGGGGGTGATTGTATAGTCATGTGAACAGTTATTGAAATCATCACAGAACTGTAAATGTGTGTGGTGTGTGTACATAATAATGTAAGTTCAGCTTTAATAATTTTCATTCTATGTAAAATTAGCTGATTTTAGAAGCATTCATGCCAGTATATTGGTATCGGCAAATATCGGTTATCAGTGATCTCAATATCGGATATCGGCCCAAAAATTTCATATCGGTACATCACCAGTAGGAATGTAGATCAATTTCATTTGTTTTCAAAACGCTTTAATAATCTTTTAATTTTCTGATCTGATTTCCTCTAAGTTTGCTTTTAGCTTTGTAAAAGATGCTGAACTGTATCCCTGACTGAAACACGATAAATAAACAAAACGGAGTTAATTACTATAAAAACTACAGTAAACTATTCTGTAAGGCGTTCTGATGATACCTTGGCACTCTGGCATCCTGGAGCTCCTACAGCTGAAGCACAGCAGCTGTAATTCGTCTCCCAGCCTCCAGCAACTGACACAGACAAGAAAATCATGCAGGATGAGGAAACGACTCATTTAGATGAACGAAGGACTAAAACACTGTAAACATTATCATAGGATTCACCTTTATGTCTTCGTAGACGTCCCCAGTGATAACAACACTCCTCTTTGCGCACACAGCTGCCGTTCACGCTGATCCTGTACTCAGCACCACAGCGGCAGCATATCTTGGTAAAAGCTGAAAGGAAGTCTCAGACTTTTAGCTCAAACATAAACTAACTGGTTCCATATCTGCGCTGATATAAACTGCATTGTGTGTTTAGAAGAGCGCAGTAATACTCACGGTCTGGGACGACCTTTTTCTCTGGTAGGTTGTGAATGATGGCCCTCCCAGAAACCTCGGGGTCTGACCGTGGGTATCCGTGCTCCTGGAGCTGCTCCTCAGTCATCAGGTACGACTTCAGCTTCCTGTACAGAACAACTCCTACAGGAAGACAGAAACATCTAAGTAATGTAGAAACACAGGATGATAAATGTGACTCTGATAATCCCAAATACTAAAAAAAAAAAAAAAACGTGTAGGAGCATCTTGTTTATCGATGGTTACTTTAAATGCTTTTATGCGTTTTTTTGCTTTGTCCTTCTTTAACGTTGGTATCACACCTCTACTGTCAGATCTCATCACCATGGTAACTGGCAAAACAGAGGTGATAACCCCAGCTGTCCTTGTAGATTTATCAAAAAACATAGAACAAGAACATAAAGTCCATTTGTGGGAGCAGATGGTGTGTTTTTACGCAGCATATGCAAGGGTGACGTAATAATGACAAATCCGGGTTTTTAATATTATGAGACAAAAAAAATCTGATTTTATGTAAGAGACCCAGGAATAAAGTGGCCATCACCTCCATGTCTGAGCTTTTCTCTGCATAAGATAAGGATGTCTAAAAAAAGAGATGTGAAATAAAAATGTTATTTATTTTTTATAACTAGAAATTGTTTTTTGAATGGTCAAAAATCAGATAAGAAACTTTAGCGAATATGGCTTAAAATCTGCTGTGAACAGTTTTCACCGTTAATATTTTTTTTGCACTATGCTTGTGAGCATGGACCCTGCGGCGCCCAGTCATGAGGCGGGTCGTAGGCGAGGCGGTGAACGGGACCAGGAGGTCATCACTTGGCCGTTTCTAAAACTTCCTCGACTAACTAAAAACTGTTCACAGGTCTCAACGTAACACAAAGATTATTTTGGATTTTATTTTCCTTTTTGCACCTTGACTTGTTGACGTAATCAGGGTTGAATCTGTATTTCCGGTGTCGATGCAGGATCGGCTTGGGGTCCTTCGACTGCCGATGACGTCACATTACTGCACATCTACTCGGCTTTCACACACACGTTTTGGAAAGACATCAGCAGTTTTGTTAATAAATTCTTGTTTGTTAACACCTAAATGTTTTCTTTATAATTGTAATTTGTTAATAAAACACCATATTATCTTTGTTTTGTAAAGAATGTGAAACTGCATAAAAACAACATCGGACTGACAAAATATAGAACAGTTCTTATATGTGAAGCCATATCTGTTTGTATTAATGTGGAGCTCGTCTGTATATTTCCTTAGTTGTTATCTAAATACATTCTTTGACTCAAAATATTGCTTGGTGTCTTTCAATAAAGTTCTTAGATTTTATTTTGCTCCATTTCATCAACATCAAGAGCTTTTGAGGGTCACCGTTTATCATTTGCTTATATTTTACATTTCCTTTAGAAATTCAAACATGTTTTCTCCAAAAAGTGTTGATTTTTGGACTACAGCACCACAACCGCTAAGACTACGACCGCAAATTTGTTCTGACCAATCAAAATCATAACGTGATAACGTCACTTCCGTAAGCTTCATGTTCAGCCAATCAACTACTTTGACGTCATCGGCAGTCGAAGGACCCCGAGCCGATCCTGCACCGACACCGGCTGCAGGAGAATGCATGTAGAGAAAATTAAAATAAAGAATGATTGGTGGAAGTAAAGCAATCATGTGATCGTGAATAACAACAGAGATATCCTGCTTCTTACGAGGCATAGGCCGATATATCGGGCCAATATTTACAGATTTTTTTATACATCGGCCGATTTGGGTCCTTAGTGAAGCTGATTTAAAGTCAGGCACATCCAGGGGCAGTCCAGTGCTATTGCAGAATTTACTTGAAATGTATTTTTATGTTCGCTGATAACATCCGCACAATAAAAACTCTAAATTTACTTTATTTGGGTGTCTGACTTTAACACTGAGCAGTGCACAAAGTTAACATTTAACAGTTAGTTAAATTCAGAGTTCAAAAACTGATGTCATTAGAGGCATTTTAGCATTAAATCAGGTGGAGAACGTTTAGATATCAGCCATAAAAATCAGCACATATCAGGCATCGTGTCTCCTACATATCAGCAATAGAAAAACCAATATCGGTCGACCTCTGCTCATTACCCAGGGTTTCCGCTACAATGTAAATACGAGACATATATAGTCTATATTTGCGCATGTATACTAATCATAATCACAGTTTAAAACGAATTGAAATATAACGAAACTTAAAAATGTATTTTACTTTGAAAAACCGGTACAACAGGTGTTACGTCGATATGTGTTCCCCCCTCGAGATCTGTTTCTTTTGCACTCAGCTGTGAGTTAGAACCATCCACTCTCAAAAAAATGTGCGTCCTAACCCTTACCCCAACCCTTACCCTAACCAGAACCCTGAAACAAACATAAAAATTGTGCTACACTTAATATTTTCAAAAATTATATTCATGCAAAACATGAATTTCTGGTGCCAGGGTGGTTATAGTTAGGGTGAGGGTGAGGGTTATGTTTTTGTGATAGGGTCATTTCCACTTGCAGCTGGGTGCAAAAGAAACAGATCTCGAGGGGGGAACACATATCGACATAACACCTGTTTTTTGATGTGTGCGAAAGAGCCAAACGCGCATCACGCACAGGACGCAGGGCAACGAGTGACCAGAGGGGCACAGGGCAGTCAGGTTTATGAAAAAAAAACTCAGATTATATTAATTATAGTGTCAGCTACTGGACAACACGTACACAAACAACACTGAGGTAATCATCTAACTGGCGTTATTTCACACACAAACTCATCTGTATAATCCAAGCTGATGTGCTTCTCTCCGCTCTGGCTGTGAGGTGGGCGGAGCCATGAGCTTCACCTGTGGCGGATGGGACGGGCAGGCCCGGTTCTCTCTCCCAGAACCGTAAGCCGCAAAAATGATGAGATTTTATTCAGAAATGCAGCCACGTCGCCAGCCGGCTTAGACGGAGCTTCAGTCCCGAATGTTTGTCGTCTTTTGTTTTCACTCATCAGCCACAGATCCTCGCTACTCTCACTCACAGCAAGCTGGGCTTCCTACCGCGGTGACTCACTCACATGTTCCCTCTCCTACATTAGGGTTAGGGAATGAAAACATTAGGATTCCTAATGTTTAATTCACGTGTAACCAGTGTGTTTTCTCTGTTTAGGAGACGAACCCCTCCTCTGTAACCAGGTTATTCGTACGGAAGCCCGGAAATGTCAAAGTTCCTCAAACGTATTTTTTCCTACTGGCTGATAAAAATGTATTGAATAGGACAGAATAGATTTATTAATCCCACAGTGGGGACATTCACCCATTACAGCAGCACACACACACTCAGGGAGAGTATAATAACAAGATTGCAGGTAAAACCGATTCAGCCATGTTTGCTTTCATAACTTCAATATCTTCATGCTGATGACCCACATGAACATAATCCTGTTTAGTGGATGCAATTACATCATGAAGTCAGTTTAACATGATAGATTACTTTTGCTTGGCAAAATACAATAACTGGTAATATTATGAATGACCCTAGATGGAATTTAAATAATTTTACATTAATTATAACTAAAAGTTCCTGGGAGACATTTGTGACATGTAGCCGTAACTCTTTACTGATGATAGACAGACGATGTGAGTCCTTGTACCCCCCCCCCCCAAATAAGCACCACATACAACAATAAACACCCAAAAACATACAATCTTATGTTTCAGAACACCGTCTCTGCACGTCCTCGTCCCCCCCCAGCCCACAACCACAATTTCATAAAATCCTAGAGGAAACCCTGCCTTACCAGTGAGTTTCTCCTCCTGCTGTTTACCCGACCTGTTCACAGTGAAGCTGGTTGTAGCTGCAAGACGACCTCCCAGAACCTCCTCATGGGACTGGGGCCTCCGTTTAGCTGCAGACCCAGAACCTTCGACAGCAAACAAATAAACAGCAACACAAATACAAACCGATGCAATAATTTGGACGTTTAGGTAGTAAATAAATGTATGAGGTTGTATAATTGTTCTCCTATCCAGACAGTTTAAACAGAAGAGCAGATGCTACGTACTGTAGGCAGGTGACAGACAGGAGCTGCTTTTCCCCCGGAGCTTCTTCAGCGTGTTGACGGCTACGTTGAGGTAGATGTTCTTACTGCTGCTGCGGTCGTACACCAGCTTCTCCTCATCCACAGCCTCAGATCAGATTTACACACGTCATTAGGGTTTTATCTTTGGCAGTAAAAATTCACAACTCTCACAAAATAAATCCAACACAAATTAGAACTGATAGTAATAGACAGAACCGTGTTTTAGGCTGAAGCTGTATGAAAGATCTTATTCCTACCATCTGGAAGGCTTCGTCCTCTGATGGACAAAATTTAACACATTCATCGATGAAAGTGTCCAGGTAGCGTTGGCGAACGTTGGTGGGTACTTTTGGTCCAAACTCTGAAGGGATGATTGGACGCCTCAAAGAAGTGCTCTGGAAAAGAGAAAAACCAAATATTCCTTAGAAAATAAGCAGTTAGCATGAAAAATATAGATTAGAAGAAGTTTATTTATATAGAACTTTTCACAGATGCAAGTCACTTTTCTCAGGGTCCTTAAATATTTTTAGGCTTTATGAGAAACGTATTGTGCTAATATGTTGTTCTTTACAATTATTTATATTTAAGATGACTAGTTGCTCATCACAATAAACCAAAAGTTAAGATTTAACTTACACTAACCAGTCAGCCAAAGGGATACTCTTCTGCATATATATATATATATATATATATATATATATATATATATATATATATATATATGGTAAATGGCCTGTATTTGATTTAGCGCCTTCTAGAGTCCTGAAACCCCTCAAGGCACTTTACAACACAATCAGTCATTCACCCATTCACACACTGATGGTGATGAGCTACAGTGTAGCCACAGCTGCCCTGGGGCGCACTGACAGAGGCGAGGCTGCTGAGCACAGGCGCCACCGGTCCCTCCGACCACCACCAGCAGGCAACATGGGTTAAGTGTCTTGCCCAAGGACACAACGTCAGTGACAGACTGAGCGGGGCTCGAATCTGCAACCTTCCGATTACGGGGTGAGCACTTAACTCCTGTGCCACCGTTGCCCCTATATATACATATATACAGGGTTTCCCCCAGGGCTTTATAAGCCTGGCGACCCGCCAGGCTTTGCTTGGTCACCCGTCAGGCTAAGCGTCATGCCCCGCCCTCCCCGTGTCCGCTGACACGAACGGCGCAAGACAGTGAAACAAAAGTAGGGCCCTCCATCAGCTGAAACTGGTTAGAAACAGCAGAGGATCGTGTGCATGTGCATTCACCATCCCCCCCCCCCCCCCCACCCCCCGCTGTCACGGACAAGCACTGGAAAGGACCGTCTGCTTCATACACACACACACACACACACACACACACACACACACACACACACACCCGCTGTCACGGACGAGCAACGGAACTCGGAATTCATGCACCATTTTATTTATATATACACATATATAAATAAAGTGCTGTTACTAGATCCCAAACTGACCAACAAAAAAAAAGAAAAAGAAAATGTGTTTCGGATACCTTCATGGTGGGTGTGTGCGCCACCCTCTTCTGCATTAATGTAGATGAGGTCTTGGACAAAATCCCAGCCGTTGTTTGGGCTTTGACCCCCAGCGACGTCTGAGAGGGGGATAACACTCGACTGGTAGCTGGTTTATTGTGTGCAGGACCTGGACACACACACACACACATTAGCCTCCACGCTCACATGGATATTTAAACAGGAGTTAAACTACAGGTGAAACAAAAAAATCACAACATGGTGCAAAAGTTCATTTATGTCAGTAATTGAACTGAAAAGGTGAAACAAATACATGACAGACTCATCACATGCAAAGCCAGATTTTTGTGCCTCGGTCATAACTGTGATGATTATGACTTACAGCTGATGAAAACCCCACATTCTAAATCTCAACAGGAATATTGTAAAAAGGTTCAATATTCTAGAATCAAAGTGTCACACTTTAATCAGCTAATGAATCCAGAACACCTGTAAAGGGTTCCTGAGCCTTTAGATGGTCTCGCAGTCTAAGCTGAATTGCTGACATGGATGGATTTTTGCACTATATACAAAATTTTCCACTTTCACCGGTAGAGCAGGGAGCTTCTCATACTTGTCTTGGAGGGTAATATCTGTGGGTTGGGCCGGTGAGCTATCCTCTTCTTCTCTCCACCAAGGCTGGCGCTCTGTGAGGCGGCTTTGACTGACGCAGAGAGCTGAGCTGCCTGCTGCTGGGCGACCTGCATACGCTGGTAGCACATCTCCTGAGGAGTGGGTCGCTTATACGGCCGTACCACGGGCTTTGAAGGTGCATCAGTCTGAAGAATGAAACAGGAAGTTACATTTAAAAATGACGCCTGCGTGTTACTGGAATTTGATGAGCCAGTCATCATAAACATGATCATTGATGCATGTTGCAACCACACACACCCACACACACACAACCAGAGGAATGGTGATCACTCAAATGATTTAAAAAAGTAATCTTCAGTTTTCCGATAAACACACAACTGGAAAACCCCCTGGGTGGAATTCAAAAGTTTTCATATCTTCTTTTCACTTTTTACTTCCTTGTTTATTTTATTGTTACTTCCTGAAGTCCCACACATTCGGAGCTATAAAAATTTCCAGCGAACATCATTAATATTGATGCCTGAGGGACTCCTTCTCTGCTCATTCCACCTGACTAAAACAAGAGCCTCGTGTTCTTCCCTTCTGTGATGTAATGGTTCTACAGGTACAGCCAGAAACAGTAGAACATGGTGATCAAGCTTTTGTGATTGTGCATTATGAGTCCTTCATGTTTCTGTGTCGTGCATGATTGTTTATTTTGTTAGGTTTTATCCATCTTGTGATTCTTTGTGACTACCGTCTGTGAAAACTTGCTGTATAAATACATTTTTACTTACATTTCCTTTGACAACTAAATGAGACACTCTCTTCTTCTGACCAGGGAAGAGGGTGGTTAAAGTGCTGTCTGTGCTCCTCTCCTCCTCTGAATCCCTGGGAGGCTGAGGAAACACACGACTTTAGTAATGATTCTACGGAGGTTTAAAGGATTCTGGTAGGAGAACCACCTGTACCTGTTTTGCTTGCCTTCCCTTGTCTTCCTTCTTCACATCTTTGGATTCATTGAAGATCCTCAAACACTCCTCCATTGGATCCGAGTCGAAGTCCAGATCGTCCTGAAAGCTGGAAAAGTCGATTCCAACACCAACAACCTTGTCCTGACCCCATTCCATATCATCTTCCTCCTCATCCTCGGAGGAAGATGGAGAGCGTTCTGAAGCCTTCCTCTTGTTTAAACGTCCTCTCTTTAATGCATCAGCTGATTTCCTCACCAAGACTTCCTCAGCCTCGTCGTCGTAGTCCACCTCCACCACTCCAGCCTCGTCTGGACTCTCGTCTCCGAACAGATCCGCGTGGCTCAAACTCACACTCTGCCTTTTATGATGAAGTCTGTTTTGGTTTGATGAGCTGATCTTTTGTTTGACTCCTTCCCTGCTGTTTGCTGAACTCTCCTTACTGCTGCTAGAACTGCCTTTACTAATCGTCTTTACGTCTTTTTCTCTTTTACTGCTCTCAAGTTTACCGTTTTTATGCTGGTGCTTCTTTAACTTGCTCTGCTCCTTTTCTTTCTCTCGGTCAGACGTTTTGAGTTTCTTACTTTCTCGTTCCTCTTTGTCCGGTTTGCTCAAGTCTCTTTTTAGTTTTTCAACAGTCTTGATCTTAACATCACTTCTCCTTTCATCTCTGCCTTCCCTCTGAACTTTATCTGATGTCTTAACCTTTGATGTGTTTTTATTTCCAGCTTTCTTCCCGTCACCCTTGCTCTCCTTTTTCGCACAGACTTGGATGGAGTTCTTTATTGACCCTTTGTCTTTACCAATACTGCTGCTGCTGCTCTTTTGACTGGATTTGGTCGCTTCCCTCTCAGTTCTGTGCACCTTATCGGGTTTGACACTTTTCCCGTGTCTAATTTGATCTGTCCCTTTCTTTTTGTCAGAGTTGTCTTTTTGTTTAACACTTTCGTGAACGTCCGAGTTCTCTGCCGCCTCCTCTTTTTTTCTTTGTGTCGGTGCACCTTGGATACTCCCAGTTCTGTCTTTCCCAAAAGCATCCCTTCCTGGCCAACTGTTGGCTTTTTTTTGCTGCAGATTGCTTAGTGACATGGGTCGATACTCTGTTCCAGAACTTTCCCCATCAGAGTCAGAGATGGTATATTTTTTAGTGTCTACACTCGGCCGAAGAGGCTTTTTTAAAGCTGCAACACACTCTTCATCACACAAACGAGTCTCTGGTGGCCGACTTGTTTTGCTGTAATCAGTCTTAACAGAAGCACCCTCGTCCCTTTTGCTCTTCACTGCGATCCCAGCAGAGTAGTTGGACAGTGGGTCATATTCCATGTCAGTAGATGGTCTAGACTTATCTACGGTGTATTTGAAAGACGGAGTGCAGTTTGAATATTTGGGGCTAGAAGGAGGCGAGGAAGCTTGGTGCAGCTGTGTCCGAGGTAACGGCTTTTTCAGTGAAGTGGGAACATATTCCATCGAGCTACTGTTACACCCCTGATTGTCTGACTCCAAGGTGTACTTGCTGCAGCCAGGGGTGGGATTGTATCCTCCTCCTCCTGACGTGATCTGATAACTTCCAGGATCATAGCTCAAATGTGAACCCGCTGCTTTGCTTTTAGCAGCATCAGATGACGATAAACTGGTCCTCTCAGTCGGACTGTAGGGCTCGTCCTCGATGCGAGACAGCTTCCTTTTCTCTTTCTCGACCTGGCTGCGGACTTCCTCAATGGCCTTGTTGACCATCTCCAAAGCGCCGCTGAGATCTCCTGACGCCTCGGGCTTTCCATTCTGCTGCTCCTGTGGTCTCACCACCTCTGGGTTGAACGGATCATAACCTTCATCTAAAACAAAACAAGAAGCCCAATTTTACCTTTTGAAAAGTGCACCAACATAGCCAGCAACATCACTATCAGTTGTAGTGTTAAACACACTCTGAGCTTTTTATTTTTAAAAAGTTAATTTCAAAAACAAAGAGTTTTCAACAAGCCTGTTAAAACAAATAACTATATGATATATATATATATATATATATATATATATATATTAGGGATGCACCGATACTGATATCGGTGCCGATACAGATGCCAATACCAGTATCGGTAAAAGTTAACAGATACCAGTAACTGATACCACTGCAGTTGCTTGAAAGTGACTTCATTGTAACTTGTCATTTCTGTTCACCTAATATTTTAGTTTTGTGATCATTTATTTTAACATAATTTACTTTTTATCTACCTCACAGTCTTTTCCTATTGAAAACAGAGAAGAAAATAAAACCTGTATTCCAATTCATTGCATCGGTATCTGTAATCGGTATCTGTGTCATATCGGTTTGGAAAAAAGTGGTATAGTTGCATCCCTTATATATATATATATATATATATATATATATATATATATATATATATATATATATATATATATATATATATTGTTTTATATTGAGGAAAACAAACATTTCCTTAACCCTCTGGAGGCAGGCGTTGCAGATTTGCAACGTTAACTACCTGCCTGGTTACTCCACACACGTATTTCCTGAGCATTTTTAACCCAGAAGTACCCCTGAAGGACTTGGTTGTTCGTCTTTTTATCAAAACTTCTTTAGAGCCTGAGAGGGTTAAAATACAGTAAAAAGTAGTACAGCTCCGATCTGTACAAAATATATTTAACCATGTAATTCTTTGAGTGAAATTATGGATTGAAATTTTGTTTTAGAACACGGAGTTAAGAAAAGTATTCAATTAATAAGGAAGTAGAAATTACAAACTAGTTCTAAAAGTCCAAAACCAGAGATTTGTAACATGCAGCTAATATCAATCCACAAAGCATTTCTGGTTAGACAGCTTGGGCAACCCAACTTCCCCTGTAACGATCAAGTCAGAAAATAAGGCAAAGCCTCCAGTTGATATTTGACATCAGATCCAGAGCATCACTTTACGGAGCAACCAAATTAATCAAAACACCACTTATTTTTCTTTGATTCCCACATTACGTCTACCGCAAACGAGACCACCTGGTCTCTGCGGACACTAAAGTGAAACTAATCAAGCCGTTTTAGAGTTTGGGATGAAAACACGAGCACCTTTTTGTCCGGAGAGGAGCTCGTTCTGCTTTTTAACATCCGGTGGAGCTCCGTAGGACGACCGTCTCTGCTGGCAGTGCCTGAAGTGACAGTACGGTCTGTTACACCCGTTTCTGCCGCCTTTACCGTCGTCGTAGTCCGGGTAAAACGGACAGTCAATGCCTCGGAAGAAGCCGGTGGATCTCAACATGATCCCCGAAAGCTCCTCTCATGCCCGCTTGGCTTTTTACCGCACTGGTTCATAAAAGAACTGAAGACTCTTGAAAGGAGCGACGGACAATAACAGCGTCTGCCGACATGTTGGATTGGACGAGATTAGCAGAAATATCGCGTTAATTTGAGTCGCTGACGTCAGAGGATGTTAAGCAGAACGTAGGCTGTTTCATCTTTGAACGTCTGAATTTTTTTACATTAAAACCTTTTATTCATTTGTTCGTTTATAAATGAACTCCCCCGTTATTAAATATACTTGTAGCTTTATGGTTCAGCTGTCTAGACGTTTTAAATAAGATTATGTTCTTGTTGGTTTCGATGACTGAGTTAGTGTGGTTTAGACAAGAAATAAGTAAGACAACTTTTATTAAGCAGTCCGATTAGTTTTATCCCTGGAAAACCAAATGTGTCATAATATTTATGGCATTATTTATTCTTCAAAAGTCTCGCTACACTGCATTTCCACTTTTGTAAACCAAACTTCGAAACGTTTAATTTAACAAGTCATAAAGCTCTTGTGCAAAATGAATTAATTTAAGTGATTGAGGCAGTAATGTTTGAACTCGACAATGATGCAAAGCAGACAGGTGAAATTGCTCTCCTGTTGAGGACCCAGTTACATTACACATGTTGGGACTTTATGTACGTTTACACAGTTTAATGCAGAGGTAGGGGCATTCATTCTCAAGGGCTAGAGTTGGTCCTCTGCTCAAACACTCAGTAAAGTGCCGAATAAAAAAAAGAGCAGGGAAACAGCTAAAACATGCAGGATGCCAGCCCTCCAGGGATTCTCCACCTTTAGTTGAATGGGGTCAGAAGTTTTCTGGAGCAACAGACTTCTGAAGTAGCTGTAAGACAAGCTGGATATTGTAAAAAGACATTTTAAAACTGCATTGGTAGTTAAATGTACTTTTAAAATTTCAAAATTGAGCTTCAATTAAATTTCACTGAAACTGTTAAAATACCTGGTCTGAAATTAAACTCAATAAAATAAATCAAACCTCTAAACCAAAATACAAACTTGTGCACATTTTGTTTCTACAAGAGACAAAGAAAATAGCACAAATACATTTAGTCACTAAAATTAGAATTAAGTACCCTTTTCCTTTTAGTCTTACTATATTAAACATAAAACACAACAAAAACAAGCTTCCATTAAATTAAAATCTTTGTATTAAACTTGACAGAAGGTTAAAGTTTGACTCTTTCTTGCATCAAAATTTGGCTCCAACTCTCCAAGAACAAACATGGCACAATAAATTTAGCTTCAGAAAATTCTCACATTAACCTAGAAAAACCTTCAAATGAGTGAATCCATCCAAATTTAATCTACTCCTTCATACCAACCTACATCTCCAGCAGCAAACTCTGCACAGTTGCACTCCTGGCTTTTGTACTCTTAGACTCATTAGTGTTATTATTTTCAGGTGTGTGTGAGCCAGGTAATCAGTCGTTCTTCTTCTTCTCTGTGTTTATTGGTGGCTGGAAACATCAGTAATGGAATCGCAGCTTTTAGATCAAAGGAGACGCCATCTGGCCTCAACACATCTGATTTAACTGAATGAGCTACTAATGAGATTCTGAGAAGGTAATTGGAATCAGGTGTGTTTCTACTAAATCATGTCAGTTATTAGAGGGGGGGGGGGGTAGCCTCCAGAAGACAATAATGTTTTGTTAAAAGAAAAAAATCCAGCATCAGCTTATGTTTAATAGTTTATAGGCAAAATGCTTAGCTGCTGGCACTATTTTACCATTCTAAACTGTAACATATTGTTTAATCTTGCAAATCTTTGAAGGTGAAGCTATATTTTAATGTTCTTGTATTTTAAATTAAAATATAGCATTTATTTTTAAAGGAATCTGATATTAATCTTGAGATGTTGCTTTTCCTGACTCTCCATCAGAGGGAGACAAACACCTGCAGTCTCCTTTTCATCACGTGTCTGGAAGATGGAGGAAAAACACTGCTGTTGCGTCATTTCAGTTCTCTGCTTGCAGCGGTGGTGACAGCAGTGCTGAGTTATGCAACAGAAAGGTTTGTTTGTGTGAAGAAGCGTGCATTTTCTGTGCAAGAAACTTATCATTTTACCTACTGAACACAATGTGCTGATATGGTTTCACACTGCTTTTCTTATCAGAAGTGCCATCAGTTTGAAAATTCCCAAAAATATTAGCATATTTCATGTCAATATCTTAAACTGGCTCAAATTAAATTTTTGAAAAATTTCACTCCTAAACCAAAACGTATGACGACAGCGTGAAGTGTGCTGACTTGTAAAACTGTTTAAAACAGCAAAGAGAGATTTGCTTTACTCAGCAGATGGCATTTTAATTCTCCAGGGAGGCCATTCACTGGCACTCAGGAGCTGCAGGACTTGCAGCAGGTTGCATCAGTCGTGTCAAGTGGGTCCTGCATTTCTGAGTAGAGCCCTAGAGCCTAACCCAGCTGCAGCGTGTGACTGACTCATGCAAGGTGAAACCGGTCACTTTTCAGCAGTCAGGTGAGTGAGCTCATATTTACGAACAGCCAAGGACACAAGTGAGTCAGCCCAGCTATCAGGGAGTGTTCCTGATAGGAATTTACCTCAATCATTTGAAATGACCTCCACCTTGGCCAAAAGATAAGACAGCTGGTCAATATAAAGCTGAAGTTTCAAAAGCTCTTATCAAAACAATTTAACAATGCCAAATAAAAAATGTGACAGTAAACAAAGGTAGTTCAAAGCATTTTATTGCAATTTTTTGTAGAAAACCATACAAAATTCTGTAGCAACTTAGAAAAGTTGCCTTGCGTGAACTGCAATCATTCACATGGTACTGTAAAGTGCTCATTTTAAATCAATTTTTTGTACTTAAGGACTCATTTACTAAATTTTTTCCCCTGAATAAAACAGGCTGGGGGCTTTTCAGTGTTTACAAAATGCAACTTCAGCTCAAGAATGTTTGAGGAACATCAGTACAAACAAGACAACCCCATTAAAAAGGGCCGTTTATAGAGCTTGTGTTCGGTGTTGCTGGATTGTAAATGCTTGGCTTGTAGGTTACATTCAAACTGTAGGGAAGTTTCTGATACTGTCCATTCGAATGAAGGATTACCACTTATTTACTCCAAAATACACATTGAGCGACTGAAGTATTTAATTATACCCTATTGAAAAGGCAGCCCCAGAAAAAACTAAAACGGCCAGTCGACAGAAATAGTCACGACCAAAAAACTCAGTTATACCTGTTGTTACAGAGCATGGTCAAAGCCTGTGCGTTTGCATCCAATCCCATTTAGAAAGGGACCAACTTGTATGAAGCTTAAAAAAGGAGGAAAAAAGGCAGAATACTGAAATGTATATATCTTCAAAATCCCCAAGATTGCTTTAATCATCAGCTTACGCTTTATTACCGGTAGCAAAGTAGTTTTCAAAACTGAACGGCTGCATACACAACTTCAAGTAAGTCTTATTATAAGACATAAAACCCCATATTAATGCATCTGTTGAGGGTATTCTATTACAGTGTCCTATTATGAATTCCAGAGTACCATGGCTGCAGTGCTGGCAACAGGACATGAGTTTCAATGCTTTGAGATGGATCTCTCACACACACACACACACACACTCAACCCTAATTGGGGAAATGGCTACAGAACTGAAGCGTAGCCGTTCATCACCTGGCAGTTACAGAATGCGCTTACGCAACTTAATCAAAACAAATTGTTCACGTTAAACATAAAATTAAACTTGCCTTCACTGGGCCTGAACGCTCCAGATTCACTTAACACAAGCTTTGCTTCTCACCTCACACACATCATCTGAACTTTAACAAAAAATAAAAGTGTTCCAACTGAAAAAAAAAATACCCTACAGAGTATATAAGCTTATTACACAGCCATACAAGTGAAAAAAATGAAATAAAATAACCCAGTGTGGCACATTGACATGGAGTTTTTAAAAAACAAAGCAAAGTAAACTTAATACAGCTAAATATCTGGAAGATTAGTTTTTGGTTGTTGTGGAATGTTCAGACTGTAATTTTTGGAAAACTTGCCAGCCAATTATTCGTAATAGATCATCTTAACTCTGAATGTGGTGCGTCAAAGAGACAAACTACTGCAACACCTTTAAGCAAAATGGTCCAAATAAATGCTAAATGTAATGGATCAAATGATACTCTGGTCAAGTGGACAACATGTGCTTTCAAACCCCTTAAGGAGTTCTTACCTTTACTACCAAAAACATTTAAGGTTAAATAGGCATATATCCATGAAAAAAGACATCTGGTTGTAGAAAAAGGCAACAGGTTGTGGATTCTTTACAATTAAACACTGACCCAGATTCACTTGCTAAGTCATTTAACAGCATCTGTAATTAAGCCGTTAACATATCAAATACAAGCTGAAGGTTTGCTTGGTGGCCGTACATCATGTCAACTCGACTGGTTGTCTCAAATACCAAAAATGTTGATGGTCAAATAAAACTGAATTGGTAAAACTGTACAATTTAGCCTTTAGGGCAAAGATTAACAGTTGATTAATCTAGGATTTAGTGCATGGCCACCAAGCTGAATGAGTGCATGCTCAACTACAGAATAGGCTCAAATGTGAGGGCTTCATCAAAAACATGGGAAAACAATGTCTTTGAGCAGCCACATGATGGGCTGCACCAGGCACAGACAGCGTTGGCTTCCAGCCCTTTCAAGCGCTCAGATTCTTTCAAGACAGAACAGCCTTCATCTTGGCATATTGCATAAACTTGTATGTATCTGCAGATGGGCTATTCATGCATATACATACAGGAAAAGAGAACATTCTAGATAACTTCACAGTGGTTCCAGTTGTAACAGGGGAGCAGCACAACAGGTTGTCCTTTGGTGTCTGAGCTTAGTGTCAAAAAAAAAAACCTCCTGACTTGAAAAGGGGAGGGGAAAAAAAAAAACCTAAAGTTTTAACTAACCCTCCAGCCTAACCTGAATGTGCACGTTGTGTTTGCTGAATGCAGACCGTGTGCTGACGTGCTCCCAAAGTTCTGCATATGAGCAGATGGCATTGAGAATAGCTGCAAGCAGCATCTTCCTTTACAGCTTGGCAGTAAAGCCTGAACTGCAAAGGAACAGAGGCCAACTAGATAGAAGGGCCAAATTCTGGGAAGGGACATCTTGGAGTAGTCTTTGATCTGGGTTTTCACTCTAAACTGAGGTTTGACTGAGGTTGGAGGTCAAGCACAGTCTCCCACAATAACAAGAGGAGCCAAGAGCTGACACAGCTCTGCAGCAGAAACGGGGCCTCCCTTTGGCTGGCTGCTTCGCTGCCTGCGCCTGGCCAGCTTAGAGTTGGATGGAGGAGAAAGACACATAGAAGAGCCTCTGGCTGCAACAACAAATGGGACTTCCTGTTGCTGCTGCTCTTCCATGCCGTCCTGCTCAGCTAGCTGCCGGTTAACAGCCATGGCCTTGTCAGCAAAGAATGTCAAATCCCTGGTACTGCTGGTCCTGGAAGAGAGAACAAAAATGTTTACAGCTGTAGATCCCATTTTAAAAGATTATTGCTCGAGTTCTTATTTGTTTTTACCTCTGATGGAAGATAGAGGTTGGTAAGGTGTCTAATGCACCCTGAACAGGAAGGAAAGATGCATGTATGTTAGAATCAAAAGCCCAACACTAAACAACTTGACCCTAAGTGGTTTGACTTACTCCTTGCACCCAGGGGTGCTGTAGCACCTGGCTGGCACTCAGGCGTTTTTTTGCATCCCGAACCAGTAATTTGGATATCAGGTCTTTGGCACTTGGGGAGATGTGAGCCCAGTCCTTCTCAGGAAACTCATATTTTGCTTCTTGAATACTTTCAAACAGTGTGTTCTGGAAATGGAAAAAGCAAAAAAAAAAAAAAAAAAAAAAAAAAAAAAAAAAAAAAAAAAAAAAACAAACGTCAAAAACTGAATTACTTTACCTTGAATCATCTTTCAGTTTCTTATGAAACGTGTCTTGGGTAATACCTGACAGGTGTGACAGGGCTCTCCCAGTTCCCATCCACAGTCTCCCCCACATCGACCTACGAAGGGGGGATAACCACTCAGCATGATGTAGAGAATGACTCCCAGGCTCCACAGGTCACACCGCTTGTCATATATTGTTGCCTCTTCACTGAAGGCTTCAACTACTTCAGGTGCCATGTATTCTGCAGAGCCACACTGAAGACACAAAGGGAGGAAAACAGGTTAGCCCTGAGAGGACAGCGTGGAAACTTTTACAAAAACAAGAATATATTTTAAGTTTTATGCCTTTAATGGACAGTAATACTAGTACAAGATCCACAAGAAATTTTTGCCAGCCTAGACATAATAGTCAAGAAAACTAACACTTCAATGGAACAAACATTTATTCGGCTTTTCCATTGTTATATTGAGTGACAATAGTTTTAAAATGGTAAAAATAAAAATGCCATGTTTGATACACTGAGATTTACTGTGTGATAGACAAGACGAGACTCATTTTATAGGGCATTTGAATAAAATCAGAAGACAGACTTAAGTGGTAAACCTCACACCGATTCTGCAACACTATGTGAACCAACAGTAAATTCCTGTAAGCTGCAGATGCATGCTCATCAGCACTGTTGCTGTAGGATTTGGTTGCATTGCAAGCTGGGTATTTCCAAAGAACATGTGATCAGTCAGACCATACTGGCACCACTGCTCACACACACCTATGCTGCTAGTTACCCACAGGATTATGTGAAGAGGCTTAGGAGCAAAACCTGTTTGGTCAAGCAGCAGCAACACATCTTTGAATAAAAATAAACTACCAAAAATGGACTTAGAAGACAAACACAGCAAGAAAGTACAAAAGATATTTTAGATTAAGTTTTTTTTTTTTTGTCCAGTAAAGTCAGCCCTCTCACTCCTGTTTATACTAATCAGCACAAATGCTTACAGGCTTTGGGTAAAACTGAACGTATTCAAACAAACCAATAATATAGCAAAACAAGCAAGAGCCCACGTTGTGCAACTGTAGGAATGCTATCTTGAGGGGGAGCGGTGGGGGTGCAGGTGCCAACAGTAAAAAGAAAATCAGATAACATTGTTCAGCTGATCAAGGCAACAAAAACAAGCCAGAGCGCATGAACAGACAGGGCTTTGACTCCCCCATCTACCCTCCCCCTGCTACTGGTTTTAGCCAATCACCACTCAGTTGCTAGGTGTAGGGGGACAGACTCACTTCTAGAAAAAGCTGTATGCACAGCCATTGTATGAGAAAAAAAAAAAACAAAGCTCAGAGGCTAGCGTTACTAGGCAGAAAAACAGTGGGATGTGCATCTTTTTCTTACTACAGCTAGAAAAAGGAAGTGAGGGTTATAGTTTCGTTTTTTGCTTCATAGGACAGCATTGAAGTAAATACTTTCTCTATAAATCACATTTCAATGAAATCACACTTTGTGATAAAGTTAGGAAATGACCAGATGTTTCTAAAACTCGACACAGTTAAAGAATTTATATCCTACCAATCTCTTTCCAAAGTCTGGGATGATCTCAAATGCCATTATTATCATTGAAAAGATGAAGTTACTACTTTTTTAAGCACCCCACCACCACCAATCCAACAACAACTTCAAGCTGAAACAAGATCCTTCACCTGCTCTGTTCCATCTATTCAGCCTAGCAGACAAGCAGCATGTTGACACACGAGGAGAGCTTGCCAGCTCAGCCTAACAGCTCCTCTGATGCTGCCTCTCTGGACACTGTTCAGAGGTAACGCTTTGTGTTGGGACTACAAAATGAAGGTTAAATAAGCATAACCTCTAGACTCAAAAGGCTCAACATTTACTACTGATAAGCAATAGGACATTGACTTCAAACAAAGGTTTATTTCAAAGAGTTTCCAAAGCAGAGGGGAATATAAGGTGGTGGACATTTAACAGTCCACATCATTTCATAGAAACCAAACGGCTATGAACGATCATAACCTACTGCAGCTCACGCCACTAAAAATTACCCCACAGCTAATCAACTGGGATTGATAAAGCTGCTTTTTTTACAACCTAAAAAACAGCCTTATCTACAGCAAAGGCATAAATCACAGTATCAGCATTTGTGGCCTTGTTCCGTCTGCAGCAGAGCAACGTGCAACAGCTTTTCCCTTCAACTCTTCTCATTCACAACGACTCGAACACTGCAAGGCCAAGACGATGAGAGGATAAACTTACAGGAGTGAGGAGTTCAGGGGTAGAGATGGGTGAGCTGTCACTGTTCAGCTTGATGCCACTGCCCAAGTCAAAGTCACAGATCTTCACTGGTGAAATCTGGCAGAAACGAGGATAATGAGGAAGGAGGTCCAAATTATTCAGAAGTTTATTACAAGTTACAAGATCTCTGCAAGGCTCATAATGTGCTACACCCAGATTAGTTGCTCTTTGAACTAAGCAGGTGGTTAACTCACCTTGTCTGCATGCTCACAGAGAATGTTTTCTGGCTTTAGGTCCCTATGAGCCATTCCTAAGGAAAATAAACAAACAAAAGCTAAAGTAAATTTTGGTCAAAGTTCGTATAATTCATTGAAGCTTGTATTCAAATCTAACTTCAACAAGCTTGGACTTGGCCAGTCTGGACAAGAAATCCAATCCCAATCTGTTCCATTTTAGCCAAGAAACTAAGCATTTCTAACCACAAGCTGAAAAATGTGCATGTATAAAGAGCCTTACCCTTGTTATGCAGGAAATCCAGTGCGCCGGCGATGTCGTGCACAACCACACTAGCTTCCTGTTCACTGAAGTGTCGTCTTTTGTGAATTTGCTCCAAAACTGACCCTAATTAATGCCAAGAGAAATTTAAAAGCAAAACACACTGCTGATTATAAATGCCAGTGACAGATTAGAAAAATACATTACAAACTACATCAACAGCTGCAGGTCACTTGCCTCCTCTGAGCATTTCAAACACCAGGTAAAATTTGTCTTCCTCTTCAAAAAACTCCACCAACTCCAGAATGTTCCTTTAAAGAGGTTAAAGTTAGTGTTAAGTGTTTGGAAAAACAAAAAGATTCTGCAGAAGAGGGCATGACCCCCAAAGACTTTCTACATTAGATTAGGATGCGTCACTAATGGGCCATTCCCATCTGTACCGGGTCGGCCTGGGCCGGGTAGCGTAGGTCGTTTACATATCTGGGTGGCCTGGTATTTTTCCGGGCCAAACAAGGCTTCTCAGCCCTCTTCTCAAGGGGGGTCTGCTTCAGGCCGACCAGGGCCAACACACCCACTGCTGACAGCAAATTCACACCTTCCATTGAGCAAGCCTCTGATTGGTGGGTAGAATCAGCCCACATGGGCTTAAGGCAAGGATGGGTGGAATCAACCGGGCCAGGCTGGGGCCGACTGGGCCTACCCGGCCGACCCAGTACAGATGGGAATGGCCCATAACTAGGCCATCCAGTCAGTGGTAGTTGCAACAGTAGGACATTACCTGTGGCCCTGGCACTGGTAGAGCATCTCAACCTCACGGAAGACACGGCTGCGGCTGTGACCCGGTCCTTTCTCTATGATCTTAAACAGAAGAACAGCATCCTCGTGTAAAGATGTATCATGCTACACAAAATAACAGTCAATGTGCAAGTAAGTCCCAGAGTTTCTGATGCCATGTTTACACCAAAGCAGCTAACATCTTCTAGGAACCTATAGTTGCCCTCAAAACCCCAGCTATATTTTTCCTGACTGAACCATTATCTTGCCCCAAGATGCAGCTGCAAAGACAACTCGACCTACTTTCAATGGTGCATGCAGAAACAGGCTAAAATAAAAGAAAAATTGCATACTTCATGCATGACCCATATTGAAGTTCTATGGGGCTCTCAATGACCATAAGTGTTCTCCCAGCATCCCACAGCCCATCTAAAATTGTTTAGACAACAAAATGCTCTAAGAATAACTGCTGCCTGGTACTAAACCACCGAGAGGCCACCAGCTGCAAAACACCCTGCCGAGAGAGACAGAGGTAGACTGCTGACAGCAGCGCAAAAGGCCTGAAATTTCCAGCCCTGGTGGGTTATTGTCTGATCGAGAGGTTGTGTATGCCTCTTTTCCTGGTAGCAGGATTACAGCGGGTATTGAGGTGCAGTGGGGCCAGAGTTGCTGTGTGTGTGTTTAGGATTAATAACACAGGCAGCTTCAAAACAGCCCAAAACTAGTTCACCGATTTAGTCAGGACAAACGTAAGAAAAAACATGACTGTTAAATAACACACACTTCACAACCATCCACCAAGTCACAGGGGCTTCTGGCTTTTTGTTACTGCAACAACACCAGGAGCTCATGCAGCCATCCAACCCACTCCAACATCTTTGTCTGGAGGGGGAGGGGAGAGGCGGGACATCTGGTTATAGCAGCCTGCCCCCCCCCCCCCCCCCCCCCCACCCCCTCTCCTTACAAAGCCTCCTGCCCCCTGACTGCACCACATCCTGAGCTCCTGCCCCCTGACTGCATCACATCCCGAGGGTTCTACTCAACTATTCTGGTACAAACAGAAAAGTGAATTTAAAAATTTTAAGAACAAAAACTTTATCAAACTGAAGGCCTTTGAAACACTTTGAATGAGCAGAAAAACTTGTTTTTGCTCCTAAAAAGTAATTTTAAGTCCACAGTATTCAACATGTATTCGCATGTCTACACCCCACTTGGGAGGAGAAAAGGAAAAACAAAGTTAAACTGTACCAAGAACAATGCAGTGTAAACACCCTGGGTCACAACCCTCACTAACCTCCCCCTCCTTCCTCTGTGGGTTTTGTTTTGGAACAGTTAGCAGTACATTATGTTCTCGCTACCAGCGTCCTCTATAGGCTGTAAGAGTAAAGAAAAGAGGGTGGATGCACCCATGGAGCACTCCGATAGGCCCATAAACTAAAAACCCAGAGCGGAAGTATCAGATAACAGCAGCTAGCCTTGCACACTCAAAACAGTGCAGAAGTCACAACAGGCCCTGCAGACATCCAGAGCCCTGGTCTGAGGAAGTCCTGCTGATTTAGGAACTGCTTTTCAAATCCTTCTATAGCATAAGTCAACAAAACAGGAATGAATAATGCACAACCTAACCTAACTCAATGTTATTTTTGAAGAAATGCACAAACGTTAAATCACTGCAGTTAGACATGGTGTAACATTAACAGTACATGTAATATAGGTTTACCTTGACAGCATATTCTTTGTTGGTGATCAGGTTGATGCAAGCTTGTACTCTGGCATAAGCACCCTCTCCTAGTATTACTTCTTGCAGTCTGTAGACATCTGCATAGAAAAATTCAAGAAACTCCAATTAAAAAAAAAAAATCAATGAAATACTTGAATGTTTGTTCAAAAAAAACACACTGGTAGTAAATATTTTTACCTTCAAATCGCCCAGAGAAACTGTCTGTTGCCCTGCAACGCTTTTTCTTCTTATTTCTCTTCCTGGCATCAGGAATGTCAATAGGCTGGCTTGAAGGCATGTCTAACAAAACAGAAGCACAAACATTATGCACTAATCCATCTACTCCAACAACAAAAAGAGAAGGCTGCAAGGCAACGACACAAAACTAAAAGATACTCACCATGTCTTGGGGATAAACCAAAATTAAATGACGTTTCAATAAGATGGGATCCATTATTAGAGAATTCCCCTGATTCAAAGGGATTTTGGCCCTGAAAAGTGACAAATATGTTTATGAGATGCCATTTAAGAGAACACGCCAATTCTAATTGATAATAGCAATTATCTAAACCCCCAGCAACCATAAACTCAAAGTACACTTGAGTCTACAAGATAACACAAATGCAGATAACGCGAAGATTTAAAAGCATTTCTGATGCAATTCTGAACGTTGCATGCGGCACGTGTCGTGATATGCGCATATGGCATTAGCAGTCAACATCAGTCAGGGATTTGCAACAGATGTGTTTATATATAGCTAGGTGAGGTCTGGTCAACGCGAGCTGGCAAGCGTGCCGATTACAAACGTCTAAAAGGGGGGGGGGGGGTGTTTGATTAATGCAGTTCGGAATCTCCCTACAGCAGATTAAACTCACCTTGAACGAACGGTGGAATCCAGTGACTTCGGTGATCTTGTTTTGCACCATTTTGCTTCGATTTGAAGTGGATTGTTTTTTTTTGTTGTTGTTGTCTTGGATTATGTGCGGCAGCAGTGGTTTGCGGCGTATCAATTTGCACTTCTCCGAAAATCAAGGCTGTTTCAGAGAGAGTAGCAAGTGATGACACTGCGTTGGCTGGTAGGCTTTTAACGGGAGCCCTGTACACAACACAAGAACCATTACCACCCACATTTTAGAACATTGCTGAACTAAACAAATACAAAAATATATATATAACAATAATAAACCACAGAACATCTCACCAAAGCTTGCAAAAACTATGAAATAAAAGTTAAACAATGCGTATTTGAAAAGCACGCAGTTTGCTCTCGAAGGAGCTGCATTGGATGAAGGGAGGCTACCAATCGACATGCTAACAGTATAGCGTGCACGCGACTTGACAGTTTAACTGAAATTTGACGTCAAAATGCTATTTAGTTACTTCAATGTAACGTTGCTAAAATGAAAATGTCTTATTTAGTTTCAGGTACTCACCCCGTTGTCAATTTTAGAGCTCCAGTGTAAGCGTCGTCGTTGTTCGAACCACTGCTGCAGCAGCCGCTGAGGGCGCTCGAAGGATCGTTTGCCTGATGATTTGAGCTTGGAAGGTGGATGGAAAACCACAGCGTGGGTGTTTTTATAACCTCCAGTTAACTCCTCCCTCCGTTGTGTGCGTCAACAGACTCGATAGATCACGTGCGTTCTAGAAAAGGAAACGCTGGCCAGGTTCCATTTTGTTATTTTCAAAATTTGTGAACTTTTTACAACGAAAGTAACAGAGAAAAATGCTCAGTCATAACACAACATGAATAAAAATCGTTTAGAGTATCTGTCATTTATTTAAATTAAAATATTTGGGTATATTTTATAAAAACGTATTAATGTACGTAGCATTGCTAACGATTTGGAACGCGGCCAGCAGGCTCTGTTTTGTTTCAGGGACTTCGCAGCTGAACGTGTGGAGGAGGGAAGTTGGGTACGTGTGTGATGGTGTGACCGCACAGTCAGCACCTTCCACCGTCCTGTTAGGGTTTTAATAATGACGAAAGGACATGAGTTTGAACAACTTGTCGACAGACAAGATCATCCAGTTTACAGACAAATCGCAATCAGGTTTAGCTGCAAAACAAGGGAACAGACAAACTAAATGTTGGATACACAAACAAGGGGAGCGAACATTTGCACAACAGTCCATCTCCTCTTTATGTGTCTGGAGAAATGAATTTTATAACTCATACGTCTTACTTTCTGTGCTGTTTATGGCTGATGACTGCTCATATCCTCCGTCTGAGTCAATGCACGCACGTGCACGCGCTCTCCTGCAACCTTACATCGAGATTGCAGCATAGGAGCACAATTCAGATGTTTACGTCATCAGCTATTCTAGACAAATCCGTTAATGTAATGTTTTCAGCAATCAGAATCTTAGCTATATGTTCATATTTTTTAAATTTTATCGTATATTATTATTTGTTAGTGTATTTTATTATGATATAAAAGTTAAAATAAGCTTTATGTTACAAATACTCCCTTGTCTTATTTAATCACACACATTCAATAATTAATTAATATCAAACAGAGGGGAAAAAATCAAGTAATTTGCCTCCAACGTGTGATTTCTGCTATATTTCTGAATTTCAATGGGCAAGTGAAAGACGTGGCAGCTGCAGCCCATGTCTTATCTGATGTAAGATGACGCAAATAGGCATGTTTTGAAGTCTGATGAAGAGATTGTTGGGCTGAGAGTGCTGACAATGTGTCATGTTTGTGATAATCAGAGAAATCCAAGAACTCTGGTGTTGTGGAAATGACATCGCCACAGAGCCGTCTGCTCTCTGTGAGATGCCACAGTAATACCTCCAATCACATGACATGCGTGTGTGGTATTCCCAGAGCACCAATTCACGATGGTGACTTGTGGTTTGCATTGAGTTGGTGTGAAAACAACAATCTAGTCATTTATGTTGCATTATTTGACAAGATGCTTCATCAAACCGTGTGTTTGTGTTAATTATCATTGTAAATAATCCTTTGCTCAGTACGCTGTGTGACGATGCGTTGTTTATTTAATGTGTCTCAGTTTAAGCCATGTAAGGCTTAAACTGAGACACTGACTGAAGGCTTTCTCCTCCTCCTTCTTTTACCTTCCGCCCCTCAAACATAAACCTGACTATAGCAAACATTGCACAAGCCTTTGGCTCACCCGGGGCAGCCAAGAGCACACCATGTAGTCAGGCTTTTTTGCAGGGAAACAAGAGCACACTTAGAAGTGCACATGGAGTTACTACAGGTCAAATTAAACAGGAATGGCTGACGTATAAACACCTTGTTGACATCAGCTATTGAACAGTACAGGACTTTTTTATTTCAGGGGAAGTCTTTTTTTTTTACTCTTTTTTTTTTACAGTTTGAGGTATTTGAGGTTAAGGTGATACAAGAGAGGTGCATCTCAGTTGTATTTACGTCAGTAAATACACCACAAAGTCCCAAACATTTTTCAGAGCAGGATTCTTATCAGGGCAGGGCAAAAATGAGTAAAATCTTGCACTGTGCAACTAGATAATTGCATTCTGATGCAACACTGGAATGTGAAACCCTGAGTCTGGATGTGTGCATTAGCTTTATTAGAGAGATGTTGACAAGAAATGTTCCAAACAAGAAAACTGAAATGTAAAACAATGCTATAATAATACAACCCCTCTGTTAATCGAAGCCTGCTGCACAGATAACTATGACATAAAAGGAAAATAAATGACAAAAGTTTTTATTTGTAGGTTTGGTGTCTTTGAAATTGCAGGATTTACCTGCATAGACTTCCAGGGTTATGAACCGTCGGCACAGGTACCTGCTCTTGCGTTCCTGACATTCACCTGCAAATGCATTCATCAGATTGATTGCAGTCATGTGCAAATAATACTGTCAGAGGCCCAGAGGATCATTGAGCAACACAGAGCCAGCAGTCTTACACAGTTACAATAATTTGCATACCTTTCCTCAGCTAGAAGGTCGCAGCACCCTTGACAGCTGATGACACCTCAAAGAAGTCCTCTCGTAAACAACATACAACTCCGACAGAGGCCACTTCCAGATGGATGTAAACACCCTCTCTGGCAGAAACAAGTGTGTTTTAGGTTTTCAGGAGCGGCCTACAGCCAGCTGGATGCTGTTGGGTCTTTAAAACCTCTGGACGCAGAGCTGCTAAATGTTTTGCAACATTGTTGTTTTGGTTTGAGCACACAGAGTTTTAGGAATCTTTGTGTTCTTTTCTCTTTCTCTTCATTTTGCTCTTTGCTCCTGTTACATAACCACGTTGAAGTCTGTGGTGTATTTATTTAGAAACTTGGAGCTGATTTCAAATTGAGAAACCGCAGTCAGAGTGCAGATAATCATTTCTGTCGACCAATCAGTCTGCATGAACTGCAGCTATTTCTAAAAGATTTTCTTCCACTCCAGTGTTGTTGTGCTGATTTCTGCAGAACATGTCAAAGCAGCACATTTTTGTGTGTGTTTTTAAAGCAAGTAAAAAGGTTCTCAGAAAGAGGAAATGGTGTAATTAAACATCCTGAAAAACAAATCCCTCATCTGGACCTCCTGTAACATTTCATCATCCTGCTGAACTGAAAACTCAGAATGTTTTGGTTGCCAAAAGCCACACCAACACGAGGCATGTGACTCACACGCCACAGAACCGTTTAAGGTGTGTTCTGAATCCAACACTTGCTAAGTCACACAGCATCTCCCAGACTCTAGATTCAGTCCAAGTAATCCCAACGTACCATCGAGGCATCGATCAAACGCTGGGGGAAGAAAACAAAGCTGGACGGGCGTCTGTGTGATTAGCTGCAGCCAAACGGCTTGATTCCTGCACATCCTGCTACTGCAGAGCTCCTCTAGAGAGTCTGGTACATTCCAGCAGGGGAAAAACAGGGAGGTGGTTGGGGAGGGCAGAGCAAACGGTGGGTTGGTACAGCTCGTCTCACACGTAACAAGCAAAACACACACCACCAGAGCACAGCAGAGTGTTCAAAGGAAGTGAGAGGAGGGACAATCCCGTAAAGGGATCAGGTTGCAGGAAGCAATGAGGTCGTTTGAGTGGGCGGAACGTTACAACAGTTTATCTTTTATAGAATAGACACCAATCTGTCATGGTTTCCTGCCCTGAGTGACAGATTTATGTTTTAGCAGAAAAGAAGGTTGGTTCATAGCATTCGTCTGATGAAAACACGGCCCTATTTATGTCTGCCAGGAAGGTCAGATGTGTTATTTTTATTCAGGGGGATTTCCTGATGGGGACACTCACTTCCAGTTGAACAGCCAACACAGACACTGGGATGAGTTTTCACAAAGGGAAAAAGCTTTTAAAAACTTTTCTGTTTAGAAATCACACACAAATCAGCAAATCAGGAATGTACCAATTCAGAATATAATGAAAGACGTGCTTTATTAAATATCACGTGTGATTTTTCATGTAAACTGACCCTCATTCTGATGCATTAAAACATGGCTGCTGAGCGAGGATCATGTTAGAGTCAGTGAGTTTGTCCCCCGCTATTTCAATGTTCAGATTCCTAAAGGATGAGGAGTGGCAGAGAACTTCCTGTCGGGCAGATTAGTCAGGACCATCATGAGTTACGACTCCTTTGATTGCCTGACAGCTGACTTTTCACTCCAATCCTAAACTCACTTCCCTCACTTATTCTGAGATTCTGTCTGAATTCTTGGATTATGAAAAACTTTGTATTAGAAATAAATCAAATCATAACAGTTGGTGATTTAAAAAAACTATCACCTAAATGTTCTCAGCTTTTGTTTACATGTTTTTCATTTTTCAATTGTCAAACAAAATGAATCTAGATCTACTAATCTAGAGGCCTCTTGAAATCTGAAAGGAGTCCCTACAGGATTTATTTATTTAGCTTCATGGTTTAAGGTGAAAATTATTTCAAGGCTGTGACGAGAGAAAGAAAACACACACCAGTCCCATAACTGCATTCAAACTCTTTGTTTATTGTTGGGCTGATCTGAGTTTATATAAAGTGTTTTAAACTAGACTAGCCAAGATCCAGTTTCTAGGTTTCTTTTATCAAACGTGTTTCCAAAAATGTCAAATCTTCTTTGTTTACATGCCGTAAAGGTTCAGATCCTATTTAAAGCAAGTAGGTCCGTTACATTTATTTCCTGCTTAGGTTCATTTTTTGACCTTTTCACTTTGACTTATAATTGAAATATAATTCATTTAACCTGCCTTGCCTGCTGGAGGTGGTCGTAGGGACTGGTGGTGCCAGTGTTCATCAGGCCTCGCCTCTGTCAGTGCACCCCAGTGCAGCTGTGGCTACATCGTAGCTCATCCCCACTAGCTATGTGAATGGGTGAATGACTGTGTTGTGAAGCACCTTTGGGGGTTGCAGAACCTTGAGAAGGCACCATACAAATACAGGCCATTATTATATTAATGTCTGCAAAGATTTAGCTTTTGTTTTTAAATTTCTCGATATCTATATTTACTCAAACCCATTCAGACTAACTGCTAACTGATAATCCCCCCTAACACTGGTACTGTTGACCCAATCACCCAGAACCAGGTTCATTCACAACAAGCCTTCCTCTTGTGTGTTTGTCACAGTACAGTCTGGCCTGCCTTCTTACGTATAAGCAGCTTAGGCCGAATCAGGTCTGTGCTCCATGGGTATAACTGGTACACGGCACAAATTTCATAAGTCCTGGTGAATGTGGGATAACAGGATTTCCTCCCTGTTGCCAGTCTGGTGTCTGATGCCACCTGGTGGGTGTTTGTGAAAGTGATTTTCTTTTTCTTTAATCCTGAGCCTTGTCATGTGAGGTTTTGGTCTCGTGCGACCTTCGTCTGTCAAGCGTATCTGCAACAAACACCAGCAGGTTTGATATCTGAGAAGCTGCCGGGTGGCTGGAGGCCCAGAGCGTAACAGAACCCGGCCCGGATTGCGTCTGAGTCACCGCCACACCATGGCCGTTTTAAATTCTCCCACATGGAGGGTTTAGCTTTTAAATTGTGTTGGTGCGCTTAAATTATAAATAATATTAACAAACGATGAGAGTAGAGATCATTTTAATGTAGCAACATAGTGATTTCAAAGACTTACAGTAAGAATTTATTCTAATTTGAGATCCTTTAAAGACAAATAGAAAGATAATAGCATCCTGGAATGACTGAAATTCAAATAAAATAGAAAAACATTAACACGAACATACACGTCTTAATACTGTGCTCTGATAACATGTCTGAAAATGTTTTTTTAAGGAGCAGAACATCTCACATGACCAGTTTCTCAGTTCAAACTTACAGTATGTGGCTAAAATAGATTACAGTACTTAAATATAAAAATAGACTCTGAATGCGTTTGCTCTAGTTGCTCTCTGACTCAGTCTCGAAGATGGATGGTAGCGTTGGTCTGGTGTGTCCGTGGACCCCTCAGTGGCACATTCGAGCAGTCATTTCCTTCTGTAGAGGACACAAATCACACAAGGAGCACGACAAATTAGCTACCGTAGAAAAAAGAACAAAGAGTGAGGAAAGCAAATTAAATAAAGAGTAAAAATTCAAATACACAGGAAGTAGGACTTAGACACAAGCAGCGTTTAAGGGCTAGGAAAAAAGACGTTCCAAAGTGATAAAGTTAAAGAAAATCTCATGAGAAACAGGAAAAAAACAAACAGTAAATCAACAATTTCTGGAAATGATAAAGCAGAAAAATTTTGATGAATCTGGTCAAAATATCCGATTGTTGCAAAGCTGCATGATTATCATCACATCAGTGGTGTTTGTGGAAAGCCAGGGACACCTGGGGTTTCCAACCCTGGTCCTCAGGGGCCCCTAACCAACACACCTGATTTTAATAATAATAATAATGCATTGAACTTATTTAGCGCTTTTCAAGACCCCCAATGGCGCTTTCACACACTCTCACATTCACACACTGCTAGTGATGGTAAGCTACTTGTAGCCACAGCCGTCCTGGGGCGGTCTGACAGAGGCGAAGCTGCCATTTGGCGCCGTCGGCCCCTCTGACCACCACTAACACAGGCAAGTTGGGTGAAGTGTCTTGCCCAAGGACACAACAGCAGGATGCCCCTGGCGGGAGCTGGAATCAAACCCATGGCCCAATGGAACCCGCTCTACCACCTGAGCTACTGCTGCCCCAAATCAGCAGATGATTAACAGGCTGGGTAGGGATCCTCGAGGACCAGACTAGACATCACTGAGCTATGATAAAAAAGAAGATGCTAAAATATAAACACGCTGAATCATCAGCCAACAAAAATCAGTGAATCATTTCCTTCCGACAAGAAAAGGGTGTGTCCACACCAAGGGCTGCATCCTTCCAAGGCTGCATTTTAAGGCTGATTATGACACAACAAGGCAACAAGGCTGTCTAAATATATCAGCTTTTTAAATATATTCTTTTCACTAATAATGAGATAAATTCTTATAAATGAGCTCGTATGGTTGTATTCATGTACTGCTGCTAAGTTTAGCTGACTTCTGTTTCACGCCGCCATGGTTGCTAGGCGACAAGACAAATGCTAAGGTAGGGGTGGGAATAGACCTTCCCAATTCAAAGCTGCTCACATCCGGTTTTGGCGGTCCAGGAAGGACCTGACCTATGTGGACCGGGGGGACAGGTCCTCGCAAGGACGCTACTCCTGAATGTAGACGCAGCCAAAGCCTGATTTAAAACAATATGGCAGCCAAGTTGAGAGCTTAAAACTGGGATTCACAACTTCTTTTGATTATAACTTGATAGGGCCATCTCCCTGCAGGGGAAAACGTAGACCTGCAGCAAAATGCTAAGAAAAACCACAAAGTTCAGAAAAAAAGAGACAAACTTTTTAGATTGAACTCGTTTGTAGAATAAAGTAAATCCTTCAAAATATGTCGCAGCCAATAGAAAAGGGGGTAGAATCTTGAAAAAGGCTAAAAGCAGATCAGCAGGAACACATATGGTTACAGAATTACTGCTTCACTAATCAGATGAGCAGAAAACAAAGGATGAAAACAGAAAAATAGGTCAAAGAAAAGATCAAATCTCAGCGTTTACAGAAGGAACGTCTGATCAGAGAGCTTTCAGAAACGAGTAACAAACATACAGACAACCATGTCAGGGGGAGGAGAGGGCCTAAACAACCAGCACAACAGTAGAGCAGCCAGCTGGATGATGCCCAATCTAATGAATTCATACAACACTTAGTGTGCTGTCTAATTATCGAGAAAATTCAGAGTGAATCTGTGGAAACTACAGGAATGTTTTGGAAAGAAAACATGGACATGAGTTCCTACAGGGCTCCTGTGTTTAACTGAGTGGGTGGAAACCTGCATGGGTTTGTTTCTGTTACTCAAAAAGCTTAAAGAGCAGCAAAAGGGCAGTTTGCATAAAGGAGATCTTTGCTAGTTCTCCTCTTTTTAGCTCACAGCAAGCAGAATTAAGTTAATGAGAACATGTGGAAACCAGATGCATGAACCTTTAAAAGCTTATTTTGGTTAAGAAGGGAAGAATCAGTTTGAAACGTCGAGAAAAAAACCCCCAACAAAAATGTTTAGAATTGTTTGTTTATGCACATTTGACCAGTGGACTCAGTGGTCTCCTTCAAAAAGCAGCTGAAAACCCACCTGTTCAGGTTGGCTTTTGCGTGACCTTTGTCACCCTCTCCTTATTCTGCTCTTATTACGCCTTTCCCGGGATCCACTTTTTTCCCCTCCCTACATTTTTTAATCACAATTTTTATTTTTTCTCATTCTAAACATATTTTTAACCATTTATTGAAATCTCTTTTATACTTTAACTTTTTTGTTTTCGTAAAGCACCTGGTGATTTTTATCTTGAGAGGCGCTATATAAAAGATTGTCTTTCCTTTACTAGGCGCACAAATTTTAAAAATATTGTTAAATTGTGTCTGTGCGTAAAAACGGTTCTATTACTTAAAGGGACATTATGGAAGTTTGACAGCCAAAACATGTATAGAAATAATACATTTCTTCCTCATACATTCTCCTGCAATGCCCTGGTCCTGTAGAATGAGCCCTGGCATTTTTACTGTGATTGCCTGTTTTTCTGTAAAATCACAGAAAAAGAGAGCTGCTCGGGTCGAGCAGGCTGCTTCATGCGTGTTCATGCTCAGGCATCGCCCGTAGCATTTTCTATCTGTAGCTTTAGCAGCAGAGAGTGAGGTAGTGCCAACTCAGCGACTTTGTTGCTGTTCCTAACGCCTAGTGATGAACCTAGCTACATTTCTGAGGACCCTTAGCTACTTTCTTCCAGATATTTCCTGCAAATTAGCAACAAAATAAACATTTTCGCTCCAAACCGTTCTTTAAACGTTGTTTCAGCTGTCGTCAAGGACATAAACGACTCTCATGCAGAAGACCCGGGTTCGATTCCAGATGTGAACATAGTTTATTTAGAGGTTCTTTTTTACAATAATGGTATATTTTTTACAGTAAGATGCCCAAATTTTGATTTGAGACTCGCCGAACGGCATTGAATTCACAGATAAAAAAGATGTGGGTTCAACTTTCATTTTGGAACAATTTTTCAAGCAAGGGAAGGGAATGATCTGAGCATGCAGGAGGACTGACCCATCATAAACCTTTGTCGGCTGTGCTGAAGAGAAAGGTACAGAACCAAATTATTTAATTAATTAGCTGCGCGTTCTCCTGTCCTCTGTCCTCCGGGACGGACGGACGGACGGACGGACGCACGCACGCACGCACGCACGCACGCACACACACACACACACACACACACACACACACACACACACAGCTGTTATGTTCGTTAAGGAGTGTGCACGTACAGCATGCGCGCCTCGTGCACGAGCCTACTACTGAAGCTGCCGTTACGCTTTTGGCCTGAGGGGGCAATCGTGAGCATAAAAATTCAAAACTCCGTAAAGTCCCTTTAACACATGAAGAAATTAGTTTAAGTTTAGTTAAATAAATTACCTAGAATTAAAACTTCCCCACAGTAATGATCTTTCAGCAGATCTGCGAGGTTATCTCCCCATCCCCAGCTCAGACCCTGCCCTTTGCCTGACTCACCAGAGGCTCCAGCTCTTTGTGGTCCGTCAGGTTGAACTCGGTTACAAAGTAATAGAAATGCTTGTAGCAGGTGTTGACGTGAGCCTCGGCTCCCATCTGGGTGACGCGGTCAAAGTGGTGGATGTAGACGTGGACAAACACCCGGAACAGACGTGACAAAATCTTCTTAGCCACCTGCATGAAGCACTTAGGAAAGGGAGTACCTAGGGTTGGAGCAGATGGACATCACTGCAGTCAGTCTACAGAGCTTTTACTATCTGACCCACAGAAATGAACACATTCCAAAAGAAACAAGCTCGGCCTTTTTGGTTTTAATTCAATCTTTCCTGCTAGAATTGGACACCAAGTTGCTACAGGTCACAGCGGGTGTCGCCTCATGTAAGAATCAAAAACCAGCATGACTTGCTTGGTAGAATAAACCTCCAGATCCGACCAAAATATTAATGTCATGTGGTTTTGAGCTCACCAAATTAACAGTATTTGAGGAATTAGTTCAAGAGAACAACCACATCCGAGGTTGTTTCTAATCATAGAGCACTGGGCACAATCTGACCCATTTTTTAATCCACTGCTGGCCGTTTCTGTTGTTAAGTCAGCTGCTGAGCAGCGGCTCAAGGCATGCATACATGCACAGAGATAATATCCCACCAAGAAGGCTGCCGCCACAGATTAACCCAGTCTGTGATGGTTGCAATGTGAAACACTACAGGTAGTCTGAATTTGTCCTTGCAGATGTTTTAACCAAAGTCTCCATATTTTGGATTCCACAATTCTTTTTGTACTTAAGCGTCTCTTTTGTACTTTTAGATTTGCTGTGTGACTCATGAGGAGAGGAATGAGCAAAAGGTTACTTATTTAAGCCAGTTATTAACTAAAAGAAAACTAGTAGTTGCACATTAAAGCAAAGGCTCGTCACCTGTGTGGATGGTGATCCTGCAAAAAGCAAGCATCAGCCATTGTTCCTCTCTTCTATGGGATTTTTTGTGATGAGCAGTTCAAACAGGGTGGCTTTTGGTTTGGGCTCCAAAACTGGTGTCAAATTCACATTTTTCAAGCACAAAGATGACAGTTTTGTGTAAATCATCTTAAGACTCTGGGTTCAGACACCAACGGGGAGACCCAAATCAAAATAAATCCTTCAATTATTTAATCAGTTTGCTCATTTAAGCAGATACACATTTTGCCCTCATCAGGGATTATGTTAGAATTTTAAGAAAAGCACTAAAGTGATAGTTTTACCCTGTTCTATCATATAATATAGGCAATGCCTCAATTCATTTTGGCTGAGCCTACCCCCGTCCCGTACAGCCTCATGCAAATTTCATCTGACCACCGCTCAGCATTGGCCAATAGCGTTAAGCTTGGTTTATACTTGACACATTCACGTTCCGCTTGGTGATGCGGCTCGCGGCTGGAACGCGCTTCATAACTTGCAGCGTTTATGGTTCGTGCGGCTCGTCTCTGCGGTGAGCCAATATTCTCCCAAGCTGTAGGGGGCAGCATGGAGCTCTACGGCATGCATCCAACACTACACCATAGTAAAAGTAAAAATTACTGTTTACAACATGGCATTTCAGCATTTTTAACAGTGTCCTCGTCTTTTCCGACAGTGCGAGCTTTTCTCTCCAAGAATTATTAACGACATGTTGATCACAGTGACCTCTGAGAGCTGAATCATGCAAATGTCTGTATTTACGAACCTCTGCCATACTAGTTCTTGCCGGTCCGCCATGTTTTTCCGCGTCCGACCATCCACGTGGTTAGAAAATTTCCTAGGTGCGCGTTGCGGAAATTTTGGGCCGTGCGGAGGCGCGGTGGAGGGGTGTGGTTGTTAAAATGACGCAAAATGACGCAACTTTTCCACGCGGACCTCGCGGATGCGTCAAACATAAACCAACCTTTAGACATCTGCTCATGTACTGATGTCAATCACAGAGTGTGTGTGTGTAGAGAGTGTATGTGGAAGTATAGATTGAGTAACGTTTTCGAGGAAAGACACAGCACATCATGGAGCAGCCATAACTGCCTTTACAGCCACTACGACTGCCTGCTCCTCAAAGAAAGACACAAGTTAGGGGAAGCCGCCGAGGACTAAACTGGCCAAAGAGCGCCTCAAACACAGGCAAAGACTTTACCTCGGACCTGCTTTTCAAAAGATCGCTGCGTTCAACTCGGGTGTCAAACAGACACGGATAAGAAATATAAATAAATAAACAGCATAACGTGAGAATAATAAATGTAACATGTTTTAGCTCTGTTGCCCAGCTACTGGTGTGCTTTGAATTATATCACGGAAGCAGGGAGAGGGGCTTAAAGGTGCAATACACTTCTCTGGCTCTAGGTGGTGCCAGCTGAGAAAAAATCTCCAGATTTCTGCTTTAAGGAGGAAACACAACAGTAAAACCTGAGTGGCTAATCCCATGACTTACCAACATTAGTGGGGAAGATATTCTCATTGTTGATTTGTACCTCGATCCAATCCATGAGCAGGCTCATGTATTTGGGCGCCGATAGGGCGGTCGGCCTCTTGTACTTGTGCTCGTCCTGCCAGCGGTATTCGTACTTGGGCCCGCCGGACATGACGGGGCAGGTTTGATCGGTGCACGAGTCACTGATGGTGCCGTAGATGAGATTGATGCGGTTGAAGAAGTCAACCACGTGGACAGCCACCCAGTCGTTGAGGTCCTCGCCGTGGGGGAGCTGCACGGCCTGCTTCAGGTCCAGTCCTGCGTTCAGAGACGCCTGGGCCTTCTTGTGCAGATCAAAGCGCTGCGTCCCGGGCTCAAACTTGCGCTTGGGCCGGAATGTTCTATCTTTGTTGAAGACTTGTTTCAGGGCCATGGACATGTTCGCATGTGGTGGCGGTGGAAACTTGTTGGAATGCCTCTAGTGAATTATTTACTGTTGAAATGGAAGCAGTCAAAAGGTTGTGTACACAACCTGTGTGGACTTTTTGTTATGAAAGTCTTACGTTTTATATTTGGACTCAATCTGCGACTCTGATCCTGCATGTGAAAGAGACACAGTTTAGTCAATAAACATATTTATACACTGAAATACAAACTGTCTGACTAAAAATAAACATTATGTTGACTATAATTAGCTACTATAACTTATTTATAACTGAAAGTGACAAATGTTCATGACAGATCGGCAAAGTCTCTAAAAGCTTCAAATTTTGTTTTTTTAAATGAACAATTTATTTAAATTTATAACAGAATGGATCATTTCAGATGTATAAAAAACATCTCGGTACTTTACAATTGTAAAATTTGTCCTATATTTAGTCCCAGATTTAAGTGATCCAATGAAATGCAGAACACTTCATTAACATTTTCATTCAATATACGCTTCAAAATCATGTATCCATCATAAAATGTGTCAAATAATAAAGCTCATTTAATGCAAAAAATAACACGAGGGTAAATCATTCTTTACTCTGACGTTTACCAACAAAAAAAGTCTAATTAAAATCTAACTTTATGCGATTAGTGTGAGAAAATTACAAGTAAAGTTAACAGACTTCCAGACAAAGATACAAATCTGTGTCATAATGAGTCATTTCCTCTTTCTGACACCAACTCCACCGCAGGAGCAAGAATCTGCTAAATGACAATAAATTCAGTTAGAACTACATGTTAACACTACAGGGCCATAATATAATAACCATTTAGACCTCCATCTGAAACACCACCTCCTCATAGCAGAGCGGATTTCATCGTTATAGCTCGTTTTCCAGGATGAAAGACGCAGATTATGAAGCGGGGCACATGATGACGACTGTGCGAAGTTTGTCCGTGACGCGAACAGCTAACTCGACCGGACTTGTTGCTCTAAAAACGGGTTAAACCCGAACGAGACACAGCAGACATACAATACCCACAATTAATTCACATTTTCGTTAAAATCGATCATAACAGTCATCTTTGAATCCAAGACGGCGCTTCAAACGGTGACGAAATCGCAGTTTCAAAGCCACTTTCCCCGAACTTACTTGTTCCGCCTTCCTGTTTCCTTCGATCTTTAAGCGAAAACGTTCAGATAACCAGTCGTTAGCTCTATGTCGGCAGCATACACGGCCAACATCATGGATACATGTTGCGAAAAATGCTGTAAAATAACGGATAAATCAATAAGTATGTCAATTTATTACAGAAACAAATGTCTGACTCCTCCCTGCGCAGCGAAAAGTACACCAGGGTTAAGTTAGGAGTTAGCATTAACACTTCCACTTGGTAATTTCAAAATAAAAGCCCTTTTCAAGAAAGACGCACAGTGCAAACACATCTTTTAAAGGTGCCGTGTGTAAGAATCTGATGATAAATTTACAGTGAGAAAATCCCAAAAGAAGCTACTCTTTCAGTCATTTTGGAAGGAGGAAGCTTATACTGAAACATTTCATGTCTAGCTGGCTGTGGGGATTGTGAGTTTTTCTAATGTCAAAACAAAGGAAGGAGGGACTACTATTTTGCATTAGTGAGAGTGGGATTGCCATCATTCTGACTACATGTGCTTCCTCGTCGAATATTCCTACCGCAGCGTGTTATGACAGTTTCGCTCTTGTTTACAGTATAGTAACACCCTTGCTAAGCACGGTTGATTTTAAATATGTGACATTACTCAAAAATACAGAACTGTGGTATAAATATTAGCAAAAATATACAGTGTTTGTTGTGATTTATTTATGAAAAAGACCGTGTCCGTCATGATTCCATGAAGACAGTAAACAATAGGAAAAGTTTCTTGTTTACAGTATAATAACAATGTTTTACAAGCCATTTACAAGCTAATTGTCAGGTGAACATACAACAAGCAGTGATATAACAAATTCCAGAGGTAGCGAGTCTCTTCAGGTAAACAGCCTGTGATGTAGTAATTGGTCTGTGCATGCGCATTTCATATCGACGAATAGCACGAATAGTTGGAACACCGTGTCTCCTGTGAGCTAATACTGCAGTGCCGATAATTGTATTTTGGCGACGGCTGGCAAAACGCACCAGAGATGCTTTAAGTGGTTGCAGTAACAAAATTTTACCACAGAATGTAATTTTTACTTAAATTTCTACATAATGCACCTTTAAATCCACATCAATGGTTGACTTAGTTAGTTTTAAAATGTATAATAGAAATCAATTTCAATCAGTCATTATCAATTCATAATTTAGAATATTTCTGAAGTTGAAACGGTGATTCAAATAAACAGTTTGCTGTAATGTTCTTTTCTAAAAAGAAAATATTTCTGTTTTATATGCCAATGTACATCATTGTTCTTTAGATATGAGCTCAGTAATAACAGAAAATAAAAGCTCTATAAAGATGCATTTTGAGATTACCGTTAGCCGAACAAAAAAATTGCAAACAAAAATATTCGATTCTCATTTTTTATTGAATCACCCCTTTTGGTGAAAATAGAACAAAAATAGAAAATAGAACATTTAAATTCACTGCTCAAAACTTTCAAAACTGTGAGAACTTTATTTTGAAGAGTAATTTGACAACTTCGGTGTATTTTTGAGTGTTGCCTGGCAGAGCAGGAGCGCTTCCTCTCATCAGGCTGTTTCAGATGACAAGAGCCACCCTGACTAACCTCATTTCTTTTGTAACACAAGTAAAGGCAAACCACAAAACTTGTTTAAATTACTGACATTAAAAACATTCATGTCAAACATCCAGGCTCATAAATTTAACAACGAACCATCACAAAAACAAGCCCTTTTGTTACAGATGTTTGAATAAAGCACAAAGAAATAATAAATCCTCTCAAGATGAGGAAACATGTTCATGCTTTCACTTAAGTTTTTGTTGACTGTGATTATTTTGTCCTTCCCACACAACATTAACACATTCTGCTGTGGTAAAAAATACTCTCATTTGTTCATGATTTCTCGTGTTTTACTCCCTTCTCTGTCAAATCTTTGAAACATGCAGGCTCTTTGTGTTTCAGCACTTAAAAATTGAACAGTCATATTTTTACATACTCACACACTCATGCTGCAGCATTTACATGATTCACATGATTATATGGCATTAAAACAATTTTTGATCAAGGTATGTCAGAACAAACCAACTCTGTTATTTTCTGGAATAAAAATCCTTCTAGGCAGAGAGTACACAGATAATAATATTAAAAGTACCTCATGCATCATATAGTCCCAATATTATTATAGAAACACCAGAATATAGAAGTATTTCCTTAATCCCATGTGAACACTTAACATTCAAATCATGACAGGACGACCGTACAGACCCTCTTTGCACAGCAGAAACTCTGACCTCTAATTTGCAAATGCACATTTATAGTCATTGAGGCCTGCTTAGCTGTAACAGCACTGTAGTCAAAGCCCGTCAGTGTGCACTGCTCATAAAACGCTCATTGTTTTGGTTGTTTAACGATTGGTTGAAAGGACGCTTTGTGCTCCGTTTCAGATAGAATGGTCCTTTTTCTGTCTATGGCTCGGCAGCTGCTGTGGCTCCTTCTGCTCCCTCAAGCTTGGCCTTGCCGGATAAGGAGTAATGATAAGACCTCATGGTCTCCTCAACCTTCTTGAAGTCGGGGCGGTCCTCGTGCCTGGCATGAGAGGAAGAGGAAGGAGATATTTTATCATACTGACAGTGTTTGTCTCAAATATAACTGTCAGATGAATCCTTCAATCAACATTAAAATTCTAGAAAATCCTCTGTCGACCTATATAATATAGAGCAGTACATGTATCAGCATAGAGGAGTCAGCTGGAGGAGAAAGTGGCAGAACACAACATGATTTGGAGTCCTATTTCTTGATATTTGGACATCTCTCCTCTGATTGGCTAACAACAACTCGACTCTACAACTGAAGCTTGGTTTATGCTTGACGCATGTACATTACGTGTGGAAATGACACGCGCAGATGAGACATGCTTCGGAAACTTGCAGCATTTATGGTTCCTTCCTACCCTCTGCTGTGAGCCAATACTCTCCCAGACTGTAGGGGGCGGCATGGGGCTCTACGGCATGTATACAACACTAAACCACAGTATAAATCACTGTTGTTTACAACATTCTTTCACTATGTCCTCTTTTTTTCTGACTGTGACAACAATTCTTACCAATATTTTGATCATGGTGATCTTTGTGGACCGAATCATAAAGGTGTCTGTACTTACGAACCTCCGACACTACTAGCGCTTGCCAGTCTGCCATGTTTTTCTGCACAAGAACGTCCATGTGGTTAGAAAATTTCCTAGGTGCGCGGTGCGGAATCTTTGGGCTGTGCAGAAGCCACTCGGAGGGGCATGGTTGACTATGTTTGCTCTGAAACATTGATGTTTTATCTTCACAAATAACACAAGCCTGAAGGAGTTCTGCTGTGTGGTGAAGTTGCTATTGCTAACAGTTAGCTTCTACTATCCGAGACGTTCTCTGCTGTTTCCTGGACGCTAAAACAACAATAAGCTAAGTGACAGTGTGACGTAGATCTGTCAGGATTTTCTAATCCTAAAGTTTCAATGTATATTTTCTATCAGAAACTAATGCAGGAGAAATGTGTAGGAGACTATTTTCACGTTCAGCCTGCATGAAAAACTCAGAGTGACCGTTTATAATCAGAAATAATCATTAAAAATTGTTTTTTAGTGTTCCGCACCTTTAATCACCCAAAACAGATAACATTTAGATTTATTGAATGAAAAGAAAAATGTAGATAGGTGAAAAAACACAGGTAAGAAATTCAGTTTCTTACGAGTATGTCCAGCACTCATTCATCACTGCATACATTCTCTCTGGACATGCTGCAGGACACTCCATACGACCCCCGCCTTCGATGAAGCGCGTCACCTCTGGCCCTTTCATTTTCTGGACAAAAACAATAATCAGTTTGTTCAGAATCCTGGCAGGAATTATCTGATCGAGTCAAACATTCATGGCATTTTGCATTAATAGTCTGCTGTACTTTGTAGGGTTTCCCTCCATAGGAAAAGGCCTCCCACATGGTGATTCCATAACTCCACACGTCACTTTTGCTGGAGAATTTGTGAAAGTTTATACATTCTGGAGCGTACCACTTTATTGGCCATTTTCCTGCAGTACGAGCCTGAAAACATCAAAAGGAAGTTGATAATAGTTTTATTTAAACACTTTAATTAGTCCTTTAATTAAAATGAATGTCCAACGAGAATCTACAGCTTTTAAAAATGTGAATACTTACTTTATAGTAGCTGTCATCGGCTCCCAGCGCCTTCGAGAGCCCAAAGTCACTGATTTTGGCGAATTGTTGGTTGACCAGCAGGACGTTTCGAGCAGCCAGATCTCTGTGAACAAAGTTCTTCTCCTCCAAGTACTTCATCCCCATTGATACCTGATGCATCAGGTTGACAATGTTTTCCACAGATACGGTATCCCTGTGGGGACAAAGTCAGTGAGCATACGGTTTTAACTTTTGCATGAATTTGCTCTGGAGGCTGCTGCATCAGATCGCTGTTGTCATCTTTTATTTGTGGTTAAATTAGTTATTTGTTGCCATTTTAAGTTTAAAAAATGAGAAAAAAATAAACCTTACAAACGTGAAAACAAATGAAAAGAAGCATTTAGTTTAAATTGTAAAAAAAGCAAAACAAAGCCACACTCACTCAAAATTGTTTATTTCCCTTTAAGGGTTGCTAATTTTGATGCAACGTCCCATTTTTAAACTTATACCATTGTGATATTTGTTGTATGCTAATGAGAGACACTTCTGTAAGCACGAGTATAGATGACCGTGCTTTTAATGACCAAGAGCGATAATAAGACTTTTTATATTATAGACATGTCTCTGTAATTTGCAAATGCATTAAAATGTTATTAAGTGATAATTTATTCCTTTAATTATGACTTAGCTTTGTCATAATTATGAGACACTAAGTCATAACTATGAGACAGCTAAATCATAATTATGAGATTTTTTTTTTCATTATTTTTTTTATCTGAGTGGTAGGAATGAGCTTCCATATTCAAAGAGCAAGTCGCCTCCAAATCAACTTTCTTTTGCTGATAAACGATGTAAATGACTGTCTAATCGTGCTGGAGACACATGTAGTCAATGATTTGGCCCTTTAGTGCATCTCAGTTAAAATGTAACTATTCTGCCTAAAACAGTCTATGTTGTGCCCTCTTCAGGTAAGAATTCTTCACTACATTTACATTTAAATCTTCCATCACTTTTGGCTAAGAGGTACACTATAGGTGTTTTTCCACTACAAGAACTTCAGGGTAGATTTACAGGAACCTCCCAACATGAGCGTGTCTCCACCTGACCAGGGAGTCCGAACGGCCTTTTTCAGGAACCTTCTGAGTGCCTGATCTGGAGTAGATACTCTGAACGGCGTGGTAGAGGAGCTGAGTGGAACCTCCGGTTTACTCACGCTGATTGGTTGTAGCTCAGTAGGAAATTACATCAGCAAATGTCCAAAACAACCGGCAGCAGTAAAATTATAAGGGTAGCTGGTAAAAAAAAAAAAAAGGAGAGTAGCTGGTGAAGCAGAATGGAAGCAAAAAAAAAAAAAAGCACCGTCCATCCGTCCATCCATCCATTTTCATCCGCTTATCTGGAGTCGGGTCGCGGGGGCAGTAGCCTAAGGCGAGAGGCCCAGACTTCCTTCTCCCCAGCCACTTGGGCCAGCTCCTCCGGGGGAATCCCAAGGAGTTCCTTAGCCAGGTGAGAGACATAGTCCCTCCACCGTGTTCTGGGTCTACCTTTAGGACTCCTCCCAGTTGGACGTGCCCGGAAAATCTCACCAGGGAGGAGTCCAGGAGGCATCCTGACCAGATGCCCGAGCCTCCTCAACTGGCAAAAAAGCACCAACCCATTTAAAATCTAACTCCTGACACCGGAAAACTCTGTGAAATTCCCCCACAGCTGTTGGAAAAAAATAGGAAATTCCCCCACAGGCTTAAAGCAGCTTTCTGGAGTTTTCCCCTTTCAGAAATGATGTATGATTTTTCAGAAATACGTAAAAGCGATTATCTCATATTTACATATAATGTAAGCAACACGTCTTTTTTTTGTGCTAAGCACGCCCCCTGCCCTGCAGAGCTCTGGGCAATAGGAAACTGAGCGCCGATCAGAACTAACCAATAGCGTTAGACTACGGCTTAGATGCTTCAAATTTAAGGAATACCTGCCAAAGCAGTCGTGATATGCTGATGTCTGTGCAAGTTCTGAAAGGGCTGAATTTGAATGGAGACACAACATCTGAGAGGACTGGGACATTCCTTCTCCCGGTCAAGTTCCCCATCCCAGGAACTATGCTGGAGTTCTAGTAATAGAAACATGCCTTTTGTTGTTAGTTGGTACCATATGATGTCACAATGCCACTGTGTGTGTGTGTGTGTGTGTGTGTGTGTGTGTGTGTGTGTGTGTTTGTTAGTGGCTCCGCACTCTCTTTCTGCCAGGCAACACCCCCTTGTGGCACATTTTTTAAACAGGGAAATGGAAAGGAAGTTAGACTCTGGTAGGGGGGTGACTAGCTCTTTAAGAACTAGGATTTTACAAAAAGCGATTAATAAATAAGATTTTATTTTACAGTTTTTCCAAAATAATTGTGAAAAAATCACTTAAAAAAAGGGGGGGGGGGTAAGCAATATGATAAGAAGAATATGAGACATGTAATCATTATCACAGTTAGGAGAGGTTAATATGTGTATTTTTAAAATTGCACTGAGGATTGCTGCTCTTAGTGGTGTATTATTATTGGGTTCGTTTACCTGCTATTTGTGACACATACACACATATTTCCTTCCTTATACTTTCTTAGGCTGAAAAGAGAACCAGCTCACCAACAGGAGAAATTAGTTTCCAGGAAGTTGATAATTTGATTAATGATGTTTCAGCCAAAGTATAATGTGGGCTTGAGCTGGAGCTAATATTTAAGCACACAATAGGGTGTTATCCGATGAGGATCTAAGCCTACCTGATGCACTATATGATGTAAATCTATAGTAGTAAAACAGTTTTTTTTACAAACATCATTCCCTCCTTCTGTTCTTACTAACTTTTTGGAGGAGAGGAATTTGTTGAGAGGACCGGCACCAGCCATCTCCATGACGAGCATCAGATGCTCAGCGTTGCACAGGCCCAGCATTCGGACGATGAACGGGTTACTCAGCTGGTGCATGATCTCCGCCTCCCTCATCATCTCCTCCTTCACCAGCTTTTCATTCTCGCTCTTCAGTATTTTGATGGCCACGTCTTCATGACCCCTAAGAGCGAGATGAACACCCATCACCCAAAGAGCTGCAGAGATTCTGGATATTTTGCTTTATAATGTTTAAATCTTACGAGTTGGTTTTGAGGACCCCCTTCTTGACACATCCAAAGTTCCCAGAACCAAGCTCCACCTCATCCACCATCAGCTGATCTCTCTGGATGTTGAACTTCTTGATGTCGTTTGGGTTGTGATACGGGTTGAATCCGTTACAGTCCATGGGTAGAAGGTCATGGTCCTGAGCGACGGCAGTAGCTGGTTTCAAGGGTATCGCTGCAGGTGGAAGTTAAACACACATAATTTAATCCCTCAGAAAAACCTGTGGGAAAGTGTGTATTTGTATGAGACATATTATGACTTATTTTCTTAACTTATAATAGTTATATGGTCAACACAAAACATGTTTATGAAGTTCTTTGCACAAAATCCCTCTCACATGAATCAGTCCCAGGAGTTTTATTCTCAACAGTTTCAGTACCTTCCAGAATGAGCCATTTCAGAGCTATTTCACTTTAAGAAAACAAGCTTTAGTTGACCACACTCACCTATGCCCCGCTCAGGCTGCTATAGGCTGAGAAGCTCTGATATTTTGAAGGGGCTCAGAAGAGCTGCAGTTTTACTTTTCCAACTTGTGATGTCACAAATGAAGGATAATTTTTTAATGGCTCATTTAAGGCACATGATTCCTAAAACACTGACACAAAAAGGATGGACAAGTTTTTCACGTTTGGAGTGTTCACAGAGACTGTAGAGACCCACAAAGATGCAAAAGGTGAGTTTTGCATTAAAATGTATTTTTGAACTCTGTTTAATTTCTGAACACCAAAAAAAAAAAAAAACCCAAAAAAACAAAACAAAGAAAAAACCTTGTTCAGAGAAAACATCTTAAATTTGTACACTGACTTTTAATTTGTTGCAGCTGGCACAGAAAAATATTGAACTTCTTATCATTTTCATTAGTTTTAAAGATCAAGTGTGCCATTTTTTTTTCAAGACATCTTCAGTGGTCCCTAGCATAAACAAATGCCTTGTGAATTTATCTCTGTGGAAAAAAGCACCCGCATTCCTGTTTCAGGAAGTGGAATTTAGCCAGAGGAGTGGGGAGCAGAAAATGGCAGGATTTGTAGTCCATCTCATCAATACTTCCTGAGATTCATACCTCCCGCCTCTGACTGGCTAACAGCAACACAACTCTACCATGGACCCTGTTTGCACTGGAATGTTGATGTTTTATCTCCACAAATAACACAAGCCTGAAGGAGTTCTGTTATGTTGGAGAGTCGCTAATGCTAATGGTTAACTTCTACCAGCCAAGACGGGCTCTGCTCTCTCTTGCACGCTAAATCAACAACAGCCTTTCCCGGTCGTGAGCCAAGATGGGTGAGTCCATGAATGTGACGTAGATCTGAGTGGCTTTTTCTGATCCGTGTTCCCCCGTCTGTTTTGTACTGGTGGATAAAAAATGGTAAATGGCCTGAATCTGATATAGTGCCTTCTAGGGTTCTACAACCCCCCAAGGACCTTTACAACACAGTCATAGTAGTGATGAGCTACACTGTAGCTACAGCAGCCCTGGGGCACACTGACAGAGGCGAGGCTGTTACCGTTCATATTTTAAAAAGTAACTTGTTTTTTCAATTCCTTATTTAAGTTTAATTTTACTCCTATAGACATAAAGCAAAGTTGGAAAAAAAACTTTTTAAATCAAATTTGAAAACATCAACAAAATTTAAAAAATGCAACATTTTCCAACTTTCTTAACATTTTGCTTTTTCACAAGAAATTTTATGATAATTCATATGCTAATAATTATTTTAAATTCTATATAAATTAGGAATTAAAAGTATTTGGCCATTTGTTTCATTCTACTTCAAAAAAAGTAATAATAATAATAATTTCCTCAAACAAATAAAAAGTGCAACAAATATTTGATGCTTTAGCATTTTTCTTGACGTGGACATGAAGCCCTAGGGCAGGGGTATTCAAGTCCGGGCCTCGAGGGCTTATATCCAGCACATTTCAGTGGTTTCTCTGCTCCAACACACCTCAGCAAAGGTAATTCATGTAATCGATCCCCAGTGAGTCGGGGTGGATGGCTGCTTATACTGAGCCAGGATCCTCTGGAGGTTTCTTCCTGTTAAAAGGGAATTTTCTTCTCCACTGTCGCTAAACACTTGCTTAGTATGAGGATTGCATCAAGTCACTGACACTAGTCAGTGACTTGATGCAATCTGCTGGGTTCCTTATATAGGAAACTTTTTTTCTGATTGGCATTGGAATGTTTACTATGTGAAGTGCCTTGAGACAACTCTTGTCATGATTTGGCGCTATATAAATAAACTTAAATTGAACTGAATTAATTCAGTGGTTGAATCACCTTTGCAGCAGCTCGTCAGGCTCTGCAGAAACCTGTTAATCACCTGCTGATTGAAATTAGATGTGTCGAAACAGAATTAAAACTAAAACATGCTGGATACCGGCCCTCCAGACTCAGAACTGAATACCCCTGCCCTATAGGGCTTTGAGCTCAGACTGAAGCTGCTGCTGCAGAAATACTTCTGTCTACAACTGACCTCTAGGTGGGGGTGTGTATCCGTTTGCTGCATGTCGTCTCTGAAGAAAAACACCAAAATCAATCTCAGTGAGTGAAAAGTTAGCAGACACACACTGTGCTATGGAAATTTTATATTTCATTACTGTAGTCCTATTTACAAATCTATTCCTGAAAGCATTCACATTCTCACACACACACACACACACACACACACACACACACACACACACACACACACACACACACACACACACACACACACACACACACACACACACACACACATTCTTGTCCTCCCATACACGCACACACACTCACTCACTCTCTCTCACACGATCCACTCCCATTCCTTTCTTATCTTTTTGTATAAATAAATTCTGTGACCAGATGCTCTGGGGCATTTGCCCTGTGCACTTGCCACAAATCATAATTTGGTTGTATGTCTGCCTTATTGTCTGTTGTCCCTCTCTCTAGCTGCAGGAAATGGATTTATTGATAAACATATTGATAAAATCCCTGGCATATGCAGTGGATACTTACAGTTGGAGGAAGACTGCGAGTCTCTGAAATGGTACAATAAAATAGTTTTAACTCCACAATGTAAGCATGGCTGTGCATCAGATAGGTGAATTATAAATAAATAAACTGGAAATGAGAAAAAAGTGCAGTACTCTCAGCAGCTTTGCCATTGACGCAGGCCTCCCCGAGGACGGTCACCAGGCCATCAGGCTTCATCTTCAGATACTCGACCAGCTAAAAGGAAAGAGAAAATGACTAATTTAGATTAATGAAGGTAGGCAAAGATGTAAAACAGCATCAGACCAACCTGCCAGATTGTGTCAAACTTTGTTCCATCTGGCATTGACAGTTTTCCAGATTTGTCCTGGATGACCTGATAGTGGTAAACAGTTTTTCCATACATGACGGAGAGAGCAAACGTACCAGCTTCCTCTTTGTCTCTGACTCTAATCCAAACAAAGACAAAAACCTTCAATAGGAGCTCAACAGCTATAAAGCAGATAAAAAAGAAAAAGAAAAGTCACTACGACCAACGTACAGAAACTTGCCGTCATGTTGAGCTCCGGAGTAAAGCCGTCTCTCTCCTTCATGTCGGTTGATTTTCCCGTGATACCAGGGCATCTTCTCATGGGCTGTGGTGGCAATCAGCTTCTCCAGCTGAGGAGCTTGACTGATGATGGCCTGCTCCATGGCTTCCCCCTGAACAGACACACTCATTTATACTTCTTGAAGGGTTTTGGTGTCCCCATGATTGCTTTAAAACACATTTTGCTTTGACACTTAAAATTATGTTTGCTTGTTCGTTCGTTTTCCTCTGCCTATCCAGGTCTGGGTCGCGGGGGGTAGCATCTCAAGTAGGGCATCCCAGACAGCCCTCTCAACGGTCATCTCCACTAAGGCCTGTGACAGGACCCCAAGGTGTTCCCAAACAAGATTGGAGATACTGTGTACTTGCTCCAACGTGTCCTTGGTCGACCCGGGGGCCTCTTGCTGGCAGGACATGTCCGAAACACCACCCATGTAAGCCGTCCAGCCGGCACCCTAACAAGAAGCCCAAACCACCTCAGCTGGCTCCTCTCGATGCAGAGGAGCAGCGGCTCTACTCTGAGTACCTCCTGAATGTCCGAGTTCCTCACCCTATCTCTACGGCTGAGCCCAGCCACCCGCCGAAGGAAACTAATTCCTTCAGGAAAGGAAACTGCTTAGCCAATCACCCGACCTGAACGGCATTACATTCATCTCCGACAACAAAGTAAGGAACCTTGGTGTTATCTTTGACCAGGACATGTCCTTCAAATCCCAGGTTAAACAGGTTTGTAGGATTTCCTTCTTCCACCTTTAGAATATTGCTAAGATATAAACATCCTTTCCAGGAGTGATGCTGAAAAACTAGTTCATGCATTTATTACATCAATACTGGATTACTGTAATTCTTTACTATCAGGAAGTCCACAGAATGTAGTTAAAATTCTTCAGCTTGTCCAAAATGCTGCAGCTAGAGTTCTGATGAGAATTAAAAAGAGAGATCATATATCTCGTGTCTTAACTTCCCTACATTGGCTACCTGTTAAATTCAGAATAGATTTTAAGATTCTCCTTCTCACATATAAAGCTCTTAATAATCAAGCTCCATCATACATCAGTGACCTGACTGTTCCATATGTTCCTAACCGAGCACTTCACTCTCAGACTGCAGGTTTACTGGTGGTTCCCAGAATATCTAAAAATAGGATGTGAGGCAGATCTTTTAGCTATTAGGCTCCTCTCTTGTGGAACCAGCTCTCAACTTTAGTCCATGAAGCAGACACCATGATGTTAGCCTAGATCTGGACAAGTGGGGGAGTAGACTGAGGTGGAGTGTACAGTCGGTAAAGACGGCTCTCCCTTGCCCTGCCTTCAACATGCCTCCATCTAAAAGGCTAGGTTATCCAGAGTTACCTCTGTAGTTATGCTGCTATAGGCTTATACTGCTGGAGGACATACTGACCACTTTCCACACTCGACTACTTTCTTCTACAATTTGCTCTTTAACTGTATGATTTTCTGCAATTTCAGCTGTTAGCTTTATTTATTCTCTAAGTGTTTTTCTCCCCAGAAGAAGCTACAATGATGTTCTGCTGAGCTGTGGTGGCCTCATGGAGGGGGCCATCGGCTAGCACACTGCTGCTAACCACTTAAACATTCTCCCTCTCCTCATAATAACTTTTTACTTTCTTTGATACTGAATGTGCTACTACTAGTTTACCCCTTTAATTATAGATTCACTAGGATAAATATAATAAAGTTTATCTCTCACCAAATAGAATATTTACTAAGAAATCACAATGTAACCTGTGTGGGTGGGTTGGTGTTGTGTGTGTGTGTGTGTGTGTGTGTGTGTGTGTGTGTGTGTGTGTGTGTGCGTGCGTGTGTGTGTGCGTGTGTGTGTGTGTCTGCTCTGTCTTCTCGATCCCCATTGAGTCGTGGTGGATGGCTGCTTATATGAGCCAGGATCCTCTGGAGGTTTCTTCCTGTTCTAAGGGTGTTTTCCTCTCCACTGTCGCTAAATGCTTTCTTAGTATGAGGATTACTGTAAAGACACTGACGCTAGTCAGTGACTTGATGCAATTTTCTGGGTTCCTTATATAGGAAACTTTGTCCTTTGTCACTGATTCTGTTCATAACTTTGATGGACGGGATTTCTAGGTCTCTATTTTGCAGATGACGTGGTTCTGTTGGCTTCATCAGACAGTGATCTCCAGCCTTCGCTGGAGCAGTTCGCAGCCGAGTGTGAAGCGGCTGGGATGAGAATCAGCTCCTCTAAATCAAAGACCGTGTTCTTGAATTGAAAAAGGGTAGAATGCTTTCTCTAGGTCAGGGATGAGGTCCTGCCCCAAGTAGAGGAATTTAAGTATCTCGGGGTCTTGTTCATGAGTGAGGTAAAAATGGAGCGTAAGATTGATAGGTGGATCGGTGCTGCGTCTGCAGTGATGCAGGCATTGTATCGATCTGTCATGGTGAAGAGAGAGCTGAGCCGGAAGGCAAAGCTCTCGATTTACCGGTCGCTCTACGTTCCTTCCGTCACCTATGAGACATAAATTATAATGAACAAGATTGCAGATACAAGCAACCAAATTTAGTTTTCTCTCTAGGGTGGCTGGCTTAGAGATAGGGTGAGAAGCTCGGTCATCTGGGAGAGGCTCAGAGTAGAACCGCTGCTCCTCCATGTCGAGAGAAGCCAGTTGAGATGGCTTGGGTATCTGGTCAGGATACCTTCTGGACGCCTCCCTGGTGAGGTTTTCCAGGCACGTCCAACTGGGAGGAGACCCGAGGGAAGACCCAGGACTGGAGGGACAATGTCTCTCGGCTGGCCAGGGAACATGTTGGGATTCCCCCCTAGGAGCTGGCCCAAGTAGCTGGGGAGAGGGAAGTTTGGGCCTCTCGGCTCAGGATGCTGCCTTTGCGACCCGACTCCGGATAAGCGGGTGAAAATGGATGGATGGAAATTCAACATTTCATTTCTCACAGTGTAAAATAGGTCTCTGAAATATGAAATTACATTTTCTCAAGCATGAAGATAAACTTTGTTGGTAATTTCGAGCAAAACAGTTTTCCATTTTAATATTTGAGGGAGGTGATAAAATATGACAATGACTTATCTAGATTTGAGTTGTTAAATGTTCTTCTTTCAAAGAAATGTCAAAATTCTAAACCTCACCTCCAGATTCCAGGTCTGCTTCACGTACTCCCTCAGCATGTTCTCCCTCATTTTGTCAAAAACTCCGGACTTTATCTGTGTGTCTGCGGAACGCAGGCAAGGTTTCTTTAGCAGGCACACCAGCCCGTCCGCGTCTTTGCTGTAGTACTCACAGAGCTCCCCGGGCCCACAGTGAGGCTTCCCTCCCGGGATGCAATAAGTGCCATTAAGCTGCTTCTCTATGGAGTAATGATGGAAGTCCAGGTTCCACACAACAGACAGGACGTAGCCTCCAAGGCTGCGGAGACACTGGCGCAACAAGAAGAGGCCGTCGGCCATGCCGGCCAGCTTCAGGTGCTGCTCGGCGTCTGAGCGACTGATGCTGCCATAGAAGAAAGGAAGCTCGCTCGCTGGGTCGATGGACATACTGAGACCTAGGAGAATGAAGCCGGACCTGGTCTGAAAGTCCTGGAATAAGGAAGGAAACTAGACAGGAAGAGAAGCGGAAAAAAGCAGAGTGACCTTTTGTAATTTTTCACTGAACATTCATCAAATTATCAAACAAGGTGAAGGAACACAGATTAAAATTTTAGCTCAAACATTACAACATCCTTACCTGTTCTCCTTTATAACAGCTGCTTTTTCCTAGCAGAACAAACCCAACAGAACCCGGTTTTACATTATTGTTGGTTCTGCACAGAGGAGCTGTGAGGAGTTATATGCCTAAATGAGGCATTTAGCAATAGACACCCACACTTTGAGATCGCATGAAGCTTGCAGATTAACACACTGGTGACAAAAGCCACAACAGGAAGTCGTAGTCCGCCCTCACAGCCTCATTCCTCCAGCATGTCGCTCTTCCGTTGAGCAGGTGCCGTTTGGTTCTAGAGCATTCCTCCCTGCTTCAGAGGTTCGAGTTTGTGAATTTATTATTTACAAAACAAAAGAAAGAATGAAGTGATGTCTCCAGTAATACAATAATCAGTAAAGGGTTTAATTGCAGTAATTATTGTGTGTGTGTGTGTGTGTGTGTGTGTGTGTGTGTGTGTGTGTGTGTGTGTGTGTGTGTGTGTGTGTGTGTGTGTGTGTGTGTGTGCGCGCATTTGACATGTAGAGTTGATTGAGATGAAAGAAGAACGATAAGATTAAAATCATGCAGGTTCTGCAGCAGCCTGGAACATTCATTCGAGAGCTGACAGAATTTGCGTGTTTCGGTAAAAGTGGGAATTTACAGTGATCATGAGACATTCATAAAACTTATAGGACACAGAAAGGAAGGTGACAGAACTTTTGTTAAATATAAAGTTTTTGGTTCTGGTTTTGGAAATTCAGGCTATTTCTTCACCTTTACATGCAGAAAACTTGTATTCACTTTGCGTGAGTTTGATTTTATGTCATGAAGTTAATCAGTTTAAGCTTTAAAATGATTTTTAGAAAATAGCTGTTTACTGGTTTTAAAACTTGTTTGAACATCGTTTTAACTGAAAAGTAGCCAAACTGCAAATTTAAATGAGCTAAAAATATTGATAAGTTTTCTTTTATTTTAGAAAGTCAGACCTGAAAACTGTTAAATGGAAACATGCTTAATCGTCTAGCCAGATTCATGTCAAGAAATGGAAAGAATCAGACTCAGATGTAGTTTGTGAGTGTGTGTGGCTCTGAACTAGGTGTGTGTTCACACCGTTGTGTTTGGCTCTCTTTGTTGTGGTGAGTTGGGGCACAGGTCATGGTGGAGTTCTGATTTTTGTGGCAGCTATGTCTTTATGTTTGCTTGTCCACTGTAGATGTGGGCAAAAAAACAAAAAACAAAACATGAAACTGAGGTTTTGCAGATGATGCACAGATTAAACATTTACCTGTATGTGAAACCGACCTTGGAATCTGCTCAAAGATTCTCCTTTAAACAATGGAAATTGTAATTCATGCAAATTTTTATAGGGTGCCACTTGTAATGTTTGTAATCATTTTTAACATTTAGTTTGCAAACTAAATACCTATCTTCTAATTAAATATTTAGATCCCAGCTAAATATTTGATTTGGAGCTAAACATTTAGTTTACAAAAGGACTGTTTAGCTTTACAAACGGCACCCCATACAAATTTGAGGGCATTTTTAATAGACTCAAATTTCACAACGGGAGTTCTTACCTTTTCAGAACAGAAAGAGAAAAGAGTACATCTGATTTTTAAATATTTTTTTTACTAACACCTTTAAAGAAAAACATAGACAGCACCAGAGAAGTGTCAGCTCAGCACGTTCTCCTTAAAAACGTGATTTTTATGCATTTTCTACATAAACCATAAAAACAATAGTAGAGGGGAAATTGATGCGACACAGTTCTCATTGCAGTTTTTTAAAGCTGACACATGGATGAGACCCCCACGGTATGTCTGGCACTAGAAGTTTAACAGGTGGAAAGGGGTGGTGTTCGCAGTGTGAATACCTCTAACACACATCTGATAGTTTCAGAAACAAAGTTGGTCGATAAGGACTGAGTGAGCAGTGGAAAAAGTCAGTGAGTCACTCTTTTCACACACATATGGGTGACGAGTAAACCCAAATCAGACCAGCTTGTTTGGTGTTTAAGAAAAACACCATCAGATAAAAAAAAAGCAACACAAATGCATATTCTAAAAAATAAAGCAAATAAAGGTGAGACCACGATTAACCAGCCAGGTGCACTCTACAGCAATCATAAATGTTAGCATATTTAAGTTTACGTGGATGTTTTTAGCCTAAGCTTGTTTCATTCTGTTTTTTTGTAAAAACGTCTCTAAACACATAGTATTCGTTGAAATTTTTATAAAATTAAGAACATTTTATTGTTAGTGTTGTTGGTTAGGTCATTGTCTCACTTGTGATTAGTTAGAAACACAAAGTTAAAAAAGTATGCTGAATTTCAGTTGAAATCAAACTGGAAACACAGTCGTCAAAACTGAAAATTAGTTTTTCTGACAGTCATGCAAGTTTAAAGCAAATGCTCTGGGCAAAACTCGTCTTGGACATGTTTGAATTCATTCTCATTTTACACACAAATCAGTCACACGTGAAATGTCAGTTTTTGACTGAAGTCGACTTTGTTTTTCGTTTTTTGCACTTTGTGACTCACAGAAACCAAACAGAGGAGGTTCCGAGACTCCCACTCTCTGACTTTTTCATGGGATGTTTTTCTCACAGACCTTTCAAACAGCTTCCAAACTCCAGTGACAATGTTTTGAAGCATTTTGGATCCCAACAACTGTAGCCTGGTGCGATACTGGACTCTGTTACTCCATGCAATGTTACCATTCAAAGCTACGTCATGTCTCTACAATCTGGATCTGAGTTTAGTCTTTGTAAAGAATGTTTCTGCATTTTGTGTTTATCTTTGCACATAGGAGCAAAATGATTATTTTATGGCAGGTTTAGAGAATAAAATTATTTCATTAGTTTCAGGAACTATAATCAGTTAAAGCTGCTATAGCAAATCTGCAAACAAGCTAGCTTTTAAACACCAACAAGGTCACTGCAAGCATCAGTGGATCGGAACGGCAGCGAAGCGGCACTGTTTCAAATAGAATCCAATTATAGTCTATGGAGTGTTTCAAACCAGCCGCATTTTCCAGGCGCGTCCCAGAAGTGGCATGCCGCGCCGCTAAAGATAGGATCCAGTTCCATTTTTTCCACGAGCCGCATCTGGGACACGTTAATTTCCACAGTTCACATAGTGCGAGACAGGAAACCACACGGTTTCAGTGTAAAATCCCCAGTTATTTTCAAAATTAAATGCAACGTTGCGATATTGTATTTAACTTACATCAGCACGTGTGACCGAACGGCTTTGTTTACCACCAGTTTCTTTCGAGAAGTGCAACGGTGTGATTCCTTGCAGGGGTTGTGATCTCTCAATGAGGAAGGTGTCGGAAGTCTCGAGGGATTTTAGAATCTCGCGGGTACAGCAAGGCGCAGTGAGCAAGCCGTGCCGCGGCCAAGACTCTCCCGGTGTGAAAAGAACCGCTTTGAAGTTTGCGAGTGAGCCACTCCGCTGCCGTTCCATTCCGCTGATGCTTGCAGTGTGAAACCGGGGTCACCCCTCCCACTGGGTATCATCCCAGGCCACATCTGCCTGATACCAGATTGTGCATTGCCAGAGGAAACAAGATAGCGCTAAACACCCGTCGGCATTTTCTAGTTTCAAACATCTATTGTTGTCCGTGACTTCAAATGGTGTTTTTCTTTTTGGGACTCTGCTAGTATGTCCTAAAGTTGAAGTGGGGAACCTTCCACACCAGTGGTGTTCTGGTGCCAAATACACAAGTGTGTAATGGTAAATGGTAAATGGCCTGTATTTGATATAGCGCCTTCTAGAGTCGTGGAACCCCCCAAGGCGCTTTACAACACAATCAGTCATTCACCCATTCACACACACATTCACACCCTGGTGGGGATGAGCTACGATGTGCCCTGGGGTGCACTGACAGAGGCGAGGCTGCCGAGCACTGGCGCCACCGGTCCCTCCGACCAACACCAGCAGGCAACGTGGGTTAAGTGTCTTGCCCAAGGACACAACGACAGCGACAGACTGAGCGGGGCTCGAACCTGCAACCTTTCGATTACGGGGCGAGCACTTAACTCCTGTGCCATCGGAGGACCCAGGGAAGTGCGAAGGTGCGACAGATCAGTGAGACTGACAACCAGATAATCCAATCGTTGGTTTTGGACCGAACCGTGTAATTGTCGGAGGTGTTTTAGACAAATGTGAGAAAACCACTTCATAGATTTGTTTTCATTATTTTTTTAAATCTCCACTACATATTTATATCTACACTATGACAGAACGTCGTTGTGAAGCATGAAAAATCACAGTGGTTATTTCATGAGGCTGCTAAATTCTGATGTTAGGTGTCACATTGTAGTACAATCACAACTTCAATAACTGCATGTTTCCTCTCCTTTAAGTAGCCTAATACACTTTGACTAAAGTTCTTCAACAGTTGAAACAAAAGTCTTCCCTCAGGATGTGGAGAACGTTGATGTTTTTGTCTTTGTTTTGTTTGATTAGTGTTGTTGCTATGTATTCCTATTTAAGGAGTTGTGATACATAGATTATTAATCTGGTTTTGAAAACTTTACCTCAAAAACAATCTCACTAATTTATAAGTTATTGGTAACTTTGCAGCGTAGCAAAACTGCTAAACAAGTTTGTTTATATAACGACGCATTCCTTTTTCTAATATCCGGGTATGAGAATGTTGCAAAGGGAAATTTGTCAATGCCAGAAAGTTAGATTCAAAAAATGATGTTAAGTTTCTTTCTGCTGAAACAACAACAACAACAAAAAAAAACCACACAGAGCCAAGTCACTCTTTATCAGAATCAGCAACAAGGAGGCAATCCTGCAGTTTTTTAACTGTCTGAAACAGTTTAATGGTATAACAATAGAAGCAGCCTTTTGTTTAAATTTGGTGATTCAGATCAGATCACAGTAATACTGTGGAGTTTTTTAGGTCACAATTATTTTGTCGCGTTACCAGGAAGTTAAGCGTCGAGTTGGGTAATGCAAAGTATCGCTGCGTTCATGCTTAAACTTGTGAGTTTGTGCAAGCTTGAAACCACCTACAATGCGTTATTTAACCTTTTATACATGAAAGCCTATCCTTTTGTGTTCATAATGGTCTATAAGTGTCTGTGTGCGTGGAATTAGATCATAAACGGTTGAGATTATCAGATCAGAGACGTCGGTGACCAAAAGTGAACCATATTTATTTTACAAACGAAATGTTTAGGCCACCAAACCAACTCTAAACAGTGTGTGTTCTGCTTGTTATGAAAAGAAAATCTATGGAGATTTAAAACTACACACACACACACACACACACACACACACACACACACACACACACACACACACACACACACACACACACACACACACACACACACACACACACACACACACACAGATTTTTCATAAAAATACAGTTTTCTATTCCAAGCCACATTAAAAGCAGCTATTTATATTTTATATTTTGTATTTTGTAATGGCTGCTTGTCTGGGCCTCCACTCAGCATGATGCACACACCTTTGGTTTCCTCTACTGCTAATGAAATGTTCAGTCGGTATAATTGAAAGATATAACTATACAGTTAGATTAAAATTATAACATGAAGATGAGACTACTGACATATTTGTGTGTAAACATGTTTTATATTGAAATACCTATTTTGGCGATGGATATCTTGTTATTTTTTCTCTCAAGCAACTTTTGATGCACAACTGCTGTAGAATAAAAATGATGTAACAAGGAAAGTTACTTACTGTTCACAGATGAGGTGTTGTTTGCTCACTGACAAATGTGCATCTGTTGATCTGACAGCACTGTGCCGAGAAGATGGAGGGGTTACACATACACACACACACACACACACACACACACACACACACACACACACACACACACACACACACACACACACACACACACACACACACACACACACACACACACAGCAAATTCATACAATCAGATTGGCTCCCACCTGTGCAGCTTCTTTGCTCTTTACCACATGTGTGCAACCTTTTAGTGACTTTATATCAGCACTTTTAACCTGCTGAGAACAAAATATTTTTTCCTGTTTATCTCAGACTACTAGAACCTCACAAACACGAGCAAAAACAAGTTTAAATTTTAAAACAACGTTAACAAAGTTCCTAAAATAATTAACTACATTTCTAAATTTAAATTATTATAAATCTAAATCAAATGCCTCTAAATCATTTAAAAATGTGTAACTTGAAGAAAGCTGTTTTTGTTTTTCGCCTCACAATCAGATAATAAAAATAAAACAGTTTGAGCATTCAGTTAAATAAATGACCAACAGCTGCACAACAGCACAGATAGACAATACAGATACCCCCCCCCCCCCCCCCCCCGCATTGCTTTATAAGAGGCATAAAAGTAATGAAATTAAAGTTCGATGAAGACTGTTGCCTTTTTTTTCTGTGTTCAGTTTAGAACCTCTCGCAGATCCTCTAAAGTGCACAAATTAAAATCTTTTATTTTGTTTACTTGTATTTAAAAATGAACCTCTTTATTTTTTATCATTGTACAGGAAGTCACGATGACTCTGACTGTCGGCGTTGTGGCACTTGGTAGTTACCCACAAGAATCCTCAACCAGCTTGTCTATTATGATGATTATTTAGATAACACGCTAGCTCGAGTGTTAGTGACAACTGAAAGCACCAAAGAACTTTTTTACTACTGCTCCTGAACTTTGTGACCCTGATTTTGTATAAAATGAACATTGTGTCAGATCCTTTTCTGAGATATTTGTTCATACGGATTTATTTGATTAAAAACTGACCATGTGTACTGATAGTGTGACAAAAGGTTTGCTAACACTTTACAATAAAGGTCCCTTTATTAATGTTACTTAGTGCATTATTAAGCATTAATAAACAAAGAGTCCCTTTTTAACTTTCTCAATATTAACAATCTAGTGTCCTTAAGGTTAAGACAAATGGCTAGAGGGGGGTGTCTGCTGCTTAGTAATGCATTACTTAATATGGTCAAGCAGTTGTTAATACTTTAATAGTCTATTAATGCTTATTAATGCACTCAGTAACATTTACTAAGACATCACAATATAACTATAGACACCTTATTTTGTGTGTGTGTGTGTGTGTGTGTGTGTGTGTGTGTGTGTGTGTGTGTGTGTGTGTGTGTGTGTGTGTGTGTGTGTGTGTGTGTGTGTGTGTGTGTGTGTGTGTGTGCTCTGTCTTCTTGATCCCCAGTGAGTCGTGGAGGATGGCTGCTTATACTGAGCCAGGATTCTCTGGAGGTTTCTTCCTGTTAAAAGGGAGTTTTCCTCTCCACTGTCGCTGCATGCTTGCTTAGTATGAGGATTGCTGTATAGTCACTGACACTCGTCAGTGACTTGATGCAATTTGCTGGGTTCCTTATATAGGAAACATTATTTCTGATTGGCTTAATGAACTGTGAATTGGAATGTTTATTATGTGAAGTGCCTTGAGATGACTCTTGTCGTGATTTGGCGCTATATAAATAAACTTGAATTGAATTGAATTGAATTAATAAAGGAACACTTATTGTAAAATGTTTCCAAATGTTCTAATGCAGAATAGTTATTTTTACAAGTTCAAAGATCAATGTTTTTGCACCTGTACATCATCGTCCTCACCAACACCACCATCAGTTTAACCTCCACCTCACACGATAAGGAACAACCCCATCCCTCTACCACCCACACCCCCAGCAGGCTGTGGCTGCTTTCTCAGATTTTCAGATCTGGCAGTACTATTAGGGCGAGTCCAGCCTTTCACAAGTAGAGACAGTTTAGCAGGTACAAAAAACGTGTTCCTATAAAATAAAAGCATTTTCATTTCCCTGTGGCAACATCATATCAAGTAAGTGGTCTCTTAAGTGGAAAAATCACCCAGAGGTTTGTTGGATGGCGCACTGAGGATATAGAAATCATAAAGATGAATCTTCTTGGCTCTCACTGGAAAAGAGATACACTCAGGTCCCTAAATATTGGACCAGTAGCTCAACAGGTTGAGCGGGTTGTCCAGTAACCGGAAGGTTGCAGGTTCGATCCTGGCTCTGGACAGAGAATTCTGCTGTTGTGTCCTTGGGCAAGACACTTAACCCATCTTGCCTGCTGGTGGTGGTCGGAGGGACCGGTGCCGCCTGTGCTCGGCAGCCTCGCCTCTGTCAGTGCACCCCAGGGCAGCTGTGGCTACATCATAGCTCATCACCACCAGTTGTCATGATGTGAGGGTGGAGATGGCGGACCATGTGTGGTGGCGGGTTCAGGAGGCAGAAGAGCAGGCACGGATAAAAAATAAAAATGGTTTAATTGTAGAAGGGAAGCGACAGGACAAAACAAGCATGCACAAACAACAATGATCCGACGAAGACAGCAACAAGGAGGGAGGCAGGGAAATCAGGAACACACGGGCAGAGTAATGAGGGACAGGTGAGAACAATAAGGTTAATCAAGGCAGGAGAGACACAGTCAGGGAGGCCGGGGCGGATCATGACACCAGTGTGTGAATGTGTGTGTGAATCAATGAATGATACACTGTAGTGTAAAGCGCTTTGAAGTCCTTACTCTAAGAGGCGCTATACAAGTGCGGGTCATTTATCATTATCATTTATATACAAGGACATAAACACAATTCTAAAATTTTTGGCTCTATAGACCACCACAATAAATTTTAAACCAAACAAACATGACATGCTATTACTGCAGACTGATAGGTCGGCAAGGCCGCATTGCCCTCTGGGGGGGTTGTTTATTCAGTTTGTGGGGTTCTGAGGGTTATTTTGTTTGGGGTTATGTTAGTGGTGTTTGTTTCAGTTTGGAGTTCACACTGTGTTGTTCTTATCTGGTGCCTGCTGGCACCGTGAGTCAAGTGTATGTGTGGGGGAAGTAAAAGGGGAGCCATCCAGCTATTGAACAAAGTGTTCTATGTCTGGCACCTGTCAACTCTTCTTTGCTTTTTCACACACATCTCCGCCAGAGGGTGGTGCAGACCGCATTATTGTCCCAATCCAAGCTCCACAATAATGCATGTATTAGTTCCTATGAACGAAATATGCTTAAATCTGTGTGTTAATACGGTTGATAAATGAGGCCCCTGTTCTTATGTTTACATACTTCCTTTTTAAATGATTTATTCTGCATTTTCACTCTTACTTCTTTTCAGCCACCCATTTTAAAAATCCAGTAGATATGGGGTTATCATTCACTGACGTTGCTCACAAACCTTGCCAGTAAACCAGATTTGACCATTATTTTGAAAGGAAGTTCGTTTCCGTTTTTTGACAGCCTGTAAGCTTCACCATCTCACCTCTAATTCTGAAAAGTTGTAGAGGCTGAGTCTCCTAGCCCCTCCGCCGGTCCGGCCCGCTTCCTCTCCGCTCCGCCGCCGAGGACAGACAGACTCACAGCGGACACTCCGTGCGAGTACACCCGGGAAGGTAGGTCGCTGTGTCCGGTCACTTTCTGCAGTGAAACGCACCTCCCTGGAAGAAAACGGCATGATGCTGTTGGAAGGAGGCACTTCTAGAAGCCGTCCGCTTCTTTTTCTGCTGCATTGTTTCTGCTCAGGCTTCGTATATCGCCATCATTATTCAGTTGTTATGTGAGTTTTATTTATTACATCATAGTTTTACAAAGTTTAGATGGATCTCTGCAGACGCCATGATGTCATATGGTAAAGTTTTAAATAATTAGATAGAATGCGTTTTCTCTCAGGAAAATTAAGATTTATTCAGTGTGTGTGTGTGTGTGTGTGTGTGTGTGTGTGTGTGTGTGTGTGTGTGTGTGTGTGTGCCGGTCAATGGATGATGTGGCTGTCAGCTGCCATCAGGTAGAGTGGAGGGTGACTAAATGTTCTTCACCAGCTGGGGGAGCAACTCTCAGTTTCCCATTGCTGTAAAAATGAATGCAGCAATCCTGCAACAAAATATCCCGGATAATCAAAACCATCATTTACATTGTGCAGACATAATATGCTATTTTTTATTGCTTGCAGATATGATTTAAACGTGCAGCAATCAGCTGCATTAGATACTTGCATGTGTTCAATCAATCTGTGGTCCCAAACTGAACAGCAGAAATGATGACTGTCTTTTCAAAAGCTGCCTTCACTGACATCTGTGTTTTTCAGCTTTTATTGAATAAGAATCAGTATTTGATCCACAAAAAGAGTTTTATTCTAAATAACATCATTTTCAATCGTTATTCGGAAAGACTGAAATATTCACATTTCACATTTTTTGTTGACTAATATAAGCAAATCTTTAAATTTCACAATAAAATACCACAGAATGTTTAATTATATCTACTTTTGAAAGGAGAGCTTTCTGTTTTGAACATTTATCCAACCCAGTTACAGCCTCTTTTGATCAGAACTGAAATTTAAGATTCCACCCTCCTTAATGCGTGGAGAGAAAGCCTCCTGCTTGTGTTAAGTGATAGTTATTTGAGCAAGTTTTCTGTTTTGGCCTGCTGTCAGGCTGACTTAAAGCAGATAAATGCCAGAAAAAGACAGCCCCTCACTACCATCTGTGCTCTGTTCCCTGTGCTGCTGGCTCACTCGTTTTGTGTCGAGTCAGCTCTCCCTCCCACTAAATATTGTTTCAGACTCGAGAGGCACATTTTAAGCGCGAGGGGAGCACATCCGAGGTTCTCCGGCCTGTTTATGTTCCCACTTTTCATCTGCACACTGTTTATTTGGGGAAATTGAGAAAGGAATGCCAGCCTCTTTCTCTTTCTGTCTCCGTGCCAGACACGGAGTTTAGTCTGAGACACACAGGTCCCCGCCAGAGCTTTCCTGTCACCTGTTTGGGGTTTTATGTGGAGATCTGCTTGCTTGATTGTGGACTTCATATTTCTAAATGAGGGAGCAATCTCATCAGACTCAAACACGGCATTTTAATTATGACATTGGTCTTGCGAGCCATTTAATCGCTCAGTCTTATTAGGAAAGACTGCCAGTTTAATAAAATAATAAACTGAACCTAAAACTGATTCATGGGCTACTCCCTGATCAAAGTGGAGACAGTGTGGGGGGAGTGCTGGTCTTGGAGCTAAGCTGTGGGACACTTAGCATCTGTTCGCTCCATACAGACTTTACTTTGAGCCGGTCATATGGCTTTGATTAGTGTGCTGGTTTTCGGATAGCTCCACTCTCCCTGGCAGCAGTTAGAGACAAGGACAGCATAGTTTAAAGAGAAAAAACATTATCTGTGCATCCGTTCTGCGTCAGACTGGTAACCAGCAAAATGACCGAGGCTTTACTGGTTTGATTGCATTCAGAACATTTGGTCCACCCCTAAATTCCCACCTAATTGTTCCAAATTTTCTCCCTCTTGTTAACAACTCCCTCTGATTTCTTTTCTGGTCTGCGAGCTGTGATAGTGCTGGAAGCTGTGTGGCCCGTCTGCAGCTCAGACTGCTTTCCCTCTTGGCCGCAGCTGCAGCTCTACGCTCCTTATTCAAGACTCATCCAAGTAAAACACGGAGTCAGTGCTCACTTGGCCCGCTGACAAACACACGTTTTTAATTCACAAAAGTGATACAGCCCAGAGGGAAGGTTTTTTTTTGCACAACAGACCACAGGAAGATGTACAACGCCATCACCTCTGCAAGACAGCTTGCTCTTAATTAAGCTGTGTGTCTCTGTGCGGGTTATAATGGGGTAATAATTTACTGGGGAAAGTGGAGCAGGAAGGAAAAGTGCATGCGTGATGTTGTTGTGCGGACTTCGTCAAGGCTGAATGCAAATCTTTTTAAGGAGCGTTACTTAAAAAAGCTCAGATGGACAGCACTGAGGTGCTCTTTCCCCCTCGTTTTTCAGTTTAAATAAACAAAACGAGAGTTTGGGCAATAAAAAGCATTTGATATCAAGCATCTAGTTTAATAAGCCCACAATAAATCGCAAATGGGAGTAGGAGAAGTAATGAAAATGGAGGGGAGTTTAGCCCGTGCAGGAAATGACTGGGAAAAGCCAGAGGGAGGGGATGAGAGAAAGACTTTTAGTTGTTCCACATATGAGGGACGTTGCTACAGTACAAAGACCCCTCAGTGTTTTTTAAGTAAACTCTCCTTTTACTGTACCTGCCCTTTGCTCTGGAAATAAAGCGAGAGGCACATTAAAGCTCTTTCAACTCACTCCTCCACACTAAGTTAAGGGTATTAACACTTAAAAAAACTCTGGTTCCAATAGCTCACAGGCTGCTGCCTCTCTTTAGATTTTGTACTTGGGTTTTTTTTTCCCCTTCCTCTTTTTTAGGAGGGTACATGTTCCCTCTGCTCTCGTCACCAAAAGGTTTCCCATCTGCCTCTGATTACCTTTGGCTGCAGTTGGTTTGCAGCCAGCCATCTGGGCCAGTGTGGCGTCTCTGCTCGCTCCCGTCTCCCCACACGACTCTGAGGGAGTAGGGAAGGGAAGGTAGGCTGGGATGGGAGTATACTGGGTGGGCAGACTTTATTATGAGATAGCAAGTGTTGGGTTTTAGCTGACGGTGCAATAGAAAGCCAGGAAATCAAAGACAAGGGGCACCCATGAAAGTGTGAGTCCTGATCCTGGCACTGGCCTGGCATCCGAATTTCCTATTTTGAGTTTAGCTCGTTTTCAGTGAGAGTTGGACTCCACCAAGGCTGCCCTTTGTTACGGATTATGTTCATAACTTTTATGGACATGATTTCTAGGTGCAGCCAAGGTGTTGAGGGGATCCGCTTTGGTGGCCTAAGTATCAGGTCTATGGTTTTTGCAGATGATGTGGTCCTGTAAAACAAGACCACGGATACAAGCGGTCGAAATGAGTTTTCTCTGCAGGTTGTCTGGGCTTTCCCTTAGAAATAGGGTGAGAAGCTCAGTCATCGGGGAAGGGCTCGGAGTAGATGCGCTGCTCCTCCTGAGGTGGCTCTGACATCTAGTTGGGATACCTCCCTGGTGAGGTTCTCCAAGGACATCTAACCAGGAGGAGACCTAAAGAAGACCCAGGACACACTGGATTGACTATGTTTTTCGTCTGGCCAGGGAACTCCTTGGGATTTCCCGGAAGAGCTAGCCCAAGTGGCTGGGGAGAGGGAAGTCCGGGTCTCGCTGCTGAGCCTGCTGCCCCCTCAACCCAACCCCAGAGAAAATGTATGGATGAATGAATGGATGAATATTTTAGTTCAGGAAAATGTCCAATTCATTTTCATGGAGGGGGCAGGAATATTAGATACTTAAAGGTGCAGTATGTAAGAATATAGTGAGAATTTTACAGTGAGAAAATCCCAAAAGAGTGTAATGTTTCAGTCATTTTGGAAGGAAGGTTATACTGAAACATATTTCCAGCTGGCTGTGGGGATAGTCAGCTTTTTTACTCTAAAAACAAAGGAAGGAGGGACAAAACTACTGTTTACCAACAGTGTGTGGGTGTGCCGTGACTCCTGCGAGCTAATACTGCAGCGCCGACAACTGTAATTTGACGACCGCTAGCAAAAAGCTCCAGAGATGTTTAAAGTGGTTGCGGTAACCAAATTTTACCACAAAAATGTCATTTTTACTTAACTCATTCGCTGCCAGCCGCTTTCTGGTCGGCAAAGCCCTTCGCTGCCAGCGTTTCTCACCGTTTTTACTGTTTTTTTAAGAGTCACAGAATGTTGCGTGCTAGGATGATGTCAACGCCAAAACAAAGCCGAGACTCACCTCTTACATCAGGAAGAATTTGCACGTTTCGAGCTTTATCCATTCTTTCATAATCCGTTGTCGGATTGTGATCGGCAGAAGCTTCTCCGGTTCGCGCCTCACATTTTTTTTACAGCAGCGGCCCAAAACGAGACGTGTGACGTACGTGGATGAAGATCGGTTTTAGAGCTGAGATGTTTGTTCTCACGGTGCAGGGGCTTGTTCCAATGCCCACAGAATAAAAAAATGCAAATGACGACTTTAGTCTATATTGGCAGTGAATGAGTCAATTGCTATAAAATGCATCTTTAACTTTATGATCGTTGTAAGCCATGCTCAACATGTCTTGTTTGTGAATAATAAAAAATATCTTACAGTGATACGCTCATCATGACATTTGCAGAGCTTCTTTCAGATCCAGTCATGCTAACATTATTGCTGTATTTTTTTTTTTCACACATACCAGGAGTTTGTTACATGTTTCCCAATTAGCTCCGTCAGGCAGGTTGCCAGCAAGTCACTCAACCATTCAACCAAACATCAGAGTCAGCCAGCCTGGTGGTGAATGCCCTCAAATTAGCTTGTTACCTCAGAACATCTAACACAATACCGTCTTCAAGCCTCGCTTTCATTCTGAGCATTAACCTGTTGCTCCGTGGTATAAAGTGTTGTTTGTGTCTGTGTGTGTGTGTTGATTTTGCTTTCTAAACAGTTTATCTTCTTCTGGGCAACAGAGAGGACGTCCCACTACTGCCAGCCCCTCCTCCAAGGCGTTTTCTCAGTCTATGAGGACTTCCATCTCTGGCTGCAGGTTCTGCTGACTCTCAGATCCACCTGCAGCCATGGTCCGACAAAGTGCTGAGCTGTTCCTCTGCTAGGCGACGGGGCATCCGAGAGGGCGGGAGACATGTTGGAACAGAGGCCCGGGGACCACTGCACTGATATCTGTTACTATAGCAACTACTGTAGTAACCATGGAAATGCTATGGAGGACTGCTCTGGTTACTGTCGTGGTTGCCATCCAGGTTGCAGGAGGTCACAGAGATGAGTTTGTTAAGTCACAAGGTGAGATTAGAAATATCTTATTCAAATGTTGGATAAAGTGAGCTAATAAAGCATCTGAGTTAATGTTTTCTAATTTTGACCTCTGAGCTCTGACCTCTGAGCTACTTCCTTTAAATAAATCGTGGATTTATTTTTTTACTTTAAAGGTACAATAAGTAAAAAATTTTCGAGGGAAATAATCACAAAACAGTAATGTCTCAATCATGTTGAAAGAAATGTTTCATTGAAACGGATTTCATTCTCAGCTGGCTGGAGTTTCAGTTTTCTCCTTTCAAAAAGGTTGAAGTGGACATAGTCTTTGTTTACAATCTGTGAGCCCACAGGGTTGCAGAGTCTGTGCCAGCTAACACTGCTATGCTGACATTTGTAACTTGACAATAGCCAGCAAAATGCACCAGTGTTTTGTAAAGCTCCTCAGTCAGTAACAGAAGTGACCCAGGAGTTATTTCTTGTACTCCTCTACTTTTGCTTTACCTTAGTATCAGCTAAAGAAGTCTAGAGGCTAACGTTGAGCTAACAATGCTAACGGGGAATTAGTTGCAATAGTCAGCTCAAAAAAAGTCCCAAGCTACTTTTTCAATTACCAACAACTCCATATTATAGTTAAATGTGTTTATCTACTTATTAAAGTAACACTGAGTAGTTTTTTTAACTTTAACCTATAGCTTTAACATCTATCTCAGTGATTGTTGAGTTAGAAACTTGACCATTTTCATATTTGACACCACTCTGCAGGCCTCTACTGGCCAGATACTACACTTAACAGTTTTGTGGAGTGGGTAGGTGATTTCTAGGGGGAATTCTTTACCTGCTGTACGGCTGTTATCTGTTAAGCTAGCAGTTTATATTTTCAGTCAGTGAAAAGAACAAGGACAAGAGAAAAGACAAATTTTCTTTTTTGTTGGCATCATGGTGGAGCCTGGAAGTAAAAGTAAGAGACTAATGTATTTAGAGGCAAAGCAAATAGCTAAAACCAGAGTAAATAATGGCACAACCTACTCTAGTTTGAGGGAGCTAAAGGAGGTTACAAAATCACGGGCTGATGGTGACCTGGCTTTGTTGCTACTGGACTTAATAACATTTTTGTGTTCCAACAGGGTGGATCTTTTTCCTTCATGGTGTATTTTTGTATTAGTTGACTCATGTTAGTGTTAGCTTGTTGTTAGCACTAGCATGGTTGTTTACGACAGTTTTAATTTAACTTTTAACCAGTAGGGCGGAGGAGCAGGAAACTGTGTAGTGTTGCTTTAACTTACTGTGTATGACTCATCTTCACTTGTCATCTAGAATCTTCTGGCGCTGATCGATAGCTCGCAACAACGATGAAGCTCACAGGGGGAGGCGAGGAGTCATTCTTTTGTTTAGAAAAATGGGCTGTACCCAGATTTGACCACAGAGTGTCATTAGTTCATTTGTACATCATGCACCTTTTAAAGATTTTGAACAAAAGTAACGTTGAGCATTTTTGCAGATTTTCTTTTTAGTTATTTGTCTTTAATTTTTTTGTTTTATTTTCACATGTTGCATCAACCTTAAGGTTTAATAAAACACAACCATATGAATTAGATTTCAAATTAAACAAAACACTAATTTCTCTGTGTTTTAGATCCCTCTGAGGAGGTGAAAGTTTCTTTTGCTAGTTCTTGTAATGGTCATCACCGCTCATGTCCTCCGTAAACCAAAATAAATAAATAAATAAATAAATGAATGGACACCTAAACGTCAAACTCAAACCTGATATTTTAGCATCTATAATTACAGGCTCCATTTTTCTTGGAAGTGTGTCCTTTAGATTTTGGGAAGGATTTGATCCCAGTCAGCCAACGGAGCATTAATGGAGTATTGTTGTTGGAAGATAAGACCTAGCACTGAGTCGCTGTTCCTATTTGATTAAAACGTTGGATCTTTTTCAGATCTTTACACCAAATTCTGCAAACATCTTATTTGTCTTTGCATCCTCTGGAAGTCATTCTTCAAATTTTGTCTCAAACATTTGGAGATTGCTGTGCAGATTCAGGATATTTCCATTGTTTACATTCAGATTATGATGAAAAAGTGATCATTTGTCCTGCTTTTGCTGTGAAACCGGCGGCACCACAGTGTTTGACCCAAAGGGGTGTGAAGGGGTGTCTGGCATGGAGGGAGGTGCACTTTTCCATCCAGAATACTTCCTCCTATTATTTTTATTTGGCGATAACTGAACCAAGGGAGCGTTTATCAGCACACTCTCCGGCATGTTGGTGGGGGAGTTTTCTCGTGGTAAATTTAGCAAACAGGCTTCCTATGCCTCCCAAGTTTTACATGCGGCAGCTGGGATATTTTTCTCCTGAAAAAAATATTTCTATAATGTCGTCGCTTTGGTTCTATCTGAGTACAGAAAAGAGAAAAAAATCAGAAAAACTGATTTCATGACCATATTTATATGCTGCATCCTTCAAGTGTATAGCTTGTGTTGTTGACTGACTCTTTGTGAGAAGGTAGATAACTTTCATGGATGTCCTATGGAGATAAGAGTTTTTAAATAAAAATGGCAGCTCAGGGGGTTTGCTCATATAGCATCAGTTGTTGTGGGAGGTCTCATTAAGTTACCTTTCTCTACATTATTAAAACCATCCCCTTTAATCAGCCCTCCGAGAGCTTTTCCTGTCTTTGTCATAAAGTTGATCCCACCTGCCTGACTACTTGCTGTGGTCTGTGAGAGAAGGACGGATGTGTTTTGTTCAGGAAGTTTGATGAATAGAGAAGAGCCGCCCTGTGCTAGACAAGTCAAAACTTAAAATTTGATCTTATTGTGCTTCATTTAGCTACATTCTTACCTTACCGTGGGGTAAACATTCAGCTTTTCAGAAACTGAACAAAATCGTGGTAAAATCCAGTGACTGGACGGCTTTAGAAATCTGATTTTTCTGTTAGTTTCTCTGCGAGAGAAGCTCCTTGGTTAGCTGAAATAGAATTTTTATTGAAATCTGATCTTGTTTTAAGTTACTTTGCCCGTTTTTGGTAACCGACGGTGACCAGTTGGAGCTGTGTGAGTTTGCACAGTAAATCTCCCAACAGGCTTCAGACAGACAGGAAGTATACAATTTCAAGGTAACCATGACAACCTCCATTTGGCCTCATGAATGAAAGCTACTTGGAGTGGTGGAACCTTTTATTTAAGTTAAGGGCCAAAAAGTCTTGTTTTTCTTTGCCAGCTGGGTTAGTCTCAGTAGAGGCTCACAGCAACAACTAAATCATCTGTTTTTGATTAGAAACAATAAGATTAAAGAGGATGTTGGTTTTATTTAGTTGAACTTAAAGCGTCCTTTATTTCTGCCTCCATAGCTGCTTTCCTGTCCAGCCTGGGCCAGTATGAGATCGCCATCCCGGTACGTGTAGGGCCCAACGGTGAGATGCTGGACACGGAAAAGTCTCACCACCACCAAAGAAGAAAACGAAGCACTGAAGACCGGCTGCCTGGCTCTGTACTGTGGCTGTAAATAGATCATTTTAGAGTGATACTGATTTAAAAAAAAAATCTCATTTATTTCTCCTTCATCTTGTAGCTTTTCTATCAGCTATCCACGTCTCAAAACAACTTCCTGCTGAACCTGACACTGCAGGGAGGCCTGTTGTCCCATCAGTTCAGGGTGGAGTACTGGAAGAAGGGCCGACTAGCCTGGAGCCACCCATACTCCCCCCACTGTCACTACACAGGACACCTCCAGGACCAGCCGCAATCCAGCAAGGTGGCTCTTAGCAACTGTAACGGCCTGGTAAGACTGAAATCTCACAGATAAAACCACCTGCAGTGGGTTAGAGGGTCACAAACTCTTGATTCCTGCTTCAGGGAGTGACTTTGAACAAACTTTCAATCCTCCTCTCTTTGTTTTGAGAACAGGTCAGTTGTCTGGAAACAATGTTGTCATGAGAGTTTGCGTCCAAGACCAAGTTCATAGAGAAACCATATCTTACTTGTTATTTTTGTAATGTGATGGGTTACTCTGAGTTTAACATGCCACATGCTAACCCTATTTCCTGCATAAGCCGCCAATAGAGAATAGAAGGCAAAACACTCAGCTCAGAAAAAGCCACACAGATCTACGTCACACTGAAAATTAGCATTCATGGAATCGACCACCTTGATTCATGACGGGGAACGCTGTTGTTTTAGTGTCCAGCAAACAGCAGAGAACGACTTGACTAGTAAAAGCTAACTCTTAGCATTAGCATATTCAGAACACAGCAGAACTAATTCAGGCTTGAGTTATTTGTGGAGATAAAATATCAACGTTGCAAAGTGGAGTCAGTGGTAGAGTTGTGTTGCTGTTAGCCAATCAGAGGCGAGATGTCAGAAAATCAGGAAACAGAAATGAGTAAGACTCTAAATCTTGCTGCCTTCTGCTCCCAACGTCTCTGGCTCACCTCTACACCCTGAAACAGGTGTGCCAGAGCTTATTTTTCCCACAGAGATTGACTCACAAAGCATTCATTTATACTTGAGACCACTTCAGATGTTGTGGAAGAAACAAGTGAACTTGGTCTTTAACTATGGCCCATCCCATTTCCATTCAAGCTTAGAATAGACAATCTAACCTTTGGAAAATATTAAATGTGTGGTTCTAACAGCCGTTTATGCAGGAGATGTGCCTTTGGGGCTGCCAGCGGAGGCTTACAGCTGTGCTTTGTCATAAAGTAGTCCCAAGTATAAAATGGAGCCTGTGATTCCTTTATGTTACTAATTATTTTCACTTGCAGTCAGTCTGATTATTTAGGACACCAAGCAGAACTGGGATCACTGCTGAGTGATTTGAAGGACTTTTTTGCTCACGATGCTAGATGAATCCATTCACTTACTGTGTTTTATGCTAAGCTAAAGCTAAAGGAGTACAGCCGGGCCAGGAGAATGACTGGGCTGGTTCAAAATTGTTTCCCACTTATCTAGCTCTGGGAAATATGTCAACAGACATAATTTCATTTTTGGGTGGAGAATCCCTTTAAACCCCTCAGAGTATGTTGGTTGTCTCTCTGTCTCCCTCTCCGCACACTCTTCTGAAAAAAAAAAACAAAAACAAAAAAAAAACAAGGTACTATTTAGTGCTTACTTTAGATTTTCTTTCATTGGGATTTTTCTCATGAGGTCATCTCAAACCACAACAGGGAGCTGGCTTCTGTTTGATGATGCTTCCAAGTCGGTACCGGTCCGATCCCTTTGAAGAGACACTGAATTGTGATGCATGGTTTTGTTGGCTGAATCAACTCTGCTGTATTCATAGCACCGGGTATCCTCTCACTACAAACAGCTGGCCCCACAATAACTTTTTAAATGTGCTCACCAAGCGTTCATAAGCCTCACACGTAATTAGTGTTGGTCGGAGCAGCGTGAGCGCCGTGTGTCCAGAGGAGCATCAATAACCTTATTATGGGATTAAAGGCGCTTTGAAAGCCGCCGCAGCGAGTCGAGGGGAGACGATCGCTCTGACCGGGGCCGACACATCTGAGCAGAATCAAAGGAAGTGTTAGTGTATCGCTCTCTGTTTCACTCGCTCATTTTTCTCGCTCTCATTCACCCTTTCATCCTCTGATGTGTGTTTGTTCTGATCTTCCACTCGGACAGGTCCAGAGTCCCATCGCGAGAGGGGACAGCGGAGAACCAGGGCAGGATCTGGTTTTATTTCTAACTCTTAGAAATTAAAAGATTACATTGTTTCCACTAACATACAAATATCTTTACATGTTTGTGTTCATCTAAAACAATTTTGTGACTAATATTATTAGTTTTATTGTTAGATTTATTCTGTGACTTGATTATTGTGTGCTAAAATCATAAACTGCATCTCACACTTTTGTTATTGTTACTCAGTTTTATTTTAATAATATTAGTTAAATAATTAAGCAGTCCTATGCCAATTCAAACTTTTTTATATATTTAAATTATAGGAAATTGTAACTATTTGTCAAATTCTGTAACAATAAAAGTGTACAGCCTTGAAAAACTTAAAATCATCATCAAACATTCACTTTATTCTAGTTGTAACAAAAACATATGGAAGACAATTGCCCAATAAGCGTTAAAAAGTTTACTGATAGACAATTTTTCCATTTAAATTAGGATAGGCATAATAATGAAGCTTTGAGCTACTTTTAAAGGGGCCATATTGTGGAAAATCCACTTTTTGGAGCTTTTTACCATGTGATTATGTAGTTTCCTCATGAAAACAAAACCAAATCCAATTTGGCTGCATTCATGTGTTTTCCTTTTTCAGCTGCAAAGTTTGATCTTTGCTTAGAAAATCTTGTGAATTGTCAAGAGAAACTAGTCTCGTCATCAGGCCCTGCTCCTTTCACAGAAACTAATCTCTAGTCTGAAACCTGTCTCTTCTGGCCAGCTTAGGCTATGCGGCTTAGGTGACTGGTGTCATAGCACACTTGGTTCACATCCCGGTATCGGCAGTAACTTATTTTCTTCTCTTTTAGCCACACTTGCCAGTTTTATGTCACATCACTGACGCGGCTGCCCTGTTGGCGGCCTACCAGTTCTTGTGTGTTGTTTGTTACTACTGTAAACAGCTCGCTCGGTCTCGTTCTTGCAACTTAATTCATCTTTTATTCATTTGATCGGTTATATTATGCAACTATGGTAAATAATTTTTGTGTTGAGGAGTGCAACATGTGATCGCCAGGAGAATAAAGGTGAAAAACGAGCTAACTTTTCACTGTTTTCCTGCTTGGAGGCTTAACCACGGATAAGTATCTAACATAATAAACAATGTTCCGCTCACACCACAAACAAGATAGCTGAAAAATGTCCATTATGCAGAGCAGCGGCGACAGCCATTTGTCATCGGTGCTCCAGTCTTAGGTCTTTCATATAGATCCAAACTGTTTATAATGCTGAGTTTGTCCGCACGCTGGTTCCCGACTTCTTTTTCTTAACATATCCCTTTGTATTCCGCAACCTTTTTGGGATTTTAACATGTTTAACACTTCCTTTCTCCCAAATCTGCTTCTTATCTGCAACGTACTGTTTGCTTTCACAGTTTGTTTACACTCGTAAGGCCACTAACATGTCGGCACAAATCCCAGAATGCAATGCATAATCCTGTTTGATCTCGAGCCCTATTGGTAAACTGCCTAAAACGTAAGAACTAGCCTGTTTCATTTATTTATTATTTATTTTTTTACTCTTTTAGTTTATTTATAGGGTGGCACGGTAGCTCAGGAGTTAAGTGCTCGCTCCGTAGTCGGAAGGTTGCAGGTTCGAGCCCCGCTCAGTTTGTTGCCGTCATTGTGTCGTTGGGCAAGGCACTTAACCACTCTTGCCTGAAGGTGGTGGTCGGAGGGACCGTTGGCGCCATTGTACGGTAGACTCGCCACTGTCAGTGCACCCCAGGGCAGCTGTGGTTACGTCGTAGCTCATCCCCATCAGGGTGTGAATGTGTGTGTGAATGGGTGAATGACTGATTGTGTTGTAAAGCGCCTTGGGGGTTTGCAGGACTCTAGAAGGCGATATATCAAATGCAGGCCATTTACCATTTCTTTATCCAATGTGTGAGGTGAGCAGAGAAAATCACCTAAAATGCTGCTTAGAAATGACGAAATTCAATGATGTTTAGAGACACAAAATATTATACAGAAAATAATCAATAAAATTAAACTATAAAAACATGAAATCTGCCTCAGTTGGCTGAATAAATTACTGCCGACATTACCAGGATTCGAACCCACGGCAGCACATCCCAAGATTGAGGTAAAAGGCAGACCACTGGTCTACCGTAGCTAATACAGCAACTGGCTTGCATAAGATGCTGTTGTAGACATGTTTAGTTGGAGCAGGCGTGGGCGGAGTTTCACTAAAATTAATAGTTTTGTTTCTGGGTATTCATTCAGGAGGATGAAAATAACTCTTATTTAAGTTAAATGACATCTCAACAGTAATATTTTATCAGATACTCTGCCTGCCTAAGGTTTAAAATAGCATGATATGGAACCTTTAAATGTACAAAAAAAAATCCAATTCAAGTTTTTGGATCATTTGTGTTTTTTACGCAAATTAAATTTCTGTTTTGTTCTTTTTTAACATATTTATTTTTTTCCTTTAATCTGTGTTTTACAGCAGGGGGTGATTGTTGCAGGGGGGGAGGAGTACCTGATTGAACCCCTTGTCTCACCAGATAACCAAACCAGGACAGAGAGGGAGGAGAGAACAGAGGGGCGCCCCCATGTGGTTTACAAACGTTCATCACTCCGTCATCAGTACAAGGGCCGCTCCTGTGGGGTCATCGGTAAGAGGAAAGACTGTTTTATGTGGCTGGAATCACTGTCAGCAAATAGTCTCTCCTTTAAGTGGTGTTAAAGCCTATCAATTTCATCATTTTAAATCATTTTCTTGAGCCAGTATGTTCTAAAATGGTCCCTTACAGGGTTAATGAAATGTCACTCACACCCCCACAGTGAGGTTTCAGTTTTGGTTTGACCACACAGAATTAATAAAGGACACTAGGGGGCGATAAAAGCAAGCAAAACTGCCAAGTATGTCTTTAAATTCCCAACAGCTGCCGTGACTTTGCTCTGAAAACATAAATGTGTGTGCGTAACTTCAGATGAGAAGCCGTTCAAAGGTGCGTCGTGGTGGCAGCGGACTCTGAAGACGCCCCCTCATCACGTCGGCCGCGGCCAGCTGCCTCTGAAGCGCTCAGTCAGCCAGGAGCGCTACGTGGAGACGCTGGTGGTTGCTGACAAGATGATGGTGGGTTACCATGGTCGCAGGGACATTGAGCAGTACATCCTGGCCGTCATGAATATTGTAAGTTTCTTAACTCAAAAGATGTATATTCACCCATTTTAGTCAGGGGGTGGGGTTATTGTCTCAGAACCCCCGGCATTCCATTTTTATTCCCTATATTTTACAGTAATGGATGAGCTGGAGTATCAGTCGTTTTTAAGACTGGTCTTTTCTTGTTTCCCTGGAGGTCAGGTTGCCAAACTGTTCCAGGATTCTAGTCTGGGGAATGCAGTCAACATTGTGGTGACGCGGCTCATCGTGCTCATGGAAGACCAGGTTTGTGACATACTTTTAAAATTTGCTTTAATGTACAGAACAAACCTCTACTTTCTTTTCTCTGCATGTGTCCTGATAACATTTCCAGCAGCATATGAGCTCTTCATTTCTATCAAATCATTGGTTTAAGTTCCTGCAGCACACCCGGAGTGCTTGAGCGGCTCTTATGAATGGCTGCTGTAATGGCATTGAGAGGAAGGTAGAGAGACATAATTGGACAGAGGTGGAAAACTTCTTGGAATGGGGGGGGGGGGGGGGGGGGGGGGGGTGTTGTACCTGTGATACAAAGCTGCTTTGTGGTTGTCCTGCTTGTTACTGTAGTTTAAGGAGGTTTTTTCCATGGTTCATAGCCTTTTATTTAGTGTGGTTCTGAAAACATGCCATTGTCCAGCCACTACTTAAAAAGCCTGGGATGTTTCTCAATGTCAAGGCGCTTGGTCAATGCAAACTGTTAAATGGAACAGACTTCCATCACACGACCACGGCGGTCACATCACATCACATCACGTCACGTCACATAAAGTTAAAGTTAAAAGTTAAAGTTAAAGTCCCATTAGTTGTCACACACACTGATGTGTGTGCGAAATTTGTTCTCCGCATTTGACCCATCCCCTGGGGGAGCGGTGAGCTGCAGACACAGCCGCGCTCGGGAACCATTTGGTGGTTTAACCCCCCAATCCAACCCCTTAACGCTCAGTGTCAAGCAGGGAGGCATTCGGTCCCATTTTTTTAAAGTCTTTGGTATGACCCGACCAGGAATCGAACCCTGATCTCCCAGTCTCAGGGCGGGCACTCTACCACTAGGCCACTGAGCTGGTCAAATTACATGGCATGTGAGGTAATGTTAAATTTTATACATATAAGTTTCAATATAAATGTATAACGAGCCTTTTACATTTTTTAAATTGTGTATATATTGGTTGAATTAAATATGTAAGCGAGTTACTACCTGCTAGCCACCGAAGCACCGAAGCGGCAACTACTAAGCAACTAACTAACCATAGCTAACTTCTTTGGTTCTAAAAAATGTTTAAAATGTTTTAGATATCAGCTTGATAGCTACAATTAGTTCACTTACATTTAAACTGAAAATTGCCCCTGAAGTAGCTGCAGGCTCCTGATACCCCATCCCTTTGAAAATACTGCGGTGTACTCTGGGAAATCTTTGACCAAGGCCAGGCTACAAGACACCTCCCGTGTATCCTTGCTCAGCTAGCTAAACGGCTAACAAACGGAGAACCGACACCTTGTTAGAACATGAACATTGGAACCCGCCTTGACTGTTCCTGATGACGTATCTCCTAGGCAACCGGGGCGGGACCAAGACATCAAGGCAAGGTTCCTTGGCATTGAGAAACACCCCTGGTCTTGATCCTTCTCCCATGTTCAGACATAGGCTAATCTCTAAACTTCCATTCCTTTCCAAATTTCTGAAAAAGTAGTGCATTTGCAATTGACTGAGTTTTTGCATTTAAATTATATTTGTGACCAAATCTAGTTGGGCTTTAAAATGGCACATAGCACAGAGTCTGTACCACTCAGCGTCTTAAACAATATTCTTTTGGCTACTGACTCTGGAGGTTTTGTAATTCTGGTGCTGTTGGATTTGTCTGCTGCATTTGACACTGTGGACCACAGTCCCCTGATTTCTCGGTTGGAGCATTTTGTTTGGGTTTGAGGAGTTCCTCTGGACTGGTTTATGTCCTATTTGGCTGAGAGGTTTAGTGTCACTCACTTTAGATAGCTTCACGTCATCTCGTTCCCCTCTCTTATGCAGGGTTCCTCAGGGATCAGTGCTTGGCCTTTTGTTGTTTTCCTTTATTTGCTGTCTCTGGGTTGCGTTTTCAGGCAACATGGATGTTGTTTCCATCTGTATGCAGATGATACCCAGGTTTACATTCCCATTAAACACAGCCTACCTCATTCCTTAGATCCTCTCCTAAACTGCCTTGATGAGGTAAAAATTTTGATGTCAGCAAATTTTCTTCACTTCAGTGATGTGAAGGCTGAGGTTATGTTTTTGAGTCTCAATATGTCTAGTGGGCCATGTTCAACTGACCTTGGTCCACTGGCTCTGTTTCTGAAACATTTAGCGACCAATCTTGGAGTTCTGTTCGACAGTGACCTAGTTCTGGACAAGCAAATCAATGCTGTGATGAAAGCTAGTTTTTATCAGTAAAACGTTGCTCTCAAAACATGATTTTGTGACAGTGATCCTCGATATCGAGAGTTGAGGTTACTCAGGCATCTGGTTAGGATGCCTTCTGGATGCCTCCCTGGTGAGGTTTTCCAGACACGTTAAACTGGGAGCAGACCCAAAGGAAGACCCAGGATACGCTGAAGGGACTATGTTTCTCTGCCTGGGAATGCCTTGGGATTCCCCCGGAGAATCTGGCCCAAGTGGCCGGGCAGAGGGAAGTCTAGGGTCTCTCAGACAACTGCCCCTGTGACCAGACCCCAGATCATTGGAGGATAATGAATGGATGGGCATTCATATTCCTGTCAACCTGTGCTTCTTTTCCGAACCAGTTAATCGCTGGTCATGGTTTCAAGGGCTGGAGTCTGTCCCAGCAGTCAGTGGGTGAGAGGACCTGGTGACCCTGGACAGGTCACCAGTTCATTACTGAGGCTCACAAAATGCTCCTAAAGTCAGATTTAAATCTAAAGTTTCCCTAACATGCAGGTTTGTGGTCTGTGGGAGGAAACCGGAGAACCCAGAGAACGTGCAAACTCTACACTGAAAGGTTGGGTGAACCAGGATCCAAACCAGATACTTCCTAACTGCGAGGCAACATTGCTAACCTCCAATCCATTGTAAAAATTAATTAGATTCTCCTCATAAATGTATTTATATTAGAATTATTTCACTTGTATTACATGCTCTGGGACCACAGCCTGTTTCTGGCATCATTGTGTTATGCTTGTTTGAGTTCTTGATCTTTACAGGTCATCAGTTTTAGTTTTATTTTTTTAAGCAAACTAAGAAGAGATTGTGTTCATGTTTGAGCCACCGATGTCATCATACAGCTCAGAGAACCACCATGACTAAAAAAAGCCTCTTGGAGCTCCTCTGGCTTCAGACTCTTTCTGCATGATGTAAGTGAGCGACTGGAGGCCAGATATGACAGAGTGAAAGTCCACACCCGACCACAAGGCAGGAGTTCATCTCATAAAGAGTCCATGACCTTTCCAAGATGACTGAACCACCTGACTACCTAGTAAATTACTGTATTAGTTTGCCGTTAACAACATGTGGTGAGACAGCGTGGCCGGTTCCGTCGGGTATTGCAGTGCGGCTTTGGGGGTTTCCCCATATTCTGTCTTGTTAAGTAACACTAATGATTCATATTCCCTCAAACTAAGCTCCAAAGCTTCCTGCCTGGATGTGTTTGTTATCTGAACAAGTAAAGAAAAAGTAAATGTTAGTTTCATTGGCGGTGGGCAGTATTAGAGTTGTCATACTTGTGCCCCAGACCGCTGAGGGAGTGTCGTTTCTCTGAGTGGTTTTGTTGCTGGTGGCCAAGTCCAAAAAGGCAAGCTGTCCCTGGAAAGGAAAAAGGAGCCGAGCAGTGGGCCCAGGGATGAGGGACTGTGGGATGAGACAATTACTAGTTATGTCACCACATACATTCCTGGGTTACGAGTTCTCGCCAGCTGTGGCGAGCAGAGCTTTCCCTCTGTCCGCTCCTTCCTCCTCCACGCTGCCTCCTAATGCATCAAATCTGCAGAGTTTCAGCAGACAGAAAAATCATGCTAGTGGAAAAAAAAACCTAAATCTGAGTAATACAGGAAGACTGTGTTATCAGGGCATTGCTGACTAATGTGATTGTTGGTATATTCAGAAAATGAGTAAGAATGATTGTTCTGCTCTAGACAAATTGGATGTGTGAGTATAGTTTTTCCTCAAACATGTATTTAAAGGTACACTATGTAAGAATTTTACAGTGAAATAATCACAAGACAGACTAATATCTCTGTCCTGTTGGGAGGAAAGTCAAATTGAAACAGAAATTGGTCCCAACCAGCTTGGGGGTTTGTCAGTTTTTCTCCTTTCATAAAAGCTAAAGAGGGACGTAGTCTTTGTTTACAACCTGTGAGCCTGCAGGATTGCAGAGACTGCGCCAGCTAACGCTGCTGCGTCTGCATTTGTAATTGGACACTGGCCTGCACAAAGCCATGGCATCTTTCTGTTCTACGCTAATATTGGGCTAGAGGCTAACAATGAGCTAACAATGCTAATGGTGAGTTAGAAACAAATAGTCAGCTCTAAAAATATCTCAAACTTTTTTTAAAAAAATGACCAAAAACTCAATGTTACAGTGAAATGTATTTCTCTACTTGGTAACGCACTGTACATGGCCCGTCTCCACTCGTCAGCTAGACTCTTCTGGTGCTGAGCTGTAGCTGCAACAGCCATGAAACCCGCGGAAGAGAGTGACACGTGTGTTTTCGAAATGGGCTGCAGTAACCAATTTTGACCACATGATGTCAATCTTACTTCATGTGCCCTCAATGTGCATTTTTTCCTACTTTCTCTCCATCAGCCAACACTGGAGATCAACCATCATGCTGGGAAGTCTTTAGACAGCTTCTGTAAATGGCAGAAAACCATCCAGCACCGCAGCAGCTACGGGAACGCCATACCAGACAACGGCATCGCTCACCATGACACCGCTGTGCTTATCACTAGGTAATTTAAAACAGGAATTAGGAAATAAGATATTTTACCAAATTTTTCTTATGAATTTATTCCAGCAAAAACTTAATTTATGCTAATTGTCTGTTGGACTCCTCCTGCATTTCCATCTAAAAAGGATGTTTTTAATCAGAATAGGGCTAAAACAGTGCTTCTTCCGGGCTGTATTCTTACATTCTCAGCGCCTCTCATCATGGTTTGTTTCTGAGCCAAGTTCAGCTGAGTTGGGCTGTATCTTGTCCCGTTTTTAGGTGACAACAGCTGAGGCCTCTCTGTCCAAAGCAGAACCTGAGAGAACATCCAAAGGAAAGATGTGAGGGGTGCAAGAGACGGTGACAGATTTATTATTTTCAGTGTGCAGCCAAGAACAAAAAGGAAGGAGACCTCTGGATTTTATAAAAACGGGCTCTTAAAAATGATAAGAAAGGAGAGCAGTTTCAATCTGACAGCAGTGTTTTCATTTTCTTTTTTCTTTTTTTGTGCCAAATCTATAACAAAAACTTCTTCTGGGAGACAGAAAACAACACAAGCACGTTTAGTCAGTCATCTGAATGCAATGGAGCTGCTACAAATATTCCCCTCTTCTTTCTAACTGGAACTGCTTCAGGTTGCATGAGTTTCACTGCTCAATGCAGGATGCATTTAACAACATTTTTGCTGTTGTACATAAGGGAAGTTTGGTTTTGCAAAAGCATTTATGTATCTAGCAAAGGATGGACGATATCCAGACAGACGGCACCTCAGAGATTCTGGTTTCTGCCTGTTGTTCTCTTAAAGCCGTAGTCTGTGCGGTCCACTGGCATAAACTGTATGACATGATCTTAAATGATTTGCTTATTTTAATTTCCAAAACCTAATCTGGGGTGATGCTAAATGAAATGCTTTAAAATTATAGAATTTTTCCTCTTTATTTTTTGACAGGTACGACATCTGCATCCAAAAGAACAAGCCCTGTGAAACTCTAGGTAACATTCACGCTCAGAAACACACGTTATGAATGACCCAACCAGCATAAGACAGATTCTGCCTCTTAAAGGGATACGTTGCAACTTTTTCATATCGTTAAATCATTTTCTTGAGCCAGTATGTGCTAAAATGACCCTTTAGGGTTAATAAAAGCCCACCCAGCCCCTATCGCCCCCTGTGGCCAGAATATCGCCCTTACAACATCACAGTTGCCGGTCCAGTCTGTTGGAACTTAGAAAAATTGAGCTGACCAACCTGGCGCTGCTGTCTGGCTTCAGCACGTTTCCTGCATGTTTTAGACATCGACATATATACTGGACAATTTGTTTCCGTTGGCTCCAATAATAAGTTTTTAAGCCAAAATGGGAGGTGGCCACCACCGCCATTTTGACCGTGTCACAGGTGCCATCAAGCCCAGACAACTCCAAAACAGGGAAGAGAGGTGGAGCTGAGGGTGGGGCTGTGAGGCTGGGATCAAATGACGACACCCGTCGAACTGAAGCGATGTAGCTACAAGCTAAGCTAGCTACAAGGGTGGGAGCTAAGCTAACGGAGGTAGCTACCTAGCTACAACGGGAGTTAACTGTGCACAACACCGGAGCTTCTGAGTCACCGCTGGGTAAAACCGGGTGGAACACAGAGGTCTCCCGAGAGCTCCACAAGCCGGCAGCCGCGCAGCAGACAAGCGCCGCTGCGATCAGAGATGTGCCGAGCTGCTGCTGGGGAGAACCAGGTAGAAAACATAGGTTTCCATCCGAGAGCTCCACAAGCCAGCAGCCCGCGCAGCAGACAGGCGCCGCGGCGATCAGAGATCGAGCTGCGGGGAGGGGACCTTACCGATAGTCGGAACACAGCTCCACCAACATGTTCTATTTCAACCCATTTTCTAAAATGTAGCGTTAAACAGTACACGTTCAAATCTAAGTTCAGCTAGTGCAAGAGCGGCAGTGATCTCATATACATAAACATAATTCTACTTACCAAAAAAAGTGAAGTGGAGACTCCTTGGGCGCACTATTAGAGCAAATAATGCCACAGCAAGTCATTTTGTCCAGCAGTTGCACAAATAATATCCAAAAAGGAACGCACAAACGCTTCAACTAATGGTCTAAGTTGAGGGACTGAAAATGGTGGAACAGTTTTCAGGCGAGGCCTAGGCTCAGGCTAAGGCTTTTCCCTCTGCAGTTACGTGGGTCTGATGCTCATTAATTATTCAGAATTTTAGACATTTAATACACTTAAACAGAAGAGTGACAAAAATTCACCCCCCTCAGAGTTGTAATGAGTTTAAACTAGATCTATTAAACCAAAAACATGTTTTGGTACCAGGCTGTAAACATGTTTATTTCTGCTGTGAAATTGACATTTTTAACATGGGAGTCAATGAGGATTTGCTCGCTTCTGACACCAGCCCCTTGTGGATGAGGGTGGAACTGCAATTTTTGTCACTTCCGTGTTGGCTTCAATTTCATACCAGCATTATGGGGGCTTGGTTTTAGAGCATGTACACAGCTAATGTGTTTAATTTGGTGATGAACACTTAGGAACGCTGGGAGACGTTTTAGCTTTTAGATTAAGGTGTTAAAAAGACGAACGCACGTCAAGGAGGTTTTGGTTTCGCTTCTACAAACAAACACTAGGGGTTGCTAAAAGCAAGCAAAACTTGCAGGTTAAAGAAAAACATGGACTTAAGTGTCATCAACTTTAGGAAATACCTATTTTTTATTCTAGAACTCAATCTGCTCTTCAAAACAGTGGCATATAAACATAATTTCTTTGATGTGCAAAGACTGCAGATTTTTCTTCTCCACTCTGTCTCAGTTTGTGCCAATTCCTTGTACATGATGGACACAAGTATACATGTTTTATTTATAATTTTCCATTTATGTAACCTATTTGTGTGGTGTGTGTGTGTTTGTTTGCATGCTTGTGTGTGGTGTTGTGCGAACGTTCATGTGTTTGTGTGCGTGCGTGCGTGTGTTTCAGGTCTGGCTCCAGTTGGAGGGATGTGTGAACCAGAGAGGAGCTGCAGCATCAATGAGGACATCGGCCTGGGAACAGCCTTCACCATCGCCCACGAGATTGGACACACGTACGTAACACACACCTTTAGCAAGTGTAGAGAAACTGCAGCATGCATTCATGATAACGAGACAAAAACCAAACCACCTTCGAAGCAGCGTGCGTGTCAGGAGAACCAGATTCAATGGTGTTACAGTATGTGATAAATGTGAGGTTCCATCCTGTCATCCTCAGCTGATGTCAGGGTGAAGTCACTGATGCTGCTATAAATGTTGTGTGCTTGAAAGGAGTGAGCTGTATCTGACTTGTTTTAAGGTCAAGCTAAGGATGTGAATGTTTATGTTAAGTGTTAAACGGTTCAACGGTTAATTCAGTGCTGTTTGACTGTTGGAGAAGACGCTGCTCATTGCGCTCTCGTCTGTGTTAACAGCCAAAGATGGAATAAAACCCGCAACAAAACACACTGACTATTCATTCATGTGTGCAACATGGACCCTCATTTTCAATTGTTCGTAGAACCTGCCCTATATTCTTCCTACGAATAAAATTTAGAATGTGTGTAAAATCCTGATCTATGAAACATGCGGTGGCTACTTGGACGCATGTTCCTCTTCGATCGTCTGATGTCAATTCCACCTGTGCGTTCCTCAGGTACACAGCTCGTGTCCGTTGTCAGTCATTTACATACGGAAACACACTCAATTTATCATATTTGGGCATGCTATGTCCTCAGCACATGAGGGAATTCCCCCCAAAAAGACAATTGACTGCAAGATCGAGCTGGCAGCTGAAGTGCAAACGAACCAAACAAGCTGCAGAGGTTATAAAGGGAATCAGGACAGAGGAGAGGTTCCTGTCAGGAACAAATAAAAAACTGAATATGATCAATTGTAGAGTAACGGGTTGTCATTTACCTTTAAGGAGTCGTTCTGTTTGGAGTTAGTTTTATTTGGAAATGTTGTCTGAGAGTGCAGCCTCTTCTGAGCCGTCATTCAGTCTGGTTACCTTGACAACGCGGCGTGTATGATCGGGAGGCTCTGAGGAGGTTCTAAGGTAAAATAGAATATGGACTGGGATCAGATTTGTGCGGTTTATCTGTCGCTCCACAATAGGTCCCAAATCACAGCATGGCAGAAGAAGGATCTCCTACGGAGAGAATGGTGCGCTCACGGAGGACGCGTTCCCTCCAGAGTGCACGCTCTGCCAAATCCTCCAACACATAACAGCCATGATATAATGTCAGATTCCTGTCGGTCACATGTCTCTTATTGGTTTTAGCACCAATCAGCCGACATAATTATTTTTATGTATAATTGAGTGAAAAATACTTCATGGATGAGGAGCGTGTGTGGACGACTGAGACCTTCAGTACTGCGGTTCCCCTGTTTTACCACTAGCTGCTGTTCGTACGCATGGTCAGAGCGGTTCTTATATGTAGGAACATTTATATGCACAAGTACAAATTAGTAAATACCACACAATGCATAGAATCGGTTCTACGCACGAGACTTTTTCTAGCTGACTCGTACGAAATATGCACAGATCCCAATGTTTTAACCCTTTTTGCACTATTTTAATTGCTTTTATTATCTATTTATTCATTGTGATTTACATTTCTCATGTGCTGTGTACAGCGCCTTGGGCTCCCTGACAGGGAGATCAGGATTATACACACATTCTAAAGGCGCGTTATAAATAAAGCTTTGATTGATTGATTGATTGATCTCTTTGTAAGTAAGGTTGATAACTGAGGGCCTCAGCAACAGATGTGGTGATGATTTCCTGAAAATTTCAGCTTTATCTTCAGATTTTGACTCATGTGATCTCACTAGAATTGGTGACATTTTCCCCGCAGAACAAATTCTATATGTTTTTTTTTAATCTCCCGAGCAGTTGATCTCCGAATGTTTGTGAGAGCAATTTTCTTCTCTTTTAGTTCCTCCTTTGTGAATTTTTATGTTGTCTGACTTTGAGAATCCCTCATACAGTATTGCATAGTATCACAGTCCTGACTTTGTGGTTGCCACTCATCCTTTCTTACAAACGCAGGAACCACATTCTCCGGGTTCTGTTGGGTTCTGCTGCTTTTTTTCAGATGTTCTGCAGGACAGTCCACTAAAATGTGGCCCAACCAAGCTCTTTGTTGAATCAGCTGGATAAAATCTGAGACTCAGATGTAAATGTTATCCGTCTCAAAGAAGGGTAGCAATGTGAAGCGGAATTTTTCAGGAAATATAAAGAACATCTGTGTGCTGAAGCGGGACGATTATCGTAAAACTGTCACAGGGTTTCTGAACCAACCAACATTAAAGTATGGGTCATTTATTTTTCTGCCCTCCTCACTCAGACATCAATGAACATATCAGAGGTCCAGTTGTACTGTTAAGTGTCTTTTTGCCTTTTGGAGTTCAAGGGCTTGAGATCAAACTACACATCATCAGGTTAAAGGATGATCGCCTGTCTACCTGAGCTAAAGCTGCTCTGGTTCTGTTCCATGCTCCAGTTACTGGATTTATATTTTAGCCTTGTATTTCCCAAAATGTTCACCTGGAATTTTGCTAAATGTTTTTACTAAGCCTGCCCAGTTTCTTCATATATGTTTAGAAAGTAGCTGTAAAGTGTAACTTAGTACTTAGTTTGATGTTCCATAGAGAACTAGATTTTCTAACATGCTTCTGTTGGTTCGATCCCTCTTGGTTGCCCAAAGGAACCCATGTTCTGCTGCCCTCTTTGCTGCTGTAGGGGTTTTTACCTTTCCACATGGCCTCAAAGTGTTTTATCATCATGGGCTTTTAGATTTGGGATGAACCATGATGGCATGGGCAACGCTTGTGGACCACGCAGCCAGGAGACGGCCAAGCTGATGGCTGACCACATCACCATGAAGACAAACCCGTTCATCTGGTCCGCCTGCAGCCGGGATTACATCACCAGCTTCCTGGAGTGAGTCAAGCCAGCCAATCAGATTTCTGAAGTCCCACAAAAAATAGCTAATTGAGTTTGGGAGAGAAAAACAGTCCGTTAGAACATTTTTTGATCATCAGAGAAATGTTTTGCATGCATTTTTAGATATATTTTTGTATTACGAAAAGTGTAGGAACCTTCTCCAGATCAAGGACGAGATCCTGCCTCAAGTAGAGGAGTTTCAGCATCTCAGGGTCTTGTTTAAAAGAGAGGGAATGATGGATCATGAGACTGATAGGTGGATTGGTGCTTTGTCTGCAGTGATGTGGGCATAGTACCGATCTCTGGTGAGGACAGCTGAGTTGGAAGGCAAAGCTCTCAATTTATGGGTTGACATGTTCTAACCCTCATCAATGGTCACAGGTGGACTGGCCTATCTGGCATTCTGGCACTGCCCCAGTGGGCCCGCTATGAGGACCAACGGGCCGTAAAAATGCCAGGGCCAGTTGTTGGTCCCAGTCCACACCTGGTCACAAGTTTTGGGAAGTGACTGAAAGAATGATATTGCAGACATAAGTGGTTGAAATTAGGCTTTCCCTTTGAGATAGGATGAGAAGCTTGGTAATCTAGGAGGAGCTTGGAGTAGACCCACTGCTTCTTCACATGGAGAGGAGCCAGTTGAGGTGGCTCGAGCATCTAGTCAGGATGCCTCCTGGATGCCTCCCTGGTGAGGTTTTCCGGGCATGTCCAACTGGGAGAAGACCTAAAGGAAGACCCAGGACATGCAGGAGGGACTATTGGCAATTACACACTAGCATCAGCTCCATTCTGTCTGGACCGAGTTGGGCGTGTTCTCGTTTTCCCATGCGCAACCAGACTTCATTTCAGCCCTTTTCCCGAGGCAGTCTGGCAGACACACCCACTGTCGGCTGACTGGCCGGCTCAAAATCACGCGTACCATTAGAGGGAGCCTCTGATTGGCAGATAGTATTAGCCATACTATCTGCCAATACTCCGCATGTGCGATTCATTTTCATTCTGGATGCTGTGACGTTAATGAGCCTTTGACTGAAGGCAATACTGAAAAAGTGTGTTTTAAGGGCCGACTTGAAACACCGCGGACTTCTTTGCGCTCTATCGCCCCGCCAACGTGCTCGGAGATGCGCTGATGACATCAAAGACCACAGACCGCCCATGCGCTCAATCACGTCCATATTCCTAAAGCAGTGTGGAACGAACGCGGCCAGGCTGGGGTGTGCAAGCGGGCACAGTGGAGTGGAGCCGATGCTACTGTGTAAGTGGCTAATGTTTCTCGGCTGGCCAGGGAACACCTTAGGATTCCCCCGGAGGAACTGGCCCAAGTAGGTCTCTCTGCTTTAGGCTGCGGATGGATGGATGGATCAGGAAAATCCACTTTCACAGAATGTGTAAAGACTGAAACATGAGCATGATTTTAGATTTTCTTCTTCTTTTTCTGCTCTGTTAGTTCAGGTATGGGCTCCTGTCTGAACAATGTGCCTCCAAAGCAGGAGTTTGTGTATCCCACCACGGCGCCGGGTCAAACCTACGATGCCGACGAGCAGTGTCGCTTCCAATGCGGCATCAGATCTCGACAGTGTAAATATGCGGTGAGCACAGAGACTTTATCCATCTTTTGAATTTATTTACAGCCCACTTGTAACCAAATCTTTGCACACAACCCTCTGCCAAAATGACAGAGTATATAAAAAGTAACAAAAATTCACAAGCATCTCTGCACCAGTGCAGGAAGCAGAAGGATGCAGATCCAAGCCAACACTTTGCACCTTCACGTTTCAGCTCACATCTGTTTGAAACTTGGTCTCACTGATTATTCTTCCACTCAGATACACTCAGTCTCCTGGTGTTTTCAGCCACTCGCTGTTGACTCACGCTGCTCCATCTCTCTCCAACAAATCCGTGATGCAGCACATCTTGCAATACTTTTGTAGAATAGCGTTCTTTTTATTGCATGGTCAAGTTTTACAAGGCCAACAACCTCAGAGGGATCGGACATCTGGAACAGCAAACTGCTTTATAGACTCAATATTATCCATGGTATATAGTCAGCATATGTACACAATAAAACATGACCCCGTGTGTTGGGGCATCGCTGTTAAAGGGGAGGCAAGCTGAAGGTGAGCGATGGTTTCTGCTCTTATCTATGCTTATCATGTAGAAGAAAAGCAGTATCATGACCTGTTCTTCTTGTTTCTCTTGTGAATGAATTTATTTTCTTCTGGTGAACATGCACAGGAAGTCTGCAGTGAACTTTGGTGCATGAGTAAGAGCAACCGCTGCATCACCACCAGCATTCCTGCTGCAGAGGGAACCATCTGTCAGACCAACACCATAGAGAAGGGGGTATGATCTTTTTATAATATTTGGAAAATAATACTTTTTCTAAATCGCTCACCCTTAATTTTAAGTTTACAAAACCACAAAGTCAACTTGAGTTTTATGAGTCGCAGTGCTGTGGGGCTGGTGCTGTCAGTCACTGCCTTAATGCAGTTCCCACAAGCCATTGGGTGCATTTTTGAAACAGTGTGGGTGGAGTTATGCTCGAGGCTTACTGTACATTTTTCTGCCATCCTACATAAATCCCTTGCTAACAGAGTTGTGTCAAAAATTGGTGAACAAGAGGGTATTTTGCAAGTCTGTGGCCATCCGGTTTGACCGGCCAAGCGACAGCTTATTGAGCACCCTCGTGACCAAAGACAGCCTCCAACGGCCTTCAAGCACTGCTTGAAAATGTACGCCTCCCGACGGCAAACAACCAATAAAAATACACCCAGGGTGTGAAAAACTAGTGATAAGAGTGGGCGGAGTTTCACTGAATTGAATCATTGCATTTCTGGGAATAGATTCAGGCTGACAAAACAACTCGTATTTAAGATAAAGGACATCTCAGTAGTGCTAACAATAATATTTTATCATATACTTGATATGGAACCTTTATTGTCATTTTGCTGTGGAAATCTCATGTATATACACTGTAGTGTAAAGCACTTTGGAGTCCTCTGTCTCTGAAAGGCGTTATCCAAGTGGGGGTCATTTAGCGATCATTTAATGCAAAACATTTGAACATGAAAACAGCTTTAGGTGTATGTTGGTGTACAGAGAGAAGAGCAGAGGGGAGAGAACACAACCCTGAGGGGAACCGGTGCTGATGGTCCGTCCGCAGGTCAGAGACGTTCTTCCCCAGCCTCACTTGCTGCTTCAGGAAGTCAGTGATCCACCTGTAGATTGGGCGAGGCACATTCATCTGGGACAGTTTGTCTTGGAGGTCTGGGAGGATTCTGTTTAAGGCAGAGCTGAAATCCAAGAACAGGATCCTGGCGTAGGTACCTGGGGAGTCCGGATGGTGCAGGATGAAGTGTAGAGCAATGTTGATGGCATCATCCACAAACCGGTTGGCTCTGTAGGCAAACTGCAGGGGGTCCAGGAGGGGGGTTGTGGTGGTCTTGAGGTGGGGGAGAACCAGGTACTCAAATGACTTCATGACCGCAGATGTCTGAACTACAGGTCTGTAGTCAGTGAGTCCAGTGATCCTTGGTTTCCTGGGGATAGGGACCATGGTGGACATCTTCAAGCAGGTGGGCACATGAGATGCCTCTAGTGAGGAGTTGAAAATGCCCGTAAACACCGGGGCCAGCTCTTCAGCACAGTGCTTTAGAGGCCAGAGACACACCATCAGGGCCGGGCGCTTTCCACTCATTCAGAGTTTTGAATAGCTTTCTCACATCTGCCTCATGGATGTGTAGGGTTGATGGAGGTGTGTGATGTGAGCTCCTCCTGGTGAGGAGGAAGGTGCTGAGGGTAAAATTCACATGCACAAAAGTATAGCATAAATCATTTAAAAGGAAATATATCCGCTTAAAATTATAGTTGAAGCATAACAAATGTTCCGTTTAGCTTATTTACAAATAAAAATTAAGATGTATTTTTATCATATTGTCTAAAAACGATCCATTATTTTCTGTATGCTGTTACTTTATGTGCATTTCTATGTTGCAGTGGTGTTTTAAGAAAGTGTGTGTGGCTTACGGGACTCGTCCGGAGGGTGTGGATGGAGGGTGGGGTCTGTGGTCACCGTGGGGGGAGTGCAGCCGGACCTGTGGGGGTGGAGTCTCCTCCTCTGTCCGACACTGTGACAGCCCAAGGTACAGATCACTTTAAACAAAGTTTGACCTTTTTTTTTTTTTACCATTTGCAATCACAGTAGAAGTCCAGGGGCCTCCTTTCGCACAAAACGGGGTCTGAAAACCACGTGCGAATTTTTACACAAACTTTGTGATTTATTAAGAAAAACATAATCTCTACAATAATTATATCTGGAATTAAAAAAATTACAAACAAAAACTTTTAACCGCAGCACAATAGGCACCAGTGCAGTTGGTTTCCTTAAACTTGCCCGTTCCAGCCAGAACTAGCTATCAGGCAGGCTGATATTTGTTTGATATGTGGAATAAAATGTCCTGAGTAATTCACTATTGAATGTAGTGAAAAATGCCATCACTGTCAAACTTGGTAGCATTTTATTTTGAAATGCCACATCAGATAGGGATAAAAGATGGGGAGGCTGTAGTCGAGGGTATGCACTATAGAACTGAGGTGGAATGGGGTCGCACAACCAGACAGGTTTTGAGGGATTAACCATTGAATGTAGTGAAAAATTTCAGTATTGTCGAATTTGGTTGCATTTTATTTTGAAAGGCCACAGGAAATTGGGATAAAAGATGGGTAGGTTGTAGTCGAGGTGTGTACTATAAAACTGTCTGGTTGTGCGACACCATTCCACTTCACTTTTTGAGGGACTAAAGTTAATTTGTGGAATAAATAAAATATTTTTGTAAAAATGTTCTCCTTAAATCTGGAATATCTCAACGGCCCCTGAGCACAATGATGCAGCTGCTTTAGGTGGAATCAATTATTTTTGCCATCTTCCTCTTTGCCTCATCTGACCACTTTTTAAATAGATGGTTGTTTTTTTTTTCTGCCGTGATTGCTTCACAGCTCCCTGCTGTAACAGCACGGTGCCACTCGAAAGCAATAAAACACCTTTTCTGTACCTACATCACTCCCCAAAGCCTCGGTTGTCATAGTTACCTGTGAAATGCCGCTGATCAGCAGGTTTATGTGTATGCAGGACATTCATAAAGTAGTTTGCATGATCATTTATGGTAGAAAGTGGGTGTGTGGGCGGTGGGATGCAATCCAGAAACACCTGAGCACATTTCTAGGACAGGTGTGATTGAAACAGCAGAAACTGCGTGCAGCCGTGCATAAGCAGTGGTTTTTTTAATTGAAATAGTGTAGAATTCACTTTTGAAAATTCCCTTCTGGGAGCCCAAACATTAATTCATGTTCCTGTAAATGCTCTGATAAAGACATAAATGATTGAATTTGTAATATCACAAGACTTAAGTTTCATTTTAGCCAAATTTATCTTCTCAGAATCTCTTTGTTCTTTTATTTATTACATGAACAGCTTGAACGAGATGCTCAGCTGTAAGCTGACATTTATTACATGGCATTAATTTACTGCAGCACAGTAGCAGCTACTCATCCAGTCTAAATAATCACTCCATAAATCCAGCAGCGCCTGAGCAAACAGGACAACAAGAGGCTGAAAATGAACTCTTTAGATTCAGATTTTTTTGACATAAGAGTATAAATATGTAACAAAAACCTTCTTCTGCAAACTCCACACAGAGGGTTTTTAAACTAAAGGCCTTCTTGCATGCAGCAGCAGTCTAAATGTTTGCAGAACAACTAATCTTTTGAGTTGCTGTCAGCAGACACCTCATCTTGAACTTATTATAAGAGAATAGACTGACCCAAATCCCAAGCCAGAAGTTTCCTCCCATTCTATCTGTCAGAAACCTCTCGGCTGTATATTTTTTTAACCCGGAGATGCTGTTTTGTTGCTGATGAAGAGGCTTGAAAGCCCCAGGAAGCTGGAGTCTGAGGTGGTTTTGTGGTGATGTGATGAATGTTTTATATAGTCAAACTAAACATGTTTTTTATCGTTTGGCCCTGCAGACCAACCATCGGTGGAAAGTATTGTCTGGGGGAAAGAAAGCGCTTCAGATCCTGTAACATTGACGTGAGTTTTGTTATGCTTCACTTACATTACCAATTCTCCTGAGCAAGCCAGTGAGAAAATGTCAATACTACGTTGTGCATTCTGAGTGTATGTAGAAGCTGCATGCATGTAACATCATTTGTGATTCATAGGAGTGTCCTGCAGGCTCCAGGGACTTCAGAGAGATCCAGTGCTCGGACTTTGACAACATTCCTTTCCGGGGAAAGTTTTACTCCTGGAAACCTTACAGAGGAGGTGAGTGTGGATTTCTGTTGTGTGTTTTGTTGTTTGTTTGAGTTTTGTCGCCTGTGTTGCTGTACTTGTCAGCAGATTATTTACAAGACACTGGAGATGTAGAAAAAGACGTTCCACATTTAAAACCATGTGAAACAAAACTGGATGAGTCAAAATACCAAAAGTAAAAACACTTTTTTTTAATGTTTGTTTGTTTTTTGTTCTCATTTCATTCATTATCTTATATATGTTTTTTATTTTTTAAACAAAAGAAAACAATTAAAGGGGCATTATGGAAGTTTGACAGCCAAAACATGTATAGAAATAATAAATTTCTTCTTCATACATTCTCCAGCAATGCCCTGGTCCTGTAGAATGAGCCCTGGCATTTTTACTGTGATTGCCTGTTTTTCTGTAAAATCACAGAAAAAGAGAGATGCTCGAGTCGAGCAGGCTGCTTCATGCGCGTTCACGCTCAGGCATAGCCCTCCGAACCGTTCTTTGAACGTTGTTTCAGCTGTGATCAAGAATATCTAATAAGACTGCAGGCTTTCGTGCAGAAGACCCGGATTTGATTCTGGATGTGACATAGTTGTTTTAGAGTTTCTTTTTTACATTAATGATATATTTTTTTACAGTAAGATGCCCACATTTTTATTTGAGACTTGCCGAACGGCATTCAATTCACAGATAAAAAAAATGTGGGTTCAACTTTCATTTTGGAACAATTTTTCAAGCAAGGGAAGGGAATGATCTGAGCATGCAGGAGGACTGACACATCTTAAACCTTTGTCGGCTGTGCTGAAGAGAAAGGTACAGAACCAAATTATTTAATTAATTAGCTGTGCGTTCTCCTGTCCTCTGTCCTCCGGGCCACACACACACACACACACACACACACACACACACACACACACACACACACACACACACACACACACACACACACACACACACACACAAGGGACTGTCTCAGCTGTTATTTTCGTTAAGGAGTGTGCACGTACAGCATCTGTCTGCATTCCTTCGTGGGGGTTTGTTGCTAGCCTCTCAAGGCTGCTCGGGCGTCAGATTCGGATAACAAGACGTTGTTTGGGTCAGGCTGAGATAATTTTCCTCTCTGCCTTCAGTCTTTAAACTGATCATTTCCAGTCCTTCAGTGAAGCCAATTTGGGTTTTTAAACTTCCCGTTTTATATATTCTGAGATGACATCCATTTTGCGCACTAATACCGGTATCGCAGCTAGAACATTGTCCAGCTTACGATTCACCTTGAGTAACGTCCCAGTCTGTGAAGTCTCCACACGGACGGTGCTTTCCGTGGGTGCGGGTCGCCCTCCAATCGCTCCCGTCTTCCCACATTTCCAGAAAACCAGATATCCTCCCACTCCAATCAGGAGAAATCCAGTGATCATCAGGCCGTTATTAAGTCACAGTGTTCTGGTTGTCATAGTCAGATAGGTCGGGATTCCAATATGGCAACGCCCTCAAAAACAGTTATTTTGTTAGTTCTCAATGAACACAGATGACTAATAGGGCTTGTGATCAGACGTGATTATGCATAGCATTCTGAGATATGCGCAGACATGCTGGCAGCCTTACAAGTGTAAACAAACCGTGAAACCAAACAGTATGTCACAGAGAAGAAGCAGATTTGGGTGAAAGAAAGTATTAACCCTCCCACTGTCTTTATGGGTGACCCCGCAAGGAAAGTTGACCATTGAGCAGGATTGATGGTTGATCCCTTGAGGTCCATGTGGCAGGGGTGAGGTGGTGCTCACTCCTCACCTCTGCCACATGGACCATCAACCCTGCTCAATGGTCAACTTTCCTCACGGGGTCACACCCATTAGGACAGTGGGAGGGTTAAACAACATGTTAAAATCCCAAACAGGATGCAGAATATACAGGGGTACGTTAATTAAAGACGTCAGGAACTGGTACATGGACAAAATCAGCATAATAAATGGTTTGGATCCATATGAAAGACCCAAGACTGGAGCAACGACGACAACTTGTTGCCGCCGCAGCTCTGCATAACGAACATTTTCTGCTTTTTTGTTTGTAGTGTGAGCTGATGTAAATGTCCGGATAAGAAGTAAACGTTTCATTTGCTGGTTTTTCTAGTAAAACTGTCTAAAAGGCCATCCCATAGAAGTGTAGCTGGAGAAGTTGTGTTGTATGTCAGTGCTCCCGCATTAGCTTACCAATTTGTGTGTGTGTGTGTGTGTGTGTTGTGTGTGCCTGTCGCATTTGAAGGAAAGAAATCATGTATAAAAAAAGTACACCATCTGTATCTCACGAGAATGAAAATACTCCAGAAGGTGATGTTTGCCGCCTTATAGCTGTGATCCAAGCAAGTCGACGAGACTTTATGTTTGTAATTTGGTCCTGTGGCTGTTCCTCCAAGCAGGAAAATGGTGAAGAATTAGCCCATTGTCCATCTTTAGCCCCCTGGCAATCACGCGTTGCACTCCACAACACAGCAACGATTTACTAGAGTTGTATAAAATAACAGATCAAATGAACAATAGATTAATTAAAGCCGCAAAAACGAGACAGAGCTCGCTGTTTACAGTAGTAACAAACAACAAGTAAGGACTCGGCGGCTGCGACGGTGATAACGTCATGATCATGAGCCCAAAAGCTCATCTTCAAAAAATACTTGAAGAGAGAAGCTTTAGTTGTAAGCGCTACATGTAACATTGCTTTTTAACTCACTCTTATAAGTGTGTCTTGTAAAATAAACATATTTCAACCAAAACTTGCTGTTGCTGGACGGAGAGCTGCCATTTTGGATGTGGAGGTCAGACTTCTGAAATTCTTCCAAGTTTCCGACTGGGAAGTCCGACTTTGGAGGGCGTTTCATTTGATTTTTCATCTTCAGAATTCAGGAATTGGGAGTTCTGATGACAAATCGAACGCAACGTTATGCTAGCCTGAGCTACAGCTACAGGTGCTGGCCAGTAAATTAGAATATCATCAAAAGGTTGAAAATATTTCAGTAATTCCATTCAAAACGTGAAACTTGTACATTATATTCATGCAATGCACACAGACCAATGTATTTACGATGTTTATTACGTTTAATTTTGATATTTATAGGTGACAACCAATGAAAACATCAAATCTGGTATCTCAGAAAATTAGAATATTCTAAAGGCCAATGAAAAAATGTTTGTTTCTCTAATGTTGGCCAACTGAAAAGAATGAACATGAAAAGAATGTGCATGTATAGCACTCAATACTTAGTCGGGGCTCCTTTTGCCTCAATAACTGCAGTAATGCGGCGTGGCATGGACTCGATCAGTCTGTGGCACTGCTCAGGTGTTATGAGAGCCCAGGTTGCTCTGATAGTCGTCTTCAGCTCCTCTGCATTGTTGGGTCTAGCGTATTGCATCCTCCGCTTCACAATACCCCATAGATTTTCTATGGGGTTAAGGTCAGGCGAGTTTGCTGGCCAATCAAGGACAGGGATACCATGGTCCTTGAACCAGGTGCTGGTGGTTTTGGCACTGTGTGCAGGTGCCAAGTCCTGTTGAAAGGTGAAGTCTGCATCCCCATAAAGTTGGTCAGCAGCAGGAAGCATGAAGTGCTCTAAAACTTCCTGGTAGACGGCTGCATTGACCCTGGACCTCAGGAAACAGAGTGGGCCAACACCGGCAGATGACATGGCACCCCACACCATCACTGACGGTGGAAACTTTACACTGGACCTCATGCAACGTGGATTCTGTGATTCTCCGCTCTTCCTCCAGACTCTGGGTCCTTGATTTCCAAAGGAAATGCAGAACTTGCTTTCATCAGAAAACATAACTTTGGACCACTCAGCATCAGTCCAGTCCTTTTTGTCCTTGGCCCAGGCGAGACGCTTCTTGCGCTGTTTCTTGTTCAAGAGTGGCTTGACACACGGAATGCGACACCTGAATCCCATGTCTTTCATGAGTCTCCTCGTGGTGGTTCTTGAAGCGCTGACTCCAGCTGCAGTCCACTCTTTGTGGATCTCCCCCACATTTTTGAATGGGTTTGTCGTCACAATTCTCTGCAGGGTGCGGTTATCCCTAGAGCTTGTACACTTTTTTCTACCACATTTTTTCCGTCCCTTCGCCTGTCTGTTAATGTGCTTGGACACAGAGCTCTGCGAACAGCCAGCTTCTTTAGCAATCACCTTTTGTGTCTTGCCCTCCTTGTGCAAGGTGTCAATGATTGTCTTTTGGACAGCTGTTAAGTCAGAAGTCTTCCCCATGATTGTGGTGCCTTCAAAACAAGACTGAGGGACCTTTTAAAGGCCTTTGCAGGTGTTTTGAGTAAATCAGCTGATTAGAGTGGCAGCAGGTGTCTTCTATATTCAGCCTTTTCAGAATATTCTAATTTTTTGAGATAACAAAATTTGATGTTTTCATTAGTTGTCACTTATGAATATCAAATTTAAATGTAATGAGCATTGGAAATACATTGGTCTGTGTGCATTGCATGAATATAATGTACAAGTTTCACGTTTTGAATGGAATTACTGAAATATTTTCAACCTTTTGATGATATTCTAATTTACTGGCCAGCACCTGTAATGCTAACCTGAGCCACTGCTAATGTCTTTAGTGGATGAGAGAAAATCAGCAAAGAATTATGCTGGAGCGCCACTCACAGTCTGGGATGTTCTGGAAATTTCCAGACTATGAATGAATGCAGGATAGATTCACAACTTGCCAACCTTGTCCTTATCCTTGTTTGTCCGCAAACACCAGGTAAACAACCAGCTGAACAATCCTGCCCCTCCACTCCCACCCTGGTGCATAGAAATTGGCTTGCCGGACACTTACTTCCTCATTTGTGCACACACACAATCTCAATGACCCCAAGTTTGTCTACCTTCACATTAATGCCAATATGGCTTCTAGTAAAAATGTTTTTGGAGGTGTGGTGCAGCTTAAGCGTTTGTCCTTAATGACAATTTACGTTACTTTTACTTGAGTTCGTTAAATAGTTTTGAATCCAGTACTTTTGAAACTTTTACTTGAGTTAAGCACTTGACACCTCAGTTTCTTCAGAAGTATTTAATCTAAATAATGAATATAAAAGCTTTTGACACCTCTGCTTCTTGGCCATTGTGAGCCCCACCAAAGTTTATTATCCTATAGACCCTTTTACTGTTTGTAAACAATATGACGTCAGCGAGAATGCACGCGCAGCTTGGCAACAGAGAATGGCGTTGTTTCAGGTTTTATCAAGCTACGCTGCGGGGTTATCATCGGCAAATCTTGAATGTTATATTATTAAACTCACTTTAACGAATGGCAACAGACTCCCGGATCCCTGTGGCATTACGGAATGGGTGGAAGATGTAGGTGCGTGGCCAGAAATCCAGTGGCCCGATATATATACGTTTTTAGTGGAGAGGCCCAGTAAGTACACACGTGAGAAGCTACAGGCATACAAATCGTTAGATGCATGCAACTATGTTGTCTGTGGCCACGTACAGAAAGTAAAATATCACGACATAGACTCTGAGTTTTGCGTCCTGAAGGCAGAAGTCCTTCCTAGCCAAAGACAAGGACACAAGACTGCTATGTACGAGGCTTGGGTCATAGTAAACAAACCAGAGAACTACGTCTTCACAGCCAACTGTACCTGCATGGCAGGGTGAGTATAGCATAGGTTTCTTTTTTTTAGCGTGCTCAGAGTACAATCGTGTTAATTTTAGAGAAATACAGTTTATACTAATATGCAGTGGGAAAATACAGATGAATTAGAATGAAATGTTAATTTGAAGCATGAAATAAAGCGTATGAATTTATATGTAACCTTAGTACATAATTACCTTACCTGATATAAAATGGGCGCTACAAACTCGAGCATTTCGGATCGTGTTTTCAGTCCAGGTTTCATCAACCCTTTTGATGGCCTGCAGCCACAGACGCCTCCGATTTTGTTGAAATGGATGTGCTTCCTTCGGAATTCTGTAAAGTTTCAGTCCACTGCTGGAAGAGAAGCGATTCTGGCATCCATACACGCAACAACCTGACATTTTTATGTGCTCAGAACTTCAAAACAAAGGGTTTAAAACGCTGTTTTAGTATCGAGTGTGAATGAGGAAGCCTTCACTCTCGTTGCCAGGCTGCGCACGCAACTTTGGATGACGTAGGTAGTAAAAGGGTCTATACAGAGGCTTAAAGAACAGTTTCCAACTCTTTCTAGGGTAACTTTCGGATATGTTGACTTCATATATTATATTTTTGTACTTTTGTAATGAAGTGCAGCATTTACTAAGCCATTCTTAATTGTGCAACTTGAAATGAAACATCAGATTTTCTTCTACAAAATGGTTTAACTTTACATAATTAATTTATGCAGTTTTTTTTCTCAAACATCATGCGTCCTGACGAGGCGGAGCTCTGTTGCCTTATTTAGACATCTATATTTATTCTCCATCACTTGCTTTTATTTTATAAAAAAAAAGTACAACTCAGGATTTTCAGAAAATAAACACGAGTGATCAGATATTTTGATTATATGAATATAACTTATGGAAAATTGAAGAAAACTAGTAGAAAACTAAACTAAAGGTTTGAAAATAGAAGAGAAATATGAGTAAGGTCGGGTTTAGTTTGAACAAATGTAAGTCAGTAAAATATCCTTATAAGTGCAGAATTGGACTGTTTGTGACAGAACTAAAACTTTCTCGTTCCAATCTCCCTGAGACGACTTTTGTTTGAAAACGGTGCTACATAAATAAATTGATCTAAAATTGGATTAAAAGTGAATTTGTGCCTGCTCGTGTGTGTATGAAGATTGGACTGAAAGCGGCAGACTCTCCCTCCAGTCTGGCGTCCAGATGCTGGCTGCAGAGAGTCACACATCCCAGAATTCCTTGCAGGAATTCCTTGTTTCTGATGCACACTAGATGCTGAAACTGGACATGAAAGATAAATAGCTGCAGCAACATGACTGCATTTAATTGAGCGCTGTGAGAACATAATGACTTGCAGAGAATTTCAGCAGAGTAATTCCCATTACAGGCAACAAGTGTTCTTTTCAACAGGTCAGCTGATTATCCAGCACAAATCCCTTGCAGATGTTAAAATGGGAAACATGCCCAAAATCTTAAAGGCCAAAGAACAGCGTCCAGCGTGTCCTCTGTACTCCACAGCCTGTTCACTGTCCTCCGCTCCATAACATTCAGTGGAGAATCGTTGTGTTCTTCCTTTCCTCTTCTCACTAATGACATCGTTCCATCCTTGCTTTATTTTGTTCACCATTGTTCCGTCCCATTTCTGTCTGGACGTAGGAAACAGAACAAAATTCTTCTGCATATTCACCCCCAAATAAAATAAATCATGCTGCAGGTTTTCTTCTTTTTAGTCAGAAGAGCTGCTCCCCGTTTTCAGCCATCACTCCAGACAGCACAACTGAAAGCTAAGGCCACCCTGCCAAAACTGCACCACGGAAACTGTGGTTTTCCATAATCTAAACGCTGTACTGTAGGGAAGTTTGGCCACTCACTTTCTCTTGCAGCACACTCTGTACTTTCTTCTTCAACACAAATCATTTGAGAAACAATAAAAAAGGAAGTTTCTCTTAACTTTGACATGATGTTTGTGGCACATCGTTTATATTTTTCTCTTCTAAGTGTTTTTTTAAATATCTCTATTGTGTAGTTTGATGTTGATGCATCCCCTCAAGTAAAGGCCTGTGGTTTTGTGTCTGCATGCACACATCCTAGATAAAAAGCAGAGACATAATCACACTCAGCTGCTTGTCCTTTTTTTTATTGTCACAAAAGAATACTTCTCAGTCCCCTGCAGAGGTTTTGCTCTCTCGTTTGGCCTTTTAGGATGTGCAGTACATGCAAGAGTCAGTGTCCAACATGCAAACATGTCTGGCACATTTAGCACCGTGGGCCTTTGGAGAAACTTTTGCATCCTTCAAATCTGTGCCAGAGTTTGCTGAAGTTAACGTATTAGCCTATTTGCATCATGCTTTCAACTCTGTGTGTGTGTGTGTGTGTGTGTGTGTGTGTGTGTGTGCGTGCGTGTGTGTGTGTGTGTGTGTAGGTGGCGTGAAGCCCTGCTCTCTCAACTGCCTTGCAGAAGGATACAACTTCTACACGGAGCGCGCTCCCGCCGTGGTGGACGGCACGCCGTGTCGAGACGACTCCCTGGATGTGTGTGTGAATGGAGAGTGTAAAGTGAGTTTTTTGTTTACATGCATCAGTCCAAGTGCACGATTCAAGTAAAACCATTAGATGTGAGGAGACAGTTTAGACTGGATTAACAGAAGATTGCATTCACCTTGAATAGCTTTGTTTATGCTCGCTCCGGAGAGTCCATGCAGCCGCAGATGGCTCGTTTACATGCTGGCTGGTGTTGCTCATCAGAATCAGCTGCTGCGGCTGATAAACTGTCGTAACTTTGGCAGCAGACTCAGATTCCCGTTGGAGATTCGGACTCCTAATTGGCTGTCACTGAGAACAAAACATCTCTGATGAGCGGGAGACCACCTGGAGCTCAGAAACAGTCCGCCGAGCCCGTCTGACACTCACGTGACCCGTTTGTTGTAGACTTATAGTGAACAGCTCACATGTTTCACAGTCGAGTCCGGCAGCATTTCGCACTTCAGCTCTACTCAAAAAGAAGAAACTTTCAACAGAAAAATACATTTAGCTTCTTATTCTTCAGCATGTGTCGTTTTAAGCCTCTTTTCTCCTCAGAGGTTTAAAATGAGGTTAACTGAAATGTTTAAAAAGAGTTTTGTTTATCAACAGGCCTCTTTTTTTTCTCTTCTTCTTCCTTTTTCTTTCGCTCTGCGCTGCTCTGGTCTGCAGGAACTCAGTGACCCTCCAGCTCAGCTGTTAGTCTGTCTGTGCGGCAGCCTGGATTTCATTCCCTACACTCTTATTATCTCTTTTTTTAAAAACTTTCTGACTCGTTTCGTGTCTCTACTTTTACTTAGATTTGTTCTGTGTGCGATCCAGCTACTCCTCCCCTCTCTCTCTCGCTAGAACATCTCTTGCGCTGTTTATCGCTTTAATCTTTTGTTTTTGTCTTCATCAGCAGCATAGCAGCTAAATTCAGCAGCAGTCAGAGTCTTATCTTTGCAATTTAGACGATAATTCAACTAATCTGAACTGACCCAGAGTACAGATGCTGTTCACATCTGGCCCGGGTTCCAGTCCTGACCCGTAACTCGTCTCGTCGCTCACTTCCTGTTTAGCTGCTATCAAATAAAAGCCGCTGACAGCAGGAGAGAAAAAAAATCACACCTTTATTATTCCTCTCTATAATAAGCAGCTGCTCTGTGAATAAATGAGAATAGGAGCAGCTGCCATTCAGCTTTTACACATTTGTTTAGGTTTGCATCCCTGTTAAAGAGTTTTGAGTGAAACCACCTGCTTCGCTCATCATGATATTTATTTATGTCGACAGCTATGAGTTTAGCAACCAAAGAGCATTATGTCTGCGCAGGATCAGAAAACACATCTGGACTTTCCATCTGATATTTCTGTGTTTTTATAAAACGGTCTGGAAGACATTAGGAGGTAATTCGTCAGCGTGGCCCTCTGACACCTCCCGCTTGCTGACTGTGTGCCCCTTCTGCTCGTGACCCCGGATGACCCCCTGCAGCTCAAATCCTTTCTCCCTTCTTGCAGCACGTAGGTTGTGATCGCGTGCTCGGCTCGGACGTGCGTGAGGACCGCTGCCGGACCTGTGGGGGCGATGGGAGCAGCTGTGTCTACGTGGAGGGAGTCTTCAACGACTCGCTGCCTGATGGAGGTAGAGAACCGGTTACTGATTAGAGATGTGTTTTATAAAATAAAACACGTTTGTTTTATTTTAAAGGTTTGTTGGTAAACATGCAAAAATACACAAGGTCTTGCATATAAAATAAAAATGCTTCATGTAGAATTAGAACAACGATCCGGATGATGATGGAGCCTAGAAATGTTTAAAAAACAACCAGTGTGGTTTGAGGTCCTTTTTCTTGCTCCTTTTCTGTCCACAATACTGACTCCAGAGGCTCTCTGCCAAGTGTCAACACCAGTCACCCCCTTCCACGATTCTTCAGAGGGGACAAAATACCTGCAGTTATAGCTGGATTTAAAAAATGTTAAAAATCTATCAGTTTGGGTGCAGATGACATGTGGGTTTGGCTGTGTTTTTTTATAGTATTGTAATCATGTGATTTTTGCTTTTTGGTTAAAGCAGCATTAAATGTTTTCCGCTGCTCAACCATCCCATTCATCCATTTTCCTCCGCTAATCTGGGGTCGGGTCGCGGGGGCAGCAGCCTAAGAGCAGAGAGGCCCGGACTTCCCTCTCCCCAGTCTCTTGGGCCAGCTTCTCCGGGGGAATAAGTTGTTCCCTGATCAGCCGAGAAAAATAGTCCCTGTGGCATGTCCTGGGTCTTCCTTTAGGTCCCATCCCGATTGGGCGTGCTCGGAAAGGCGTGCACCAGGGAGGCGTCCAGGAAGCATCCTGACCAGATGCCCGAGCCCCTTCTCGATGGGTCCTCTCGATGTGGAAGAGTAGCGGATCTTTAGCTCTTTGTTTCTCCAAAACATTACTCACTTACGTACACAGTCTCCGCCATAACGCCAACAAAAGATTAAACTTTTACTTCTTTTTTATTCACATTAATGTTTGGCGAACTGAAAAAAATGGTAAATGGCCTGTATTTGATAAAAAATTATATATATATATATATATATATATATATATATATATATATATATATATATATAAGGTAGCGCGACTCGGGGTTGCGAATGACCACAGTCACCAATTCTTGTCATGTGTCTTGCCCATGTATGTCTGATCCCTGAATTGTGTGTACTGAAACTCTAATTTCCCTCTGGGATTAATAAAGTATTGATTAATATATATATAGATATATATATCTATATATCTATATATATCTATCTATATATATATATATACATATATATCTATCTATATCTATCTATATACATATATATCTATATATATGTGTATATATACATATATATATATATATATATATATATATATATATATATATATATATATATATATATATATATGTATGTATGTATGTATATATATTTATGTATGTATGTATGTATGTAATATGTAATAACATAATTCAGTCAGCATACTTCCATCTACGTTCCATAAACCGTCTCCGCCCCTCCCTTACCCCTCACACTGCCGCCATTCTCGTCCACAGCCTCGTCACCTCCCGTCTCGACTATTGCAATTCACTTCTTTATGGTCTCCCCAACAAACTCCTTCATAAACTGCAACTGGTCCAGAATTCAGCAGCCCGTATTATCACCAGAACCCCTTCCTTTCACCACATCACCCGGTTCTCCAGCAGCTTCACTGGCTCCCAGTTAAATTCAGGTCCATCTTCAAAATTCTCCTCCATACCTTCAAAGCAATCCACAACCTCTCTCCTCCATATATCTCAGACCTTATAAGTATTCACACCCCATCCCATTCACTCAGATCTTCTTCTTCCATCCACCTTGCGGTTCCTTCTGCCCGTCTCGCTACCATGAGGAGCAGAGCTTTCAGCCGCTCTGCTCCTCGTCTCTGGAACTCACGTCCCCCAGACATCAGGAACATCGACAGTTTTACCGTTTTCAAAACAAAACTCAAAACACATATGTTTAAATCTGCTTACAACCTCTGATTTTATTGAACTGTTTCTCTCTGTTTTTTTTTCTTGTTTGGGTTTTATTACTGTTTTATTGTATTTTATTACGTGTTTTCTGTCAAGTGACCTTGGGTGTTCTGAAAGGCGCTTTTAAATAAAATGTATTATATTATTATTATTAGTTGTTTTTCCATGCCAACTCAATGACTGAAGGTGGCTGCATCCCTTATAGGCGCGGGGGAGGAAGTGGGGTGTGTAACAGTGCAAGGTGATCTGTGTGCTCCACAGAAACGCAGCTCGGATGAAAAATGGTGGAGTTGCTCAGTTTTATGGCTTTTTGTCAAACTCCGAACCAGGAAATGGCTGCAGGCAGCGAGGCAAGGGCAGAAAACACTGAAGCAACCAGTGGCTCCGCCCTCTAGCCAATCAGTGGCCAGAGCCATGATGCCGGCCTGACTCAGCCTTGCCAGGTAGTGAACTGTGCCCGTGGAAACTGTGGTTGGGCCAAGCTGTACTGGTCCGAGTTACTCTGAGCGGTGCTAATGGAAAACCAGCTCAAGTCTACCTGAGCCATAAACTGTTACGCTCAGGTTCTGGTCAGCAGGGGGCAGCAGAGTGCTGTCCTATGTGAAGTTACTCATGTTTCTGGTTTAAGAACCACTGAAACCAGTTTGAAAGCAATAGCTGAAAGTGTTAAAAACTCTTTAGTGTTGCTTTAGAACAATTTATGAGACAAATCTTTAGAAAACCGTTTTTATCGTGAAAACAAACCTAATCAGAACCTACAGGCTAAATCCCTCTGCTTCTCATAAAGCCAAAGACTTATCCCACATAATTCCAGAATCCCTTGTAGTAATTACTGACCACCACTTTTCTTTTTTTAAGCACACAAAGTATTTAGAAGTTTGTGTTTATTCTCAAACACGCGGCTGTGATTCCTTTCTGAGGAACCAGTCTAGTGGTTTTCTTTCCGTTTTTAGTCACACGCATTGATGAAAATGGCGCTGATGTAAACATGGGACCACAAGCGCTTGTTATACCGAGTAGAAAGTACTTTAAACTTTAGAGTAAAGTCCTCGGGCTCGGTCACTAGTGCCCAGCATGTCCTCGTCTAGAACCAAAGTCAAACTCCAGACACAGAACCAAAGGCTTATGCTGGTCTCAGGCAGATTTATGACCAGAAGAATCACTCAGTCATGTCTACAGCAAGCTTTTGATTTCTTTAAACTCCTGAAGCCTGCTGCCAACACTTTCTCCTCCCCTGTCTGCGTCGGTGATTTAAAGGCTCCCTCTGGAGAGTTTGACCTCTCGCGGGACTCTGGGGCAGTTTAGACATGTGTGGCTCTGTTTAGTTTGTCCCACACGTGTGTTTGGACTCACATGGCACACGGTCTGTTTTGTAGGTAAAGGCCAGAAGGGAAGATAGTAAACGTGACAATAAACAATACAAATGTCATATTCTAGATTATTTCTGTCAGTACAGTAATCTGATTCTTGATTCACTGTGTAGAAATTTGTCCTGTCAAAGCTGTTTAAGCAAAAACCTTTTTATCGTCCTTTCATCACTCATAACTTATTATTATTTAAAGGTTTTTACTGCAAATCACAAGATCACTCCTGAAGCCTGTAACATTTAACTCATTCATACTAAGTGATAACATTATCCCTACAGGGAGAGTTTTATGACCTCGGGTCAAAGCCAAGCCACTCATGCTGCATTGTAAAATAAATAAATGTACTTCTTTAGGAGTTTATGCCATCTAAGGAGAATGAATGATTGGAGTTTTGATGGGGTTGGTCACTTTTTGTGCCCTGATCTCTGTAAGTTTCATTTCTAAACTTTCTCTGACTCAAATGGCTCCAGCTTTCTATCTTTAAAGCTTAATCTCCAACACTTTTGAAGCATCTCACACTAAACACGTTCAATCCAGGCTTAGTTACTCCTCTCAAAGCTCCACAAAGCGTTTGCAACCAAAATGTCAGTGGAAGGAGTTAGACCACAGCTCAGCCTTTTTAATTCAATTCAATTCAAGTTTATTTATATAGCGCCAAATCACGACAAGAGTCGTCTCAAGGCACTTCACATAATAAACATTCCAATTCAGGTCAGTTCATTAAGCCAATCAGAAATAAGGTTTCCTATATAAGGAACCCAGCAAATTGCATCAAGTCACTGATTAGTGTCAGTGACTTTACAGCAATCCTCATACTAAGCAAGCATATAGCGACAGTGGAGAGGAAAACTCCCTTTTAACAGGAAGAAACCTCCAGAGAATCCTGGCTCAGTATAAGCAGCCATCCTCCACGACTCACTGGGGATCAAGAAGACAGAGCGCACACACACACACACACACACACACACACACACACACACACACACACACACACACACACACACACACACACACACACACACACACACACACACACACACACACACACACACACACACACACGGACAAGTAATGTGTCTACTGTTACATTGTGATTTATTAGTAAATATCCTATTTGGTGAGAGATAAACTTTATTGTATTTATCCTAGTGAATCTATAATTAAACGGATAACTAATAGTAGCACATCCAACGTCAAGGAAAGCAAAAAGTTATTATCAGGAGAGGGAGAATGTTTAAGTGGTTAGCAGCAGTGTGCTAGACGATGGCCCCCTCCATGAGGCCACCACAGCTCAGCAGAACATCATTGTAGCTTCTTCTGGGGAGAAAAACACTTAGAGAGAAAATAAAGTTAACAGCTGAAATTGCAGAAAATAATACAGTTAAAGAGCAGATTGTAGAAGAAAGTAGTAGGGTGTGGAAAGAGGTCATATTTATTCTGTCTTCCTCTAGTGAGCTGAAGTTATTTATGGTGCTGCAGCACCTGGCCTGCTGGCTGGATGGCAGCACCAAAAAACAAAAAACAAAATTACATCCAGGCTGGATGGAGGTGAGATGAGCAAAGAAAAAGGGATGAAAGACCAAGACAGATTGAGCGAATGAGAGAAGACGGGAGGAGAAGCCAGCACTTGGCAAAGTCGCTATTTTTGAGAGGAGACTTGAGGAGATCTGCCCAGGAATGCAGCTGGAAGCTCAAACTTCTGCTTAGCGCATTGATGTTCCACAGATCTAAACGCTGCTCATGCATCGCTCCCCCAATCACCAGGGAAACCTTCATTTCATCTTTTGACTTCTTGTGTGTTTTAGGCTATGAGGAGGTGGTCCGAATTCCTAAAGGATCCGTGTTCATCCACATACAAGAGCTCAACATCTCCCTCAACTACCTTGGTGAGATGAAACGAGTTTACTGTAAACCGACTAATGTCGAAATCTAAAGAATTATCTAAATTTTCTGTTTATTGTTATTTTTCAGTGCTAAAGAGTAAAAGTGACCAGTATTTTATCAACGGGAAACTCACTATCGACACTCCTCGAAGTTTCAACATCGCTGGTACCACCTTCCACTACAGGCGGCCCACCGATGGACCAGAAATTCTTGAAGCTCTGGGTCCAACAAACATATCCCTCATTGTCATGGTCAGAACCAAAATACAGGAACAACAGACGTGTTTCCACTATCTGAACTTCAGGATAATTTTACCGGGACTTCCCGACATTGAGCATCTCCACCCTATAAAAGCACATGCCAACAAGCACCATGCTTTAAAATCACCGTTACTAAACTCGCAACAGCGAAAAACGAATAAAAAATCTCCCACATCAATGGGGCACTGTAAAAAATGGCTTCTTCTGGTCACTGAATGCCACATTTTCATCACACAGCAGCATTCCCGGTCATCTGAATGGGTTAAATTGTTGTACTTCGACAGAATGAAACTTTATATGTTGCTGTAGACGCTTTTTGGTGCTGCTCAGTGACATAATTCGCTGCCGAAGCAGTCGCAATATGCTGACACGTGCAAAGTCCTCAAAGGGTTGAATTTGTGTGAAGACACAACAGCTGAGAGGACCGGCCCATTGTATGTCCCGTTCATTTTCCTCCTCCCAAAGTTTAGCCTGAAGTTCCGACAATGGAAACATGCCTAACCAATCAGATTTTAAACACAAGAGTTAAAGGGGTCATATTAGGCCAAACTCACCTTTTGTGTCCTTTTGTGCTGCCATGTGGGTCTCTGCTGCCTCTATAGACACTCCAAACATGGAAAAAATGTCCATCCCTTTCTGTCTGTGTTTGGTTTTAGGAACTATCTGCCTAAAACATGAACATTTCAAAAAGTCCCCGTTTGTGACATCACAAACTGAAAAATTAGCACAGAATCACCTGTAACCTGGAGGAGCAGAGGCTCTATTCTGAACCCCTTCCGAGTAGTGGAGCTTCTCAGCAGCCAATCAGGGGATGGGTGGGCGTGGCCTGCAACAGCTTGTCTTTTAAGCGACAGATCCCTGAAACGGCTCGTTCTAGAAGGTACTGAAAATGTCAAGAATAAAACTGCTGAGATCGCTTTATGTGAGAGGGATTTAGTGCAAAGAACTTCCTGAACATGTTTTTTTAGCAACCATAGAACTATTATAAGGTTTTAAAAAAATTAAATAAAAAATAAAAATCATAATATACCCCTTTTGAAAAGAGTACAGAAATATGTGTTCTGTGACAAAGTTGGACCAGAGAAACAACACTCAGCAGTGCTGGTGGCCCGGTGTGTGTGTGTGTGTGTGTGTGTGTGTGTGTGTGTGTGTGTGTGTGTGTGTGTGTGTGTGTGTGTGTGTGTGTGTGTGTGTGTGTGTGTGTGTGTGTGTGTGTGTGCAGGTGCTGGTGAGGGAGGAAAACCCGGGGATCCACTTTCGTTTCAATCCACCAATCAGCAGAGATTCTTTGAGCGGATTCGCCTGGCACTACACATCTTGGTCTCGCTGCTCAGCCCTGTGTGCTGGAGGTAGCAAAACCACTAAACACACACACACACACACACACACACACACACACACACACACACACACACACACACACACACTGTAAAATAGTAGTTATTTTGCAATTTCTGTATATTTGTGTAATTATGTGAGTTTCTTTGGATTTCTACATTATTTTCTCTAATCAACCCAAATGTTGTGTGTAATGGGATCATATGTTACTTAGAAGTAACACTAATAGTTTATTCTAGCAGTGCATCACTCTACACACAAAAAAAAAGCCAGAGAAGCAACAATTTCAGCTCGTTTGATTTCTCGTCCTGCTGTGTCCAGGTGTGCAGATCCAGCAGGTGGTTTGTAAGAGTCAGATGGATCTTACAGTCGTCTACAACCACTTCTGTGACAAGAAGAGCAAACTCAAAGAGAAGAGAAGAACCTGCAACACTGAGCCCTGCTCCCCAGCGTGAGCATTTGTCACTATTTTCATAACTATTTTTTGGAGTGAACCACTGACTCGGCTCCTCTCCGTCTCCAGCTGGTGGACCGGAGTGTGGTCGGAGTGCAGTCGCACCTGCAACGGCGGTCTGCGGACTCGGGAGGTGTTGTGTAAACGGAGGATTTCTGCATCGGAGGAGAAGGTCCTGGATGACTTGGCCTGCACCGCCTCCCGCCCTCCGTTCACCGAACCATGCAGCAACCAGAGCTGCCCCCCCGAATGGCTGGCTTTGGACTGGTCAGAGGTAAAGAGCTGATTTTAAACCTGTCTTCTACACAATTCCTCTGGAATGAATCAATGGGTTTTGATTCAGTCGGGTCCCAAAACCAAAAACACATTTTGCATCTGAAATTCTGCTTCCCGTCGTTAATTTGAGGCATCCTTTTTATTTCTTGCAATTTTATTTGTAAAATTGAACTTTTTTTCTGGATTCAGTGAAACACTTTTTTCTTATCTTGTAGGTGTAGCTCTGGCACGTGTGAGGAAACTGCTGTTGAGTCGTTTCTCATACAGCTGCTGCCCTCTGCTGAGTCGAATTTTTATTTTTTTGCAGAGTAATGACCTCAGTGACCCCCCCCCCCCCCCCCCCCCAGCTGCACCTTCCCAGTTCCTCCATCTCCAAACCTTCCTGCCTCAAGTTTTAAAAGTGTTTTTTCTTCTTCTGCCTGCAGTGTACGCCCAGCTGTGGCCCTGGCTACAGGCACCGTGTGGTGGTGTGTAAGAACGGAGAGAGCGGGGACACTTTGCCAGAGTCCAAGTGCCCCAAACATGGCCGGCCCACCTCCAGGGTGCGCTGCAACCTACAGCGCTGCCCTCCCCCTCGGTGGGTAGCAGGTCCCTGGGGTGAGGTAAGGCATCCATCACTTTCATTGCAGCTTCATCTATTAATTTAATTTTTTATTAGGGATACTAATAAAGCAGCAAATTCTACACGACAATTTCTATGCTTTAATAGTTTAAGGAGAACAAATAAAATATTAAGTTTGTGTAGGTTTAGATGTTGCATCCTCTGTTGTCTCAGGTCATTGGGTCATAATTAACACACACACACACACGTGTGATGGTTCTTTCAGTGTTCGGCCAAGTGCGGTCTGGGTCAGGAGATGCGTTCGGTGCAGTGTCACGCCCACACAGGCCAGCCGTCTAGCGAGTGTCTGGAGCACCAGCGGCCTGCAGCCATGCAGCAGTGCAAGAGCAAATGTGACCTCAGTCTGCCCATCAGTGCAAACAACCCTGAAGGTCAGAGGTCAAATGTCCATCCTGGTAATCTTCACTGTCTCACATTTCATTACATTAAATAAATGAAAGAAGTTTCATTTGAACATTTGGAAACTTGAACTTGTTGTTTCTCTGATGTCCAGTCAGCCTGTGATCTTCTCTTAGAATCCTGGGAATTCTGTTTTAATACTCAAATAAATACACAAACCTACCATGTGTGCAACTGCTGCCCACAATGTCCATATGTATCCTTATTAACATTTTATTTTGACATTAGTTTGTTTTCCAGCTTGAGTTTTTGGTCTCCCAACAGCATGTGTGTCTTAATTGTCGGCTCAGAGATGCACTCAAAGAGAAATACTCTGCTCCAACAGCAGGTGGCACTAACACGACAAGAATTCAAATAAATATCCTGTATCAACATTCTAATCACATAAACAAACCTAAATATTTTGCTGCAGAAGCTGCAGATTTCAGCTCAGTCTATACATATAAATAAATCAGAGGCAACCTAGATCAAGCACCTTCTAGCATGCTAGCTAGCTGTTTCCTGTAGCAGGGACACTGGCTGACAGTGCCCCCGGGGCAATACATTCAGTGATGCTGACTGGCCCAAAAATTCACCAGTTCTTCCCAGCCTCTAAACATGATTGGCTGTTCAGTTGCAGTCCAAGGCGATTTTCCCAGTGTCCCAGGTGTAACATTGGTCTGCTGGAGGAAATTCACAGTTTAATGAAAATGACATATTAATAAGGGCTGCGCAGTGGCGCAGTGGTTAGAGCTGTTGTCTTGCAGCAAGAAGGTCCTGGGTTCGCTTCCCAGCCTGGGATCTTTCTGCATGGAGTTAGCATGTTCTCCCTGTGCATGCGTGGGTTCTCTCCGAGTACTCCGGCTTCCTCCCACAGTCCAAAAACATGACTGTTAGGTTAATTGGTCTGTCTCAATTGTCCTTAGGTGTGAGTGCGTGTGTGCATGATTGTTTGTCCTGTGTGTCTCTGTGTTGCCCTGCGATGGACTGGCTCTCTGTCCAGGGTGTAACCTGGCCTGCCTGATCGCCCGTTGACCGCTGGAGATAGGTACCAGCCCCCCCGCAACCCTACGTGGACAAAGCGGGTTCAGACAATGGATGGATGACATATTAATTATTCAGATTGCATGTAGGCACACTCCCTTAAGCAAAACGTGCATATTAATAGAAAAGAAATATTGTAGTTTGAGGTAACTTTTTCTTTTAGATTTTTTTTCTCCCTCCATGTCAGAGAGGGCAGCGCCATAGCGCCCCCCTATGGACGAGCTGCCACTGCTTTAGACCTTAACGCTGCAAGTGTGAACAGTTGCTGCTGTAACTTTTATTAAAAGTAACTGATTTTCTTTTTATTTTGTGAAACTTAATTTAGTTAATCAAGCCTATTTTACTCGTTTAGGCCTTATTTACTCTTAAAAAGTTTATATGAAACTAAGCTTTAAAAAAAAATTGTTGAACCCACCCTGCACATGTCTTTAGTGCATATTTTTTAAACTAACAAATAAATAAATCATATAACTACAAGTGATCATGGTTAAGCTGAGGAAGACAGCGTTGATAAAGCAGTAACTTCCTGTCTCTGTCCCCTCCTGCAGAGTGTAAAGATGTGAACACTGTGGCCTACTGCCCCCTGGTGCTCAGGTTTAAGTTCTGCAACCGGCCATATTTTAGACAAATGTGCTGCAAGACCTGCCAGGGACACTGATACCAGGAACCTCACTGCATCCACCTCTGGGTCACACAGCAAGCCTGAAACTTTCCCACTGAGCCTTGCAGCAGCAGCAGCAGCTCTCACCGTGACTCTATTAGACGGGACGATGCCATCCAGGCGATTCTGCAACTGGCTGCAGATATTCTGATTTGACATCTCCACATCAAAGCAGCCTGATTGGAGTTTAAACGTTCACCTGGAGGAGGAGTTGCTGGAACGTGGAGGCAGACAGACAGAGGGAGTAACTTTCCTCCATCATCCGGCATATCGAACACCCTCTCTAAACATTCCCTCGGTTTTAATAATTTGGTGCTACGTTGTTCAGCCAGAACTCATCACAGCACACCCAAGTTCCACCTGTCGTTACTTCAGTGGCTGAAGACATGTTCTGTGATCTTTGTATGCTAGCAGGTGATTTTTGTTCTGTTATGTTTTTAAAAATCCACTTTTAAAAGGAAATGTAGTATCTGCTGCCTTTACCCTCATAAAGAATAGGTTCTGTTATGAAAATGGATATATATAAGGTATGTGATAGCTGTTACTTGACTTGTTTTTCTTTGCTGCACATTGACGTGTGTGTGTGTGTGTGTGTGTGTGTGTGTGTGTGTGTGTGTGTGTGTGTGTGTGAGTGTGTGCGTGCGTGTGCATATCATTGAATTCTGTTATTTGATTAGTTTTGTTTTAAATGAACTGATTTAACATCTCTATGGAAGTTTTTAAATGCCTCAGTACAGTGAAAAAGCCACAGTCTTGCCACTTTTGGGTAGTTTATTTACAGCTTAGGTGTGTTCTTGCTGTGTCTTTGTAAATCCATGCTTTCGTTCTTTTTTAAACACAGAAACAGTTTTGTTTACCTGTTTGTAGCTACGGTTTCGCCGACAGCTGCCGGCTTCTTCAGGCTGACGCTGATGGTGGCGCGTCACTTCCTTCTAACGGAGAAGGAAGTGACGCGCCACCATCAGCGTCAGCCTGAAGAAGCCGGCAGCTGTCGGCGAAACCGTAGCTACAAACAGGTAAACAAAACTGTTTCTGTGTTTAAAAAAGAACGAAAGCATGAGTTTATTTACAGGTTACCGCCTCAGTAGCATCACCCTTGTGTAATCTGCACAATCCTTTATTAATGTCATTTTTACATGCCAGAGGAAAGTGGCTGCTGCAGATTTTGGTGACTTGTGCTTTGTAGTTTCCACTTCCACGTCTTTTTTTCTTTTGTTACCAATTGTTACAAACATTGGAACTGACCTCCACAGGAAGTGAGAAAATTCATGGTTCCTGTCAGTTTTTTTCATAGCAGGAGTGCTAATCTAAGGGTTCACACACATAAGGCATCTGATGTCATCATGGCTGCCTGAAACCTTCTTTAGTGAATTTACAACAAAGGTCCCCAAATTGCAGCTCTATTTAAAAATATACTTTAAAAACCTTCTTGAACATTTTGCCCATGTGCAGTAATGTGACGGACACTTTGAAGAGGTTTTAAAACGTTCCTGATTTGTGAATATTTTGCTTACAAGCAGCCAGTCTTTCTTGTTTTGCTCTAAAATGATCCTGATCAATAGTTCTTTTGGCATTTTAGAGATTTGCACCGATTTTCTGTAAAGTTTTAGTACTAGACCATAATTATGCATTATTATTGCACATGCTTACAAAGAGACAAGTGGACAATTAGATGATAAAATAATTCGAAAGTCACATCTTTGAAGTTAAATCCAAGAGAGATCTGACATTTTCAGCTCACAGCCCTTTGGGAACCACCTTGTCGGAGCTCAAACAATATTTAATGTCAGTTAAACTATTTTTATGACTTCTTTTGCAGATTGAACTAAAGAAATTGAAACTATGTGTTGCTTGTTAGATGCAAATCCCTTAAAGATCCAGTTTTTTTCTTTGACTAATCCCTGAAGTTAACAGACAAAAAACATCCCCATACAAACACTGGCAGTCTGAAACTCAAACATCAGATATTTTTGGGTGGTTTGTGAACACATCATTACCATCAGCACATTCCTCCCACCCAGTGAAGACACCACTGATAAATCCCATTTCAGGCTATCAATAAGACATTCCATTTGGAGGTTTTTGCTTCCGGAATCATGATTTTCACGTTTTTCAACTTTTTGATGACTCAAAAACGTTTGTGCAGGACTGTAAACCAGTAGTTACTAAAACCTTTTGGTTCTCCAGAACCGGAAACTCAGAAATATTTAGCAGGTTTGATCATTCACACATGTTCCCTCCTCTGTGATTTTGCATTGACGGTTTCATTCTCAGCACAGGAAGAGGAACGTATGAGCCGAATGTCTCTGTTTCTTCTCTGGGACGGTTCTGCTTTAGAAATGCTGCCCAGGCACCGGGTCTGGGCTTGTCTTCGTCTCCATGTCCCTTCACCGTCTCATAGTGAGGAGGACAGAGTGTGTGTGTGTCTCCGGGGAATAGCTGCAATGTATTTTATTTTTGAAACGGTGCTTCGGTTTGGAATGGTGCTATTTGTTCACTGTTGTTTTTTTCAGTTATTAGTTAGCTAATTGTTAAGATCTGCTACTATTTAAAAATCAGTTTGATTAATTGTTTAAAGTTTGACCTGAGACGTAGGAGCGGACTCTTTTACTCTATGTTCCTTTGAAGTGTTTTTGTTCACCAGGATTAGTGAAAGGTGATGTTCAGATTCTGGCTCCTAATGAAGATGGTGTCATTTTGGCACAAAATTACGAGGAAAGGAGTTAAAATTAAGGTTCGGTATGTTCATTCAAACTCAAACCATTAAAAATACTAACGTGAGTCATTTTCTAAGTAATTCTAAAATAAGGTTCAATGATTTCCAGTAACTTCTTCTTTTTAATCAAAATTTTCACTTATTTAAAAACCAACTGTCGATTATTTTCTACATCTGAAATCAGACCATGAGCATCAAACTGCATCTGTTTGTCTAGACCGGAGTAAGTCAGGTGTGATTAGTATCTAGCAGGTCTGATGATGAGCTTCACACAGAGCAGTCAACCTGTTTTTATGTGTAAAAAAAAAAAAGAGGGATAGTACCGGTAATTGCTTTGTTTGTTGTTCACATGCTAATTACACATGTACTGTATATTGTTTATTATTATAGGAAAGGAATCCGTTTGTTCCCTTGTGCATCTTTTTAAAAATAAAAACTCAATTGGATGAAATGTGTTTGATTTAAAGAAATGAGATTTCCAAACGGTGGCACTGCTCAGATCATCTTATCTATTTCTGGGTCCGACTTCTCTCATGGAAAACCAGAAATGAAGCAACGGACTCCTTCCTTTATTTCTAAAAGCAGCTGAGATCACATGGCAGTGAGACAGACCCTCTGGATTATTTCTTCATCCCTTTTGTATAACAGATATTTCTACACTCATCCATTTTCCTATGCCTAACTGGGGTCGGGTCACAGGGGCAGCAGCCGAAGCAGAGAGGCTCAGACTTCCCTCCTCCCGAGGAATCATAAGGCGTTCCCTGGCCAGCCGAGAGACATAGTCCCTCCAGCATGTCCTGGGTCTTCCTTTGGTTCTCCTCTCGTTTGGACGTGCCTAGAAAACCTCACCAGGGAGCCATCCATGAAGCATCCTAACTAGATGCCCGGGCCACCTCAACTTGAAGTGGAGGAGCAGCGGATCTACTCCGAGCTCCTCCCGGATGACCGCGCTTCTCACCCTATCTCTAAGGGAGAGCCCAGGCACCCTGCGGATGCTCTTTCAGTCACTACCCAAAGCTCGTGATAGGTGGCGGTTGGAACATAGATCGATTGTTAAATCGAGAGCTTTGCTTCTGGCTCAGCTCTCTCTTCACTACGACAGACCGGTACAGCGCTTGCATCACTGCAGATGCAGCACCAATCCGCCTGTCGATCTCACGCTCCAGCTTTGTGAACAAGACCCCAAAATACACTTGGGGCAGGACCTCGTCCCTGACCTGGAGAAGGCATTCTACCCTTTTCCGACTCAAGACCATGGTCTCGGATTTAGAGGATCTGATTCTCATCCCAGCTGCTTCACACTCGGCTGCGAACCGCTCCAGCGAAAGCTGGAGATCACTGTCTGATGAAGCCAACAGGACCACATCATCTGCAAAAAGCAGAGACCTCAACACCTTGGCTGCACCCAGAAATCATGTTTATAAAAGTTATGAACAGAATCTCGGACTGTTTAAATATGTTTACCTATGGTTTGGGAGTGAGACGTTGGCTGGTGTCTCTCTCCATAGGGTGTCCAGGTTCTGCCTTAGTCGTAGAGTGAGGAGCTCTATCATCCTCAGGGAGAAGAGCACCTGCCTCTTACTGGAGAGATTAAATCTGATTACATCTGATCTGGGAATGCCTTGGGATCTTCCAGGAGAAAACGAGGAGGGAGGGGAGATGTCTGGACTTCCCTCGTGGATCATCCTGGAAAATAGATATGGATGGATGGATGGATGGATGGATGGATGGATGGAAGCAACAGTGCTGCAATGCAGCTTCTTTGCAAACATCCAGGATCCAGACATTTTAGTTGTTAATATTATTTTAGACACCAGCTTTGTTGAAGAGATGTAAAAATGACTAAATCAATGCATGAAACACACAATTACTGTGTGAAAACCAGATTATCTATGATTTTGTGTTTGGAACTGTGACAAACAAAAAAAAGCAGCTCAGATTGACACCTACACACACACACACACTGATACGCTTTTCCTGAGCCCATCAGTTACCTTGGGCGTTGAAAGCAGCAGCAGCCTCTCTGACAAACACTACGTGGAGCAACCACAGCCTGGGTGGAGCCCACATCTCGCAACTGAAACACTCATTATTTGGCAACACGTTGCAGATAATTACCCCCCTGCAGACGCAGTTGCCCTCAACACTTGTGGGACAGAAGAATTGGACTGGCTAACTGTGGTGTAAAACCCAACTAGTGGCAGTCACCGGTCTTTACTCAACCCTGACGTCTACGAGCATTACAGGAATACAGAAGTAACTTATCAGCTTGCTTGTGGTGAGTGTGTGTGCATCACTGTGTGTGTCCTTTTTTGAGCAGTTCTTGTTTCACACACACTCTGACTGTGGGAGTATGAGGAAGTAGGTCTTGAATGCTCTACTGGATGACTCGTAGTGTGCTTGCTGCTGCTGCTGGTTTTGACCGTTGGGCCCCCGAGTGATGGCTGCAGTCTGAAGGGGTCCAACTGTGGACTTAAACATCACCCACAAGACCACACACTCTGTGAACGGTGGACGCCCAAGGAGGAGAGGCTCTCAGGAACCATGGTATGGTACCCCACTTTTATATCCTGTGAACCGCTTTTGACTTGTGTGAACTCCAGGGTTTTAATCTGCCATCTGCGTTCTGATGTCTAAAGTTAGATTCAGATGATCTGAGCTCTAAAACCCAGAACTCCATTTCCATTTAACCTTATTTGTGTGTTAGGTTAAAACCTGCTCTCTTTAGCTTCTCCTGAGCAGCAGCAGAAAGAGTGTCCTCTTTTCAGGACTAGTCTTGTCATTCACATGCAAAATCCAGGGTCTGATTTGTTCTGGACTTTGGTTTTAGGGTCAAACTTCAGATGTTTGCATTCGTTTATGAGAAAATGGGTAGAAAACCTCTGTTGAAAGAGCATTAAGGAAAGCAACGGATGCTAAATTTTCTAAAATAAACCTAAAACACAAAATTAAGACAAAAACAGACTTTAAGAGATGATGAGTTGATACTGGAGGGCTAGCAATGTGAGCTACAACAGGAAGAGAGCCTGTTTCATGCACAAAGTTGAGAGGGTTTCACAGAAGGTGTGAGAGGAGGAAGTGGACTACAGGAGAGGCCTTTTCTGTCACAACACTTCCTCCTCACACTGAAAACAGCCCCACTCACACACTAAAACACAGTCTTATTTGGTAACATAGTGACTTGCAAACCTAAAATTATAAATACATAAATAAAAACACTTGAACAGGCCGTTGGTTCAGGGGGACAGGGCTAAAGTCAGCACTGATGTTTTCACCTGTTTGGTCCTTTCAGAATAAGAGTCACAGTAGTGACTTGGTTGGATCAAGAGTCTGATTTTGTATTTCTGTCATCGTTTCTGCAGCCAAAACCACATCGTGGGATTCTTTTGTGTGTGATTCTCATGGCTTCAGCTATTAGTGTTTAATAAAATGTACAGCTATTTCCTCAGGTTCCTGAAAGTGTTTAAAAAAAACAGAAAACAGTTATGCAATTATTTCTCTCATAAAAAGTCACATTTGTTTTGTTTACTGTTCAGAGAAGCCTAAACTAGCAAATCTAGTAAACATGGCATGAAAATGAATAAATGTCAACAGATTCAGATGCAAATATCAGCTGAGAACACCAGCAAAACTTAAAGAGCTGCTTCCTGTTTTCTCAAACCAAAAATCCCTCAACTCAAACAACAAACAAATAAACTAACAAACAGGCAAACAAACAACTCTGAAAGTGCTTTGAACACTTGACTTTAAAGTATTTGAAATCATAAAATTGAAACACAAATTTCTGAACGCACCAGCAAAGTTTTTTTCAAAGTCCAGGATCCAGACTGGAACGATGTGTTCCTTCAGGACGCAGAGGGTCTGTATCATAAACTACCACGCTAATAATCCAATTTAAGATTAATTAATTAATCCAGTGGTAACAATATAAGTAAGATTTTAGCACAACCTAATACTAAAAATGTGTTTACTGACTTTTTTTCAAATATTTTATTCATCTGAAAACTACATGATTAGATCATTTAAAAGTTGTGCATCATCTATTTTAGATTTTCTTTTAACTTGGAGGTGATTGTTCTGGTAACTAGAAAAATTGCATTTATTGCACAAATGCTGTTTGAATGCTGGATAGCTGGAACTGTAAGCTGAAGCTGCCGAACAGCTGAACTGAAGCTGACATTAAGCAAAACTGTCAAAATGAGCTGAATGTCTTGAAAGATGTAGAAGCAAAAAGCACCAACAAGCAAATAAAGCACAAAAAGTAAGTGAAGAATAGAGAAAAATAATGCTAAATAGCAAAAAAACTTAAATCTGTGAACATTATATAAAAATCTGGACAGCTTAAATGTCTAAACACCTGTTATTTCAGTTTGCCAAGTTTAACAGTTTAATCTTTACATTTAGCTGAACTGTGAAATTAGCAGTTGATGCTAAATTTGGTAACCAGTGTTGGGCAAGTTACTTCAAAACTGTAATGCATTATTTATTACTTGTTACCCTCATTTTAAAGTAATTCATTACATTACAATTTACTGATTTTAAAATGTAAGGCATTACATAACTTTTGCATTACTCTAAGTTACTTTCAAGAAAACAACTTCAGTATGAGTTTGGTAATCTGATGCCTGGTGAACTCATGACACATCCGGTGGAAGGTGATGTGGTGTCTGAGCTAGGATTGCTGTTAAAAACAGTTCTTTAGAAGGATTGTTTATGTAATAAATGCAACAACAAACTGTACTCTCAGCACGCTGCCATCTTAGATTAACTGAGCGGCGAGTGAGGTGGTGGGGGCTCCAAGCCTATTTGCCTTGTTCCCCAAATGCCTTGATACGGCCCTGGATGTGGGACAGACTTCTGGTGTGATCTGATTCTATCACATGTATAAATATTAAATGCTTATATATTATTGCTTTTCACTGGTAAAAATGAGTATTGGGGATAAATCTACCTACATTTTTCTTTTCAAGCACTTTGTTTTGTTTTCTTGATTTTATTTGAATAATTTCCTGCCCTTTCTCTCTCTAACCGTCCTGCATGCTGCATGTTCTCTCCGTCTTCCAGAAAACCAGTTTCCTAGATTTCCTACTTTCTAACTAATCAGCCAAAGGGATCTTCACATATGCGGCGCTCCAGCAGCAATGAGTTGAAATCACCGGAGCCCAGATTAACTCAGCTGAGGCAAAGCACGTCAGAAAAGCACAAAATACCAGAGAACATGCGCTGATATGAACGATCGCAGGTGAATTATTTTGTTTTAGTGGAGCGATTTTGTGAATGTTACAGCGGCCGCGCGCAGGATGCAGCTGGAGTAGTTGAGCCGTTGCCGCTGCGTCCTCTCTGCCTGCAAGCTGAGTCCATAAATGACGTAATATATGCAGATACTGGAACTTTTTTCGGGTTTCCCGCAGTTTGAATTTTTAAGAAACGCAGCTTGATTCTGGGTTTAAAAATGCATTGTAATTACCGCGTTACTGACAATTGTACCGAGTAAATATTACCATTTTCTTTCCCTGTAATGCCTTACATTACCACATTACAGCAAAAAGCAATGCATTACAGTAATTAATTACTTTTGTACCGCGTTACTCCCAACACTGTTGGTAACTGATTGCTGAAGTTGTTGAATAGCTGAAGTAAGCTGAAACTAAGCTAAACTGTCAAATGAGCTGAATGTAGTGAAAGATGTGAAAGCAAAAAGCACCAAGAAGCAAAAAAAGCACAAAAAGTAAGTGAAGAATCAAGAAAACTAATCCTAAACAGCAGAAAACTCAAATCTGTGAACACTGTTTAAAAAAAATGGACAGCTAAAATGTCTAAACACCTGTTATTTCAGTAGGACTAGTTTAACAATTTAATTTTTACATTTAGCTGAACTGTGAAATTAGCATCATATGCTGAATTCAGAAACTAATTGCTGAAGCTGAAACTAAGCAAAACTGTTAAAATGAGCTGAATGTTTTTAAAGATTTAGAAGCAAAAAGCACCAAAATGTAAATAAAGCACAAAAAGTGAAGAACTGAGAAAACAATCCTAAACAGCAGAAAACTGAAATCTGAACCTTATTTAAAAATCTGGACACCAAAAATGTCTAAACACTTGTTGTTTGAGTAGGACTAGTTTAACAGTTTAATTTTTATATTTAGTTAACTGTGAAATGAGTAGCATAAGCCGAATTCAGAAACGGATTGCTGAAGCTGCTGAATAGCTGAGGTGAAGCTGAAACTAAGCTAAACTGTCAAAATGAGCTGAATGTATTTAAAGATTTAGAAGCAAAAATCACCAACAAGTGTAATAAAGCTCAGAATATAGGTAAAGAATGGAGAAAAAATGCTAAACAGCAGAAAACTTTAATCTTTGAACATTAATTAAAAACTCGAAATTTGAAATGTTAAACAGCTGGCATTTGAAAAAGAATAGTTTAACGGGTACATTTTTACAATTGGCTGAGCTGTGAATTTAGAAATATTTGCTGATATCTGAAACTGATAGATTAACATATGTTCAGATTTGATATGGGATGGATGAATGGTTGGATGAATGAAATAATGGATGGATTGTTGGATGGATGTTAGATGGTTTATTGGATGGGTGGATGGATGGATGGATGGATGGATGGATGGATGGATGGATGGATAGATAGAAGCACGTATGGATTTATGTGTAGATGGATTCTTTAGGCCAAGCCGATCGGTTTGATGTCTCACATGCGTGGGTGTGTAATTCCATTTAGCCAGAAGATGATTGACCTCTCTCAACCAATCAGGGAGCTGGGAGGGAGTGGGGCACTTTCCCACCTTCTGACGGTCAATCAAATTGAACTTATTTCTAGTTTTAAGTACAAACAGTTCAAAAAGATAAAAAACAGAGGTCTGTTAATGGCTCAATATTCTGCTTTTTTATATTCATTCCTATGAGACTTGGTTAAAGTGATTTGTAGTTCCTTGTGTTGCCATGGTAACAGATGACAGGAGTCTGCAGGAATAAAGCAATGTACAATGTCACATGAAATAACATTTCTATATTAAAGTATGTTGATACAGTTGTGTCTAAAATGTTATTAAATGTTGTTGCTAAGCACGTTGCCATGGTAACGCAGAAGACATGATCAAGTTAATACAAGATTCCTGGGACCAAGCAAGTTGAATTGATGTACCATGGTAACATATAACGCATTTAAATTTGAATACAAGATTCCTGAGACCAAACTGGTCGATTTGATGTGTCATATGTGTGGATGCTGGATCCTGATTGGACAGAAAATGGTTGAACACTCTGAACCAATCAGAGAGCAGCACTGTTTTCCCACCTTTTCCCTTGGCTGTTGGAGGCCTGCAGCTGTACTCCTGTTAATGAGAGAAGCCTTTAAATCTGTCCTTCAGAAGTGAAATTGGACCTGTCAAACTTCTCATCACCATTCAAAAAGTACTGCACCGAATTGAAAAATTCAAAAAGCGTGAGCGGCAGAAGGCGCCTTCCATGGATTGTCTAGAAGCTATGACGAGAAACTTTTAGCTGTCTGAAGCCGATCAGAGGAGAAAATCTCTGTTCCTTTAACATGGGTTTCAATGAGGGAAACTCTGGGTCTCTCCTCTTTCTGAGGCTTGTAGCGAAAGAACGGTAACACTTACAGATAAAATGAAACCCATTCTAAAAAGCTGACAAAAATTCCTACTTTTTGAGTTATAATTTGTTATGGTAGTCCAAACGGTCTGGGGGTAGTAAAGAGTTGTTCACAGAAGATGTGAAGTTCAAAAGTTAGAGTGCGGAATTTTCAGTTTAGAGTGGTGAGAGACATTTTTTTTTGTTTTAATTTTCTCAAACAAATGAACCGTACGACCACAATGTTTGGAGTACAGTCATGAATTATAGCTCAAAATGAAGGTATATCCGTTAGCTGTAAGCCAGCGTGTTACTCGTTTCAATCGAACCTACGGTTCTCTCGGTACAACGCCAGAAATGGAGCAAGGGAGGGTCACTGCTCATATCTTTCCCCATTATAACTTTTGTGAATTTTTCTGAAAATTTCATGTCGTACCTTAACTTCTACCTGCGATTTTAGAAAAACCGTAAAAGATATCAAAAAGCCTCTTTAATATGTTAAACAGGAAAGTCTTGTGAGTTTGTTAAACTTTGAATAAAGTCTCTACGTTAAAAGGAACCCAATACAGTTTTAGGTCAAAAAAAGTGATAGGAATTTGCTGAAAATTGACGAATCCCATTCATTTCAATGGGAAATTTTTCCGCAGAAAAAGCTTAATAACTCAAAAAATTCTAAAGATATCAATGCCAAAAGTAATAGCCGGAAAGAGCTTAATGAGCTGAACGTTTTGATATAAAATTGTTGAAATAGCTCAAAATTTGAAGGAGAAGAAGACGTTCAAAAAGAGTACGGAAGCAGAAGAAGAAGAAGAAGAAGAAGAAGAAAGAAAAACAGGAAAACAATAATTATTAGCTGTTAGAGGCATACCAGGCAGCACTACAACAGACACCACAAACCACACTGTCCCGGTGACAAACCTTGCCAGGCGTCACACATCAAAGGGGCAAGCATCGATAAGGAAAACACTGCTTCAGCTCAGCTTTCTCTAACGAGACTTCAACAGTCATTACACATGTTAGTCTCTTTGTTTAATCTAAGCATAAACTGAATTTAACAAATATGAGGTAAGTTACATTACGGTCCATGTTGCCCCCAAATGAAAAAGGACATTTTATTCAGCATTCATCATAAAGTTCTACTGAATCAGCTGTAGTGCACTACAAAAAAACCTCACATGACTTCTGTCCGAGTTTAAAAAATTAGCTCAAAACATCTGGAACTGGTTACCTAGCAACCAGTCCCAGCTTCATGGTAATGGCAACCACAGAGGGTTATGCTGTCAGAAACATCTCTAATGATGCCGCATGACCGACGTTCTAATTGTAAGTTGCTTTGAATAAAAGCGTCTGCTAAATGAATAAACATAAACATAAACATAAACGTTCTGCTCTAGCTGCTGATATTTGACACATCTCAGACCCAGGGATGTTTTATTTCATTCATGACATTTAACTTCCACTAATAAAAATCTTTTAAAACAGGAGGATCGCGATACAGCGTGTTCTAGTTGAATAAGCTCCAACACTCAAAGTTCGATACCCCTATTTTAAAATGTTTTAATTAATCGTTGTTGTTTTTTTACTTTAGTGAAAGTTTTTCATGTCATTTGGCTTCTTTTTCACTCAAGTTCAACACAGTCTACTTACCTGACTCAAACCTTTTATTACACATGTGAATCAATGACTTAACAAGACGATCATACGTTTATCCAGAGACATTCTTGGACTTTAGCTGTGCCAAAACAGTTTTAAATCATCCCTCCTGGTGACAAAGCTGCTTCATGAGATAGGACATATTTATTTTGTTGGTCCATATTATTCAAAACATGTATTTGATGCGTAAAACCTTGACCTTATGTTGAGTTTTGTGTGCATCCTTCTGTGTGCATTAGGCTAAGTACCACTGGCAGAGTCAAAATGTCAAGCAAAGCGGCGTGGACGACATGGTCCTGCTGTCAAAGATCACCGAGGACGCCATCGTGGAAAACCTCAAGAAGAGATACTTGGACGACTACATTTTTGTATCCTACAAGCCGCACGTGACTCATCTGTTCATCTGCTCATCCATTCATTTCATCACCGCCACCTCCAAACTCACACATACTGACCAAACATTCCTCAGAAGGATCCAACAGACAAATCTGGGCATAAAACAAGAAACTCGCCCTTCCTCCTTTCACTGACCCACATGAGTCAGACGCTCACTTCCGTCCTAAAAAGAAAAAGGTTCAAAAGGTTTCTGCACACTTGAGCAGCCGATTCAAACTCGACTCGGGCATCATTTCAATGTTTCATTTTGAGAATTTTACTGCTAACATAAGCAAACTGTGAACCTTGAGTTCCAATATCTGTTTATTGGTTTTGCAGGATGTGGTTAAATTATCATCATCAGATGTCAGACCAGGGTGTTTTTTTTATTACTACAGTGTGTTTGTCACATCAACACTGGGGTCCAAGAAAGTTAAAAGGACAAAAAGTCAAGTTGAAGAAGCTTGAATAGAAAAACTGTTTTTTTAATTATTTCATTAAAATCTTTTTCTCAAATATAAAAGATTTTATTAGCATTAGCTGACAAGTCTCCTCATTAGGGATTTCAAAAGTGAGTTTGGTGTTTTTTAAAGGTTATTAGGAAGGATGTTTGAGCTTGTGTCTCATTATGACGTTTTCAGGAAACAGTGAGATCATCTAATGATGGAGGTGGATGGAGGTCTGACGTTCCCCCACCTACAGGCTGGCAGCGTGGCTGTGTGGGAGGAGACACTCATCTCTCTACCTGCAGCTGTAGAGGGATATTAGACATATACATTACCACACACCAACCTACATTACACACAAACATTGGTCCATCTGGTGAGTGGTGATGGTGGAGGTTTCAGCCCTGCTGCTTCTGCCTTCTACCCTCGGTTGGTCTGGCAGAGCTGGGGATCTGAAGCTGCCTGTGAGGCTTTGGGGCCGTTGCAGGGATGGGTGGATGGGGCTGGGTGGCCACAGGTTGGGGTCTGGTCTGGAGGTCCTGAGCTGTGCTGCAGCAAGATGGGTAGGTGCCTGTCGGCATCTTGGATTGCTGTTGCCTTGGGGGCTATTCCTGGAATGGGGAAAGCCCTCCACTGCTTGGTCCCCATATTTTGCAGCCAAGGGTGTCCTAACTATCCTTATGGGTTGGGGGTGCAGTTGGGGGGCTGGTGCTCACTCTGCCGGGGTGCAGGGTTGGGTTGGCTTGGTTGACCCATGCTTGGCTGTCTCTCAATGGGCATTGGGGCTTGGCGCTGTCTCAGTCTGGACTGGCCTGTATCGGACGGGACAAAGGTGTGCTGGGCTGGGGATTATAGAGCTCTGGACGTCACGTGACTCTCAGAGAGTAGACGCCATGTTGACAGGCAACAAAGGTAAACAAAATGAATTGGATCGGCTTAGATTTTACTCCGTCTGAGTTTACTTCACACTTTAAAACAGAATAAATCGTTTTATATAGTCAGTAATTAAATAGACTAAACATCTCCAACCCTTACCGTGCCCCTGGGATACTTTTTAAAAATGCCAGAAGCTGTCGGAGCGGACCTGGCCAGGGAACGCCTTGGGATTTCCCTGGAGGAGCTGGCCCAAGTGGCTGGGCCCAAGTTTAGGAAGCCCACTAAGAATCGTAATAAAAGCATTTAAAATAAATACCATGTACAGTTGAGGAAACGATATGAAGTGGTCGCTGCATAAGCGAAAACCTTTACTCTCGGCATCCCACAGCTTCATTTTAGCCCGGTCACTAGCACGTTTTACTGCAATGAGCCAACGTTTGCGGCGTTCCGGATCTTGGGGAATCCTGTAGAAGGCTCATCCCTTATGCCATCCGCGTCTGTTCTGCATCCTGGGGCACTACAGGAATCTACCATATTTCCCGTTTGAATTTTCTGACAATAACAAATAGCCCAGCTGGGGGCTTCTGCCTGCCAAGATGGCGCCGTTTCGATTTCAACTGCATGCCGGGAGAAGTGACGTCAACTTCAGGAGCTCAATAGTCTCTGCGGCTCCAAATGGGTTCACTTTGGCTGGGGGCTGGTGCCCTGACGTTCTCTGGCTGGCTCCCCATCCTCCCTGGGCTGCAGTCTGTCTTCTGAGCTGGCCGAATGGTGTCCGTCCTTTGGTGGCGATCTACTGCTGGGGTAAGCGTGGGCCCCGGACTCTGGTGCTGGTGGGACCTGGGCTGTGGTGGGGCAGCCCCTCCCTCACCACATACACAACATTTAAAAAACAAATAAAAAACAAAACTCTTGGAGACAAATCCACACACAGACACCCACAAACACAAAGTGATTCACACAAACACAGCTCAGACCTGCACACGCAGGTAACCACTCAAATACACACAACAACATATTATACGATATAAACACAGACACACACATGCACACACACGCATGCACATACACACACACGCACCAACATTCTATAAGATATAAACGCATACACATGCACATGAACGCACAAACAAAGGCTACTGCACAACAGTAGGAATATCCCACATCCCTCTTGCTGTAGAGTAAAACTGCTCTGGCATGTTATGGCATCAAGGTCAACCATTCTGTCTGCTCCAACTGCCAGAAAGGACAGGTTGTAAAAAAACACATTTCACAATTTGTGAAAATTTGTTTAAAACAGCTTCATCTATGGAGGATTTTTAAGCATCAGCTGTTTCAAAAAGTCCCAGTTTGTGACATCACAAATGGGGGGAGTAGAATAGAACCATCTCTCACATGCAAGAGAGCTGCTGCTAGAGCAGCTGCTCTACTCTGAGCTCCATCCAGTTATCGGAGCTTCTAAGCCTATAGCAGCCTGGGTGGGGGATGGGTGGGCTTGGCTAGCTCCAGCTTGTTTTCTTAAAGTGGCAGAGCCCTGTAACCGCTCATTGTAAAAGGAACTGAAAATGTAAAAATAATAATAATAATAATAATAAACTGCTGAGATCACTTAATATGAAAGATATTCAATGCAAAGAACTTCATGAACATGTTTTGTACTGACCACAGAACTAATGACTAAAGAAAAAAAGTCCTAACTTGTCTCCTTTAAAAACATTAGGAAAGTCGTGAAACTGCAAAAAACGGTTTGTGTCATTTTATTAACATAACTCCATTGGTCAGGAAGAGTTGTGCGTGTTTCGTTTTGCTGTGTTCTGATATTGATCTGAGATTTGTTACAGTAATAAAGTGCAGATTTGTCCGAGACAGATTAGGCTGGCCTCTGAGCTGCTGATTCATATCATAGAGTCAGCCTAGTGGTTAGAATATTTATGCTGTAAAGGCTTCTGCGCGAGAATCACAAAACGTCTGCCCTTCTGAATCATGTCAGATGAAGTTGTGTGATGAATTATTTATGTACTCGACTTCCCATCTCTGTCAGAATTTAAAGTTTTGGGACGTTTTTTAGCTGAAAAGGTGTCCTCCTCACCTATCCCTTCTCTCTGTCTAACTGAACAAATGTATTGTGTTTTTGCACTTTAGAATATCATTTGTGATTTATCCAGTAAATCATCTTTCATAATTCGTATCAATTTCTAAATCAGCAGCTGACTGTCTGCAGTAACTTTCTGCAGCTTGTTTTAGGATCCCTGTTGTTTCATCGGAGGAGAGACAGGAGTTTTAATGTACCCTGAAACAATTATTTAGTGTTCCATCTAAACCCAACCAGCGTGCACCACTTGGTCTTTGCAGCTATCCTTGACCCTCCTCCCCAGACTTACATCGGTCCTGTCTTGATATCAGTGAACCCGTTCAAACAAATGCCTTATTTCACCGACAGGGAGATCGAACTCTACCAAGGAGCCGTGAGTAGAATTCTCATGACCTGCAAACGTGCAGCTGCTCCTGCATCTGTCTGCTCCTTTAACTATAAATGCTTTGTTTACTTCTGCAGGCCCAGTATGAGAACCCACCACACATCTATGCCCTGACCGATAACATGTACAGGAACATGATGATCGATGCAGAGAATCAGTGTGTTATTATTAGGTGATTAAAGCCGTTTAATTTCTCATCCTTTTTTTGTTTTCATTTCCTATTTTTACATGAACCCTGAATGTTTTGTGTTTATCCCCGTGTGGTGCAGCGGTGAGAGCGGTGCAGGGAAAACTGTGGCTGCCAAATATATCATGGGTTACATTTCCAAAGTGTCTGGAGGCGGATCAAAAGTGCAGGTAGAAACAGCAGCTGATCTGTTCACACGACTCAGAAATAACATCCAGCAGCAGTGCTGTGTAGCCGTTTCTGTCTCACTCTGTCACTGTGTCTGTTGTGTTTGCTCCAGCACGTTAAAGACATCATCCTCCAGTCAAATCCCCTGCTGGAGGCATTTGGTAACGCCAAGACTGTCCGCAACAACAACTCAAGTCGTTTTGTAAGTGAGCTGATTGTGCAAGCGCCGATGCAGCCTGACAAAACACAGGCTGTGCTAAAGCTGCAGGATCTTGTGCACGCATTTCTTAACAGAAGTTCATATATTTCACCATGAATCTAAACCGTCTGGTTCCTTCTTTTTTCTTTTTCTGTCTTCACTTCAGCAGCTTTTGCTGCTAATGAACTGCTCTGGTCTGGTGAGGCATTTATAGATATCCTGCTGACTTACGGTTGCACGACTGAACACGAGACATTTGTGGGATCCTGGTGCATTAATTTCACACCTTAAAACCTCAGCTTACACATGTGAAGCTGAGAAAACCTCACATCAGGTTATAAATTTTCCAGTAACTCTTGTGGGTCGTTGCAGTTTCACGAACACACACGCATTAAATTAGTCTGCATGTTCACCTGTCAGCTAAATGGCCAATGTACAGCAAAGCTAAACGATTAATATTAATCTAGATTCATTTGACCTATCAAGTAGGGATGCATCAATACCACTTTTTTCCAAACCGATACGATACTGATACTTCGATCTGAGTACTCACCGATACCGAGTACCAATACCGATACTTCTACCACACAAAAAAATGCAATGAATTGGAATACAGGTTTTATTTTCATCTCTGCTTTCAACAGGAAAAGACTGGGAGGTAGACAAGAAATAAAATATATTCATAGAAATTATCACAAAACTAAAATATTAGGTGAACAGAAATGACAAGTTACAGTGAAGCCACTTTCAGGCAACTGCACTGGTATTGGTTCCTGGTATTGGTTAACTTTTACCGATCGGTGCATCCCTACTATCAAGGCCTGATGAGGTAGAATCATCTACACATATACTGGACAATTCATTTCCATAGGCTCCAATAACACGTTTTTGAGGCTAAATGGGAGGTGGCCACCACCGCCATTTTGACCGTGTCACAGGTTCCGTTAAGCCCAGACAATGCCACAAAAGGGAAGAGGCTGTAAGGCTGGGATCAACTGACGACACCCGATTGAACTAGCTACAAGCTAACCTGAAGCTAACCCAAAGCTAACGCAGAGGTGGGAGCTAAGCTAACGGAGGTAGCAACCTAGCTACAACCAGAGTTAACTGTGCACAACACCAGAGCTTCTGAGTCAGAGATACGCCGGGCTGACCGCTGGGGCGAACCGGGTGGAACACAGAGGTCTCCGAGAGCTCCACAAGCTGACAGCCCGTGCAACAGACAGAAGCCGCGATCAGACAGAGATGCGCCGAGCTGTGGGGAGGGGAGAAACGGGTGGAAAACATCAGGTCTCCCGAGAGCTCCACAAGCTGATAGTCGGAACCCAGCTCCACCAACATGTTATATTTCAACCCATTTTCTAAAGTGCAGCATTATGTTAAATGCACTGGGTTTTACCCTATTACATCGAAATTTCATGGTTAAACAGTACATGTTAAAATCTAAGCTCAGCTCGGCAGTGACCTAAAATGCATAAATATAATTTTACTTACCGAAAAAAATGAAGTGGAGACTCCTTGGACGCTCTATTAGTGCAATTAATGCCACAGCAAGTCATTTTGTCCAACAATTGCACAAATAATATCCAAAAAAGAATACACAAACACAGAGACTCAAAATCCCAGAACAGCTTCCAAGCCAGACCGAGGCTCTACTGAGGCCTTTCCACAGAGCTAGCCCTGTGGTCACATGGGTCTGATGCTCATTAATTATACAGAATTTTAGGCTTTTAATACACTTAAACAGAAGAGTGAGAAAAAAATTCACCCCCCTCAGAGTTGTTATGAGTGTAAACTAGATCATTTAAACCAAAAACATGTTCTGGTACCAGGCTGTAAACATGTTTATTTCTGCTGTGAAATTGGTATTTTTAACATGGGAGTCAATGAGGATTTGCTCGCGTCTGACACCAGCCCCCAGCGGATGAGGGTGGAACAGCAACTTTTGATATTTCAGGGTTGGCCTCAATTTTTGAACCGCATTATGGGGGCTTGGGTAGAATGAGCATGTCACGGTGGGATGAACACCCCCTTCTTTCTGTGCTCTCTTGAATATGTTCTTCTGGTTTATCTGGTAACAAATCTGATTCCCACAGCTAAGGTGTTAACTTTGATTTGCATCTACCAGGGGAAATATTTTGAAATTCAGTTCAGCAGAGGTGGCGAGCCAGACGGTGGCAAAATTTCAAACTTCCTGCTGGAGAAGTCGAGGGTGGTGAACCAGTATGAGAATGAGAGGAACTTCCACATTTACTATCAGGTCAGAGGACAATCAGCACAGTCCTGGAACAATGCTGGTTGCTGCAACACGCAACATAAACAAAGTGAACTCACACGGAACTAAAGTTAAACGCTGTGACCTCCTCTCTACCTGCACTGTGGTCTTTCAGTTGATAGAGGGCGCCAACGCTCAGCAGAAAGAGGGTCTGGGAATCATAACTCCTGACTACTACTACTACCTCAACCAGTCTGGGACCTACAAGGTGGATGGGACCAATGACAGCAAAGACTTCCAGGAAACCATGGTATTTAAAGTGGACATTTTTAGAAAAGCTAAACTGTAGAAGGGGAATTGTCTTTCTGATCAAGTTTTCACTCGCATATTAAATAAATAATCTTATTTAATTCAATTATTTATTTATAAAGCGCCTTCCCGCCACCAGGCAAGGAGGCTCAAGGTGCTCGACGAGCACGTAAAACAAAGTACAAACAACAATATTGTGAGAAAGCTTAAAACAACAAAATAATGACACAACTAAATAATAAAAATGAGATAAAACACAAAAAACAACAATAAAATTAGCAAAATGATGCATCAGTCTGGCTTGAATTGATAAAAAAAATGTAACAAAAGTTTTGCTTTAAGGGTCAAAAATACACAAAATGTCACAAATTTGCCTTGTGGCATCAAGAGCAAGAAAACAAACTAAAGTCATTTCGATTTATAACCATCTGCTATCCTCACTGTCTGCTTAACATCCTGTTTCCAGGAGGCCATGCAGGTGATCGGGATCCCAGGTGACATCCAGGCTCAGGTGCTGCAGATCATCGCGGGTATCCTCCACCTGGGGAACATCAGCTTCATAGAGGCTGGCAACTACGGGCAAGTGGAAAGCACAGACTGTGAGTGAAACACACACCTAGACTCCTCCATGCACACACACCTGTTCCCTTTGGGGATGCGTGGTAATTACAGCTCACAAAACGAGTCCCTCTGCAAACTCGAGTAATTGATAAAATGCTGATGAGTTGCTTTTCTTTCCTTTTTGTTTCATGCTGCTGAGGGAGTCCCATCATATGTGTACATAACTGGAGAAAACAATCAGCAGTGTCATTTTACCCTGATAAAAGACTGTGTGTAGACAGTGGGAGGTTTTCTTTAAGCTGTTTCTCCAAGTCCGTTACATGTATCTTTATTACAGCTAAGTTTCCAATCTAATTATTTGCATGTCATTTGCTTTTGTTTGCACTAGTGCTTGCCTTCCCTGCTTATCTACTGGGCATCGACCCGAACCGCCTGCAAGACAAGTTGACCAGCAGAAAGATGGATTCAAAGTGGGGAGGGAAGTCGGAGTCCATCAACGTAACCCTGAACCAGGAGCAGGCCACCTACACGCGCGATGCCTTAGCCAAAGCTCTTTATGCACGTGTCTTTGACTACCTAGTAGAGGTAAAGATTTCACACAACAAACTACATAAAATGAATTATTGCACAAAACTGGCTTGTTTTTAGATTTTATTCCCCTTTTTCTATCTGCTGCAGGCCATTAACAAAGCCATCCAAAAGCCCTATGAGGAATTCAGCATTGGCGTGCTTGACATTTATGGCTTTGAGATTTTCCAGGTCAGTGCACTCACACTTTATAGATGCACAACCTTTTATGTGCAGCAAATGATTGTTTTATGGAACTAGACAACAGTCATGATCTGACATAGATTGTGTTGTATTTTCTTCTGCAGAAAAACGGGTTCGAGCAGTTTTGTATAAACTTTGTCAATGAAAAGCTGCAGCAGATCTTTATTGAACTCACTTTGAAAGCTGAGCAGGTATCACTTAGGAAAAGCCTTTCTCCTCTTTTTTCTGTTCAATCAGCCAGAGGAATGCTTTCATTTCTTCTGTTTTAATTAGGAAGAGTATGTTCAGGAAGGCATTAAGTGGACGCCCATCGAGTACTTCAACAACAAGGTTGTGTGTGACCTTATTGAAAATAAACTGGTAAGCTCATAACTGCATTAGCTGATAAATAAAAGCAGAAAATATTTTTTTTTTCAACAAAACAACTTTTTGTATAATGGATTCCTATTTTTCTAATTTAAAAACTTTGATAAATAATCACAGATGACATTTCCAGAAAACGTATTTTAAAAGGCATCTGTTGACAGAACCCTCCTGGCATCATGAGTGTGCTGGATGATGTATGTGCCACCATGCACGCCAAAGGAGAGGGTGCAGATGGCACTCTGCTGCAGAAGCTGCAGGCGGCCGTAGGAACGCATGAGCATTTCAACAGCTGGAACTCCGGTTTTGTCGTACATCACTATGCCGGGAAGGTACAAAGTCAAATTCATAATCAAAACTGCTGCAGGAGCTCAGTTGTTTTCACCTTAAGCTACGAGGAGAAGATTTTGAGCCTTGCAGAATTTCGTCTGATATAAAAAAATAAAAAATACAGGAACCTTTGTGTTGTTGGTTCAATTTATTTAGTGAAATTTTATATTTTCTCAGGTGTCGTATGATATCAACGGCTTCTGTGAGCGAAATCGAGACGTGCTCTTCCCCGACCTTATTGAGCTAATGCAAAGCAGTGAATTGTAAGTCTTTGTTATAATTATTATACACATGAATACACACACACACACACACACACACACACATATATATATATATATATATATATATACACATGGAGCTCCACAACCAAGTGGCTGGCATCGTGTACAGAAACATCTGTACAAGGTATGGACTGGAAGCCCCAAGGTCAAAGTGGGTAACACCCCCTAAGGTGGTTGAGAACAAGAGAACCAAGCTCCTGTGGGACTTCCAGATCCAGACCAACAAAATGGTGATGGTGAACTAGCCGGACATTGTGGTGGTGGGCAAAGAACAGAGGATAGTCGTTGTGGTTGATGTGGCAATACCAGGAAAAAGGAACACTGGAAACTAGATAAGTACCAGGGCTAGAAAGAAGAACTTGAGAAAGCCTGGAGAGCAAAGACACCAGTGGTGACGGTGGTCATCACAGAACTTGGGCCAATAACCCCCAAACTGGAAGAGTGGCAAAAGCAGATTACTGGAAAACATTTCAGTCCAGGAAAGTGCAGTTCTAGGAACAGCTGAGATACTGCACAGAAGCCTCGAGTTCCCAGGCCTCTGGTAGAGGACCCGAGCTTGGAAGGATGAGACCACCCACAGAGAATGAGATGGTTTTTTTTTTGTTTTTTATTTATTTATTTATTTATTTGTGAAAGCACATTACAGATAAATTTGTCTTTTCAGTGACTTCATCCGTAGCTTGTTCCCTGAAAACCTCAACTCTGACAAGAAGGGGCGGCCTACAACAGCGGGTTCAAAGATCAAGGTAAAAGTAAACGACCACGAGGCAGAAGGAAAACAAGAGTTTTGTGATGTAAAATCTCACTGATTTTCCAACAGAAACAAGCTAACGAGCTGGTCAACACGCTGATGAAGTGCACTCCTCACTACATCCGCTGCATCAAACCCAACGAGACAAAGCGGCCAAAGGACTGGGAGGAGAGCAGGTCTGTACGTCACACCCATACACACATACAGAAGGATGTTGGTCTTCATTAATAACATCCTTCTCTGTGGTGGTAGGGTGAGACATCAGGTTGAATACCTCGGGCTGCGGGAAAACATTCGAGTACGAAGGGCTGGATTTGCATACCGCAGGCCCTTCAATAAGTTCCTGATGAGGTGGGTTGGGATTGAGGCTTTAGAATCGTCTTTTTGTTTCAATCATCGTCGATGAAATTTTGTCATTTCTTCGCCACAGATATGCCATTCTGACACAGGAAACGTGGCCGTGCTGGAGGGGCCCGGAGCAGCAAGGGGTCCTTCACCTCCTCCGATCTGTCAACATGGATAATGATCAGTACCAGATGGGACGCACCAAAGTTTTTGTCAAGAATCCAGAATCGGTACAGAAGATCTCAGACGTTGTATTTGACCTTATGTTTGTAGAAAACACTTAACTTTTTGTCCCACTAGCTGTTCCTGCTGGAGGAAATGAGGGAGAGGAAGTTTGACACTTTTGCCAGAATTGTTCAGAAAGCCTGGAGAAGATTCAACGCCAGGAAGAAGTATGAGCAGATGAGAGAAGAAGGTGAGCAAGAAGATTCTTTGTTGTTTTTTTTTTAAACCATAAACCACATTTTGGATCCTAATCACCTGGAATGTTTGTTCCTGGTTGTGACGCTCAGCCTCAGACATCCTGTACAACTCCAAAGAGCGAAGGAGGAACAGCATCAACAGGAACTTTGTCGGAGACTACCTTGGTCTAGAGCAGAGACCTGAACTGAGACAGTTCCTGGCCAAAAGGGAGCGTGTTGACTTTGCTGACTCAGTCAACAAGTTTGACCGCAGGTTTAAGGTCAGGAGGTCGTTGTGCTTTCTGACAAGGAGAAGGTTACTAACTCTTCCTCCTCTCACATCCCCCTTTCTCTCCCCTCACACAGTCTATCAAGAGAGACTTGATCCTGACCCCTAAAGGCATCTACCTGATTGGTCGAGAAAAGGTGAAGAAAGGACCTGAGAAAGGGCAGATCAAAGAGGTGCTGAAACGAAAGCTGGAGTTTGGACACATCAACAGCGTCTCTCTCAGGTACGTGTCTAGTTCAGACAGGATGTGGGCTTGTTGTGTCAGAATAAATTGTTGAGATTGGGATTATTTATAGAACCGGTGGGCTACTTTGTCTTTAACCACAGTGTGAGAAACATTTACGCCACTAGACTGAGAGACTCTTCAAATCGAGCCCACGTTGAGCTCTAGAAGCCCTGAGCTAAACTGTTTTGAACTACAGCTCCATTTTCTCCACAAAAGCAACTTGTTTAGTTTTTATTGTCTTGTAGGATTTCCTGAAGTTTGTAGACGACTTCCTTAAATGGCCTTCTTATTTTCAGCACAAGACAGGACGATTTCTTCATCGTGCACGAGGCCCAGTACGACAGTCTGCTGGAGTCCACCTTTAAGACGGAGTTCCTCAGCTTGCTCTCAAAACGCTATGAGGAGGTGATCAAGAGAAAACTGTCAGTCTCCTTCTCTGACAGGTAGAGCAACACAAAGTCTTGACTCACACGAGGAATCAGAAACACCGACCACCACTGACACGCCTTTATTTTCTCTCAGACTGGAGTTCAGAGTGAAGAAAGAGGGCTGGGGCGGGGGCACCACCAGAGTGGTGGCGTTCCAGAGGGGTCATGGGGACCAGGCCTATCTCAAACCTGGGGGGAAGACTCTCATGGTCACGATAGGAGATGGTTTACCCAAGTCCTCAAGTAGGTTAAACACAACAGTGACTCAATAAAAAATAAGGAAGGCTAATATGTGCAAATGCGGTTGTAATCTTTGCTGAAATGGCTAGTGAAAGGTGGAGTTTCAAACGATGCAAATGGACTTTTATCTCTTCAGAACCAACAAAGAAGTCTGCTCTGGAGTCCCGAAGTGGAAGGAGAAACCATGTAGCCAGCAGAGGTTGGACACTCAAAAAGCTGGACTTTATTTTCATTTTTATGTCAGTTTTACTGATACAAAGAGCTAAAGTTGTACGTGCTAGTAGCTGAGAGTGAGCTTTGTTTAAATGACTGCTGCATCTTTAATTAAACCAGTGGTTTTCAGAGATCAGGGTTGAGGAAATGAAGATGGTTTTGCTTGGACTGTAGAAGTTAAAGACCAGGTTCACTGAGAAACCACTTATTTCTTTATCCGTTTTGAAAATGATCAACAACTCTGAGTTTTCCATACAGACTGAACATGAAAATAGTCTCCTACACCTATCTCCTGCATTAGCTTCTGATAGAAAATCGGTGGTGAAACTCTCGGATTTGAAAAGCCTGACAGATGTCCAAAAATCAGGAAATAAGACTCAGAATCCTGCTGTCTGAAGCTTCTTTCCCCTCCGACTGACTTCAACGTACCCAAACAAGTGCAGCAGAGCTTACATGACATTCACCCCCACTGCTAATGTGTTAAAAATATGAGTAAAGCTGACCTTTAAAATAAAATGAAAACTATTACTAGAACTATTTGTTACAGGTAAAGAAAGGTTGTTGAGGTCATTATGACACCTCCTGCCACAGTTGTTATTGAGCGGGTGCTGCAGCGTATTAGACAGGGGCGGCGTTAGGCCCGGCTACTTGGGCTGAAGCCCCGGATGTTTCATGAAAAGCCCCGGATCTAAATCACGGAAGTAACATGCAGTACCAAAGTCCAACAGAGAGGGAGCAGCTGGCAGTAGTTGGTATACAGCCTGCCTGAGCCTCCACCACTGTAGAAGAAGCCCTTCAGCAGCTGGCTTCTTCTACAGTCTCTGCCTGAAACGCATGTGAAGATGGACATAAGGACGTTTTTTAGACAAAAAGTACAACGACAGAACCCCAGCTTTGATGAGACTGGTGTTGACTCAGGTTTGTGAGTCTTATTTGAAAATATTTGTTGTGCTGCTGGTTTGCCTAAAGTTAGCTTACTATCAGGTAACGTTGTTGGAGAAAGAAAGGGAATATTTACTATCATCTCACACTAAACACTAACAGGAACAATATTCTGCCCTGAAAATGCTTAATCTGTAGCTTCAGATTAAAAATTATGTGGTACAAAACATATATGATGCTGACTAGTGCGTGTCACGTGTGTGTGCGCACATGTGTGTGTGTGTTAAGCCCCGGATCTTCTTCAGTCCTAAATCCGCCCCTGGTATTAGGTGGAAGTTTTGGTAATTCACATGAGGATTTTTATCTTTTTATCTAAAGTTATCTGGAGTTTGTTCTTAACTCTTCTCTCGTGTCTCCTCTCAGCACACCAGAATGGAGCAGCCAAGTTTTCCAGAGCCCCTCATCAGCAACAGTCTGAAATCACATATTCTGCTCCGCACAAGCAACAACAACCGCCCAAAGCAGCTCTGCCCAAACTAGGCTCCCAGAGGACTTCCCGAGTGCCAGCCCACAACCAGCATAACCAGAGCAACATGGACTTCCTCAACGTTCCTGACCAAGGCATGTCAGGGTAAGAGAGACCAGCTTCTAGGAGGAAAACTGGACAGGTGTGATGACAGAGAGGGTGGGGCTATTGACTCACTGAAATCAGTGCATACAGGTTTTATAGTCGTTGGGGCTTGTCAAGGTTAAGCTAACATGAAGTGAAAAAATATGTTGAATTGTTGGTTTTTGAAAGCAAACCTGTGGCTGTTGCACAGGGTGACGCCCTTCACACATGGGTCATTTAGTATCTCTTGGACACCTGTTAGTGTTTGTGTGCAGCAGAACAAAATCTCCCTTTTTAGCACACATTACATAAAAGGCTTCTAACAATAACTAGGATGATTATTGTATAAACAAAGATGTTTATAGTAGCTACAAAACAAATAGGCAGTACTGGGGGTACAGATTTGTGTAGTAAAAAAGAGAACAAAGGAAAAACTAGACAACAGAATGAATAGGAAGGGAAATATAGTAAGAAAACAGGTGCACTCTGATAAAAGAAACCAAAATAGGACAGAGGGGTGTCAGTAAAACTGATTTCTTCAAGAGCAAATTCTTCTACACAAGTTTTCATCCTTTTTTTGGTTCAGATAAAGTATTTTGATTCTGTAGCTACTTCTGGTTCATAAAAAGTCTCAAGGAAGATGCTTCTACAGGGTTGCTTTTTTGTCACGTGCCTCTTAAACAGCTCATAATAAGTCAGATCAGTGCAAATATCTCATAATATGACTGTGTCAGCTTAGAGTTGCCTCATTCTGAAATTATACACACAAGCTAACGCAGCTATAGCTCCGGGCTACTTGCTAACTGCTATCAACTAACAACAGAGTGCCCATCCAGATGGAGAGTTTGTAGTTGCTGGTGATTTTGACAAGGCAAATCTCAAAACTGTACCTCCCAAATTATATCAGCATGTGCAGTTCCCCACAAGAGGTGAAAATGGACTTGATCGTGTTTACAGCAGGGTTTTAACGCAACAGCCCTCCCCCACTTAGGCCAGTCCAACCACATCTCCCACATCTTAACTCCAGCATAACAGTTCTCCATCAGAACAGTTACAGGACTGCTTTGATAGTACCAACTGGTCCATTTTCAAAGGTGGAAACATCGACCTACACTTCCACGGTTCTCTCTTACATAAAGCATTGCACAGATACTGTTACAACAACAAAGAAAATCCACACCTTCCCCAACAGCAAGCCATTGATTACCAAAGATGTCCGGTTCCTGCTGAAGGTCCTTGACAAAGCTTTCAGGTCTGGCGATGTTCAACAATACAGCGCTGCAGGTCAGAGCTGAAGAGGGGCATCAGAGAAGCCAAGGTGGCTTACAGGAGAAGGATTGAGAGCCACTTTGACAAATCAGACCCACGACGTGCATAGCAAGGGATACGCACATCACAAATCATACTAGCACCAACTCACCATCCATCAACAATGCAAGACTGGCTGAAGAGCTCAACAACTTCTTTGGCTGCCATGAGGCAACGACTGCTGGAACCATGATACCATCTCCAGCACCAACGGACAACAGCAAGCTGCTCATCCTGCAGACCGCTGAGGTACAGTGTGCACTCAGAAGTGTTAACACAAGGAAGGTAGCTGGTCCAGATGGCATTGCGGCAAGGGCCCTATGTGACTGTGCAGCGGAACTGGCTGAGGTCCTCATAGACATCTTCAACATGACACTGTCCCAGTGCTCTGTCCCTGCCTGTCTAAAAACCTCCACAATAGTACAGATACCAAAAAAGTCTGCAATAACAAGCTACAATGACTACAAGCCTGTAGCTTCAACACCTCTCAATATGAAGTGCATGGAGAGACTAGTGCTGCAACACATCAAGCCCCAACAGAACCAACAGATCAACAGATGCATTCAATAACATTTTCCCCTGCAGACTATTCCACAAGATGTCTGACCTTGGCCTCGAGCACAACATCTGCCTCTGTAAGACTTTCTAACAAACCGACCACAGTGTGATAACTTAGGCCATCACCATTCCTCCTCTCTGTCCCTCAGCACAGGAGCCCCACAAGGCTGTGTCTTGAGTCCCTTCCTGTTCTCCCTGGACACACATGACTGTAAGCCCGCCGACAATACCAATGCTATCATTTAGTTTGCTGATGAAGCAACTGTTATGGGTATAATCAGCCAGGGAAATGAGTCGGTGTACAGGGAAGAAGTGAAGCGGCTGGTAGACTTGTGTACAACCTGACCCTGAGCACCAACAAAACCAAAGAACTCATCATTGACCCAAGAAGGAAAAAGGTGGAGCACCAGTCACTCACAATGAATGGAGTGCAGGTGGAGAGGATGTTACAGTTCAAGTTCCTGAGCACAAACATATCAGAGGACCTCACATGGACACACAACACCAAATGTCTGATAATGAAGGAACAACAGCAGCTATACTTCCTGAGAGCTCTCAGCAGTTTTTGTGGTTTTATCAATGCTCCATAGAGAGTCTCCTGACCAACAGCATCCTGGTGTGGTACAGCAGCAGCTCTGCAGCTGACATGTAGGCCCTGCAGAAAATATAACAAACACACACCTGCCTGCCCTGGATGACATGTTCACCACTCGCTGCCTTCGGAAAACCACAAACATCCTAAAGGGCTCAACCCACCCTGCTAACCATCTCTTCACATTTCTTTCATGTGGTAAACGATACAGGGCAATAAAACCATGCACCACCAGGCTGTTGAACAGCTTTTATGCAAGATCCCATCACTGAACTGAATGTTGTTGCCAGGAGGTCACACTAACAGTTACTCTACTGGACAGTTAGTGCACTACAGCACCTTTACATTTAGCTAGCTATCCCTGATACCTCAACAAATGACTGTTTACATTTTTATTAGTATTACTTTACGTTTCACTTTATACTTTTAAAATGATTTGCACCTTAAACTAGCTGTGTGTGCAAAAGATGTGTGTGTGCGTGAGTGTGTGTGTGTGTGTGTGTGTGTGTGTGTGTGTGTGTGTGTGTGTGTGCGTGAGTGTGTGTGTGTGTGTGTGTGTGTGTGTGTGTGTGTGTGTGTGTGTGTGTGTGTGTGTGTGTGTGTGTGTGAGAGAGAGAGAGAGAGAGAGAGAGAGAGAGACTTCTATTTTAGACTTGTTATTTTATTTTACATATATTTTACTACCTCCTTACATGAGCTTTCTTTAATGAGCACAAAATCAATTTCGTTGTACACGTGCAATGACAATTAAAAATCTTGAATCTTTAATTATTAAGGCTTGTTTCTGTAGCACTTTTAAACAAAGATGAGGGTAAGATGTCGAGGGGGCATGCAGAGGTCTTCATAGAGTTAACTAGTTTGGTTAACTCAGGCAAAGAAACAGGAGCAAAGCTATCTAGGATGACTGGCCTGGCTGGAGTCGGGAGAGGCAGCAATAAGGCTGAAGGAGAGATGCTAGATTTAACCTTATTGACTTTGTCCACAAAGAAAGACAGAAAGTTCTCACAGTCTGCAACAGAGTGGATGGAGGCTGTAGGAGAGGCAGGAGAGACGATGCTGCTGATGGTGTTAAACAGCACCTTGGAGTTCTCTTTGCTCTGGGACACAAGGTTGGAGAAATAGGAAACCCTAGCATCTCTGACTGCAGAGTTAAAGGATGTCAGAAGATCCTTTAGGTGCAGCAGATGGACGTGGAGATGGGTTTTCTTCCACATGTGCTCAATTTTTCTGCATTGGCGCTTTAGGCTGCGAAGGTTGTCATTAAACCAGGGAGTAGGGTTCACTGCAGGAACTGATCTGGTTCTGACAGGACAGATGTTGTCCAGAATTAAGAGGCAGTGCTCGTTAAACTGAGAAGTTAAGGAATCTGGGTCATTATCAGAAGAACAGGGTGGATCAAAAGCAGCAGAAAAATTGCTAGCTGTGCTCTCATTAAGAAAACGAGAACTAACCATACGGCGAGCAGGAGGTGGGGATGCAGAAACTGACAAGTTAAAGAAAATGCAATGGTGATCTGAAATATAAACGTCCTCAGGACAAACACGGTCAGCATTTAGACCCAGGGTAAAAACAAGGTCTAGAGTGTGCCTCCTGGTGTGTGTGGGGCCAGAAACATGCTGGGTAACGTTGAAGGAGTCCATAAGGCTGGAGAAATTCATGGCAAAGTGATCAGAGGGATCATCAACGTGGATGTTAAAGTCACCACCAATCACCAGTCTGGACAGCTTCACAGTGGAGGATAAAGTCACTAAACTCCTGAAGGAAAGAACTGTTTGGACCAGGAAGGACTTATTGTTAACAGAGTGGGTGTTTAATAGAGCCATGCTGAGTGAGGTGGAGGAATCAGAAACTACAGAAACAGCTGAATTTAGTGGACGTAAATTAGCAGGGTTAGATCCACAGTGTTTATAAAAACCACTTATGGAGGGAACAGGAAGAGAAACCACTGAGGAATGAGGATAAACCGACCTTAAAAAACTTGGACAGAGAAACCGCGTCACAATGCGGCTTGGGAGGAATGCGGAAGTGGCGCTCAATTGGCCAAACAAAGGAAAAGAAGCTAGAAGATCACGCCGATGTTTACTAGATAAACCACGCTTTAAGAGAAGTCTTATTCTCACCTGGATTCCTGCTCGTTTACCTCTTTTCCTCCGACGTTTTCCCGGGACCGGATAAACATCGCTGGAGGCGCCCTGGTTGGAATCGTTGTTTGGCTCTGGGCCAGTGCACCACTCAGATAAATGAACAGGGAGGTAACTCCTCAGTGCATCTTGGGCGATCGTGAACGAACGGATGGACAAAAGAGTCTGGTGATCATTGGAGATTGTAGCAGAGACACTACTGAAGAGGATCGCAGACAGGAGCAAGGTGGAAAAGAGGAGGTTAGTGGAGACAAGTTTGGAAAAAGTGGCCGGTGACTGCGGCTAAGCCAAGCACAGGCACCATCTTGTTACTGACCGGAAACGGAAGTGAACAGTAACTATGTTCCTCTTTCATTTTTATTGTGAGGACTTTGCTGTAAGATGACCTCTTGCAAAAGTTTCATGTTAACTGATTTAACATGATTTTATCCAATAATTTGCACCTTTTTTGTATTTAGTGTCTCCTACAGCAGGGGATTCATGCTCATCCACAGACACAGATACACAGGTTTAATAATATGTCACTAGAAATCCGACTCTTCTTTGCCTCATAAATAGAATGTTTAATTATTATCCTGCATCCAAGAACTGGCTCTAGTTGTTTAGTGTTCGATGAAGTAATCCGAAACATCAAATCAAAGTTTTTCTTTGTTACAGGAAACAGAGGAGGAGGAGCATCAGCCATCGACCTCCCCCTGCTCCTAAACCTCAGCCGCGACCTCAGGGCCCCTGCTGCCGAGCCTTATATCAGTACATTGGACAGGACACCGATGAGATCAGCTTTGAGGCTGATGATGTGTTTGACCTCGTTAAAGAAGGTATGAGGAATAAAAGTTTTAAAAATCAGCTAAATGCAACTTATTTTGGATTGATGGGGACAGTAGCAGCTCAGGAGGTAGAACCGGTTTGTCCAGTAATCGGAAGGTTGCAGGTTCGAACCCGGCTCTGTAAAGAGAATGCTGCTGTTGTGTCCTTGGGCAAGACACTTAAAGAGGAACTGCACACCATCCGAAAATGTAACTCCACCCCCTAGTCAAGATTTGAAAAATGCTATGAAAGTGGGCATTGCCAGGAGGCACAGAGTGGCATGGCCAAGTGTGGGGAATTTCCATCCGGGGAGGGAGGGGGAGTGGGAGGAGACGGTACCGATGATGTCAAGTTGTTCCAGCCCCGGTCAATCACAAGTTTAAAACACAGTCGCTGCTGTTCTGCCACAGGGGGCAGCACCAAGGCATTTTTAGACCTAGATTCTAGATTTAATCAAGTTTACACCAACATGTAAAAAAATGCACATAAACAGAAAGATTGCATTTGTAAAGACCCAATTATACAGTTAATTAGCAAAAAAAAGTTATTTTGGGGTTTAGTTACTCTTTAACCTGCTCTGCCTGTTGGTGGTGGTCGGAGGGACCGGTGGCAGCAGTGTTCAGCAGGCCTCGCCTCTGTCAGTGCGCCCCAGGGCAGCCGTGGCTGCATCTTAGCTCATCATCACCAGTGTGTGAATGTGTGTGTGACTTTGTGAATTACTGATGGCGTTGTGAAGCACCTTGGGGGGTTGTAGAACTGTAAAGAGACGCCATTAAAATTCAGGCCGTTTTTTTTTCCCCCATTTCTGCAGATCCATCAGGCTGGTGGACGGGCAGGATCCGAGGAAGGGAAGGTCTCTTCCCTGGTAACTATGTGGAAAAGATCTGAAAGAGACTTGTCATGGACATCTCTGTGCCTCACAGTGTTTCTTTCCTGCAACATGCTCTGGTTGGTCATTGGAAGGTAGTTCTTGTTTAGGGGAGAACCTTGCAGACATTTGAGCTGGAGGCGTCACTGTGTTTGTTAAAGTGCGACTAGAAGGAGCTGCTCAGGTTTCATCTCTGCTGATCAGAGTTCCTCTCTGAATGACCTTCAGCTGCTGGCAGACATCTTCTTCCTTTGAGTTATTTCTGATAAAGACTCGAGTTCAGCCGCAACAGAAAAACAAACTGATAAATCTGCACCTCTCCCTGGTGTCTGCAGTCCGCTTTTTTCAGGAGCAGCATCCACCTCAGGTCCGTGTTCTTGATTTAAATCAAGTTTCATTAGAAGCTTGATTAAACACACAAATTCAGCACTGCAACAAACTCGCTTCTGATAAAGAAAATCAAAGCTTTTGAAGGAAATCTATGTGATCAGGGTTGGTTTATCTTTTAATTCTGCATTATTTAGTGTTTTCATAAATGTGGTCACATAAACTAATAAAAAAGAAATATATTTTCATACTTTTACACATTTTCTGCCTCATCAGAACATTTAAATAGATTTCAAATCAGAAATGTCTATTTCATTTGCACATGTTGCGTTTTGTAAAGTAATTTCGTTAAAGTCAGTCGGTTTATGATTTTGTACATGAATATAACACAAATAAAGACTTGCTGAGAACAAATCTCTTTGCCTTTTTGAAAGCAAGAAAGTCAGGGTAATTATTTTAATGGAGACACATTATTTATCATGAAAACAGAGAAAATAGCATCAGATTCAGATTATCTATATAAAAATGCTCAATTGAATTTACTTATTCAGAAGATTTGATTGTTGTGAATATAAATACATTGTTGGTTAATAAATAGTAGGTATAAACGATGTTTGACGCTCCACAATCACGTGCCATCTTGAAATACCGTAGCTGTTTAGGGACATACAAGATATAATGATAGGCATTTGTGCTTTGACGTAAGCGTTCCCCCCTCTCTTGTGCTGGGGTGGCCCCGGTTCTCTCTGTGGCAGCCTTTCTGGTTTGGAGGAATTCTGCTCCTTCCTCTTGGATGGGGAGGGGACTAAGACGAATCGTAGAAGGGGGTCAAAACTTGGGGATTGTCTGGATGTGCTCCATCAGCCCCTGCTGGCTTGTGCCTTGTCTCCCTTTAAGTGTTGATTCGTCTCACCTGCCCCCCGTTTCCCTACCCACCTGTTTTTCTGATTATCCTTATGTGTTTAAACCCTCTGTTTGCTCTTGTCAGATCCTCGTCGTCCAGTCGGTTTGCCCTACCTGCCGTTATTTCATAAAACAGTTCATTTTAACCCTGCCTGCCTTTATTCTGTGCCTGCTCTCCGAGTCACAACAGCAGACGCGGTCAACGCGGCAGAAGCTGCAGCACTGGAGCAAGACGGCACAGCTGCTGCAATTGCCTGATCAGATCTGTTCTGCATATTTTCACAGGACACAGACAGAGAGCTCTCGATTCCCTAAGGCGCTGACTGCAGGAAGCAGCCAAACAGAAACAGTAAATAAAATGTGCAGATGTTTGAAAGCGGGTGTCTGGTGTGGGACCCCCGAAGTAGCTGTCAGTGCTACAGTGTCTCCCTCTCCACTGCAGCCATGCTCGCACCTCCACAATGGCACGTTGCCTTTTGATGCATGTGGGCTACCGTAGCTGCAATTCCTACTCTGAGCTGTATGGCGCTAAAGAGTTGAATGTTTTTACACACTGGGGCTTTAAATGTAAGAAAGTTCAGTTTAGTTTTCAGAACAAGTTTCTTTTAGCTGTGACTCTTAGCTATAGAAAAGAACTTTGAAAGGCCATCTATGCTATTGGTTAGCTTCTACTAATCGTAGAAGCTTCTACTACTCTGCTGATTCCTAGAAGTGAAACCAACAACAGCCTTCCCCGTCATGAGTCAAGATGGGTGAGTCCATGAATGCTTAAGTGAGAGTGTGAAGTAGATCTGTCAGGCTATTTCCTATCAGAAGCTGATGCAGAGATAGGTGTAGGAGACCATTTTTATGCTCAGCCTGCACGGAAAACGCAAAGTAACTGATTACAATCAGGAATAATCTCAATTGACATGTTAATCATCAAATGTCAATTCACTCTCAGATAGATTTAGGATGTGAGTGAGAACATTCTGTGTTTCTGTGTTGGTTGGCTTCATACATCAGCTGCATGAAGGGAGTTAGGGTTTGGTCACCCCACTGAGCTGTGATCACATCATAGAAGAGAATACAGCTTAGGTAGCCTGCCCTTTGCTGCTTATTTGAGCACACAATGTACCTGACCTTCAGCCTGTTGGTGAGTTTGAACTAATGTAAAAGTGCAGGGCTTTGTTTTACTGATTAATAACCATCTGTCTGTGTCCATTTTAGGAGAGCACCACTTAAAGCGCTCAAACTCTAATTAGATTGTCTAAATCCTTGTGATTAGAGCCTGGAGTTTGTACCACAATGTGTTGTGGCACTGAAACCTCCATTCAACTAAAATCTAATGGCCAATGTATTATTATTATTATTGTTATTATTTTTATTATTATTATTATTGCTATAAAAGTTCAGTAATAACAGCAGACATGTCATGAATACACAACTGAAGGCCATTTTTACATGAACCCTATAATAATGTTCATCTCATTTATTTAATTTGGAATAAACGACCACATCAGTAAATTATTTTTGCATTATTGTTTACATTTTCTATTTTTTCTTCTACATAATACTGCTTACACAAACTAAGTAAACCCAGTAAATGGATTAACCCTTTCATGCATGAATTATGAAACATTCAACTAGAAATTTTTAAACTATGTTTTCATTCATCTTTAGGCATGAATTAAACAAATTTAGATTAAAACATTTAATTTACAAATAATTTATTACGTGTCCACCTCAGTGGACAGCATACGTTCTGAACATGACGTGGAGATGTCATACGGATGTGAGGCCTCAACCAGCCCAACTATTAAAAAAAAGATTAAAAGCAGAATGAAACTTTGCAAAGATCCATTTCCATTATTACTTCTATTTGACAGCTGTATGTGCCAGAGGCATAATTTTATTTAGCAAGAAGGCAGGTTTCTCAAAACATTTGTGGACATTTTGACTCCAAGAAATGTTTTGTCTGGAACTCTGTAGCCTAGACTAATTATAACACTGATAATCAATTTCCAGCCTCAACACAATCAAATCCGTTTTATACTCATTTAGCTTATAAGAATATAAACTATTTTTGTATTTGTTGGTTGTGGAATGTAAGGTCATCGTGGTTTAATATGTTTAGAGTCATTTCCACTTTATTTGGGACACCTTCAGTCTTTGTGGCAAAGACCAGTTCAGCTTGTGGAGACAAACCAAATATACTAGTGGAACCAGTTTACCCATTCTCATAGGAGGCATCACAGTTCTGCCTCTCAATGTGTAAACCCTGGGGTAGTTGTGGGTGAAGCTCCCAGTAGATCAGCGAGGTCTAAAATTCTTTGGAACGTTGAAACTCACCCAATTCCCTCTTCTTTGCCCATTCTGATGCTCATGTTGAACTTTGTGTTTAATGATGCTTAAATAGCCTACACTGAGATGCTGCCATGTGATTGGCTAAGTAGATATCTGCTTGCATTAAAAGAAAGCAGTTACAACGGGTGTAGCTGAGGCCAGTGAGTGTCTGTGTATGGAAACAACCCACAGTTAGAAATCAGAAATGCTTGAACACACACTCAGCTCGTACTTTTATTTTGAAATTGTCAAACCGGTTCACCAGGCAGCAGTTAGAGCTGGTGTGTCTCCTAAAGCCTTCAAATTAACCTTCCTGCTGTTAAGGAGTGGTTTGTGTTCTGCTGGATACCAAAACAGGCCCAACTAGTTCCTTTCTTTTTCTTTTTTAACTACTAAAGACATTTTACCCTGGAGATGTGAGGCTGTGTGATTGTTAGTGACGTCACACGCGGCAGCAGCGGGAGCGTCGCGATTCTCCGCCCCCTTAAAGTCCACCTGTTGGACCACCTGCGAAGCGGTTCTGACGGGAGGTTAGCACGCGACCGCAGCAGCATGGGAGGTAGGAGATTACAGTTTGTGGTGTTTTATTCTGAAATATTTCACGTTTGAAGGCGTTTTAAGGTTAATTATGTGGTAAATAAACTAGAATTCATTAGAATCTTTCTGTTCTTGGGTTGACTGTTCAAAACAGTGATCATTAGCCTATTTAATAACCATTGTGAAAAGATCATGTGGAAATGAAATCAAGATAAAAAATTGCTGGAGAATGTGACACAGTGAAACAAAGATTTCCCCAAGAGCCAATGAATAGTGAAACAGGGAGTGTGCCCTGTGAGACATGATTAATGTTAAATGGCAACAACTCCTTTAAACCAAACATTTGCTCTATCATAGTTTCAGCCTGGTGCAACTTTCTTCAGCTTTTGGCGTTTTCCAGTATCTGTCAAAGACAGCTGAAGTAAATACAGATAGCTGTTCTCTGATTATTTCATTCACGAAAACATCCAAACCAGTCTAGTCCTGTGTGAAAAGTGTACAAGCCACCTTGAATGACTGGCTATAACGTCCTTGGTGGCTTTTGTGATGAGTGTCTTTCTCTGTGGAGGAATTTTGTCCCACTCTTTAGAAAAGTTTTAAATCTACTACAATGGAGAGTTTCCAACACGAATGACCTGTTAAGGGTCAAAGTTTGGATGTTTTCCTTCAGAATTTTCAGAGCAGATTCCATGGTTCCAGGTTGTCTGTAGGGCAACATAGCATCCCCGACCATCACACTGCTGTTGGTGTGATTTTCACACCTGGTGTGTTAAAAAGTTCCATTTTTCTTTCATTAGTCCTCTGAATATTTTTCCTTGAAGTGTTGTGGATCATCAAGATATTTTTATGCTTTTGTGAGACAGGTCTTTACATTATTCTTACTGAATTATGAACTGCGACCTTAAAGATGCAAATATTTATATTTTTAAATCATTTTCCTGAGCCAGTATGTACTGAAATGTCCCTTTACAGAGTTAATGAAAGGTCACCCAGCCTCTATCTCCCTCTGTGGCCAGAATATTCCACTTGCAACATCAGAGTTGACATTAAGTTGTGCTGGACTTAGAAAAAAATGGAGCTGACATAACTGCAGTCTGCTTCCAGCACATTTCCTGCATGTTGTAGATCGTGAACACAGCTGATTTGTTTATTTAGTGGTGAATCACTCCTGTAGTCACTAATGAAGGCTAGGGAGACTTTTCAGCTGTTAGATTAAAGTTGCAGTGTGTAGTTTCCAGCCACCAGAGGGCAATGCATACATACATTTCTGGTTAGTTTTACACCACATCTTCCTGTCTGTTGCTAGCTAAAAAAATTACATTAAATTAAATGTAACCTGTGGAGCAGAAAGAATGCGACCTTGGCGTGACTCCTCAGACTTCAGTAAATTCCATAAGAGAATGCAATTCCAATTGTAGTTTTCAGGCGCGGTACTTTCGGGACCTGCTTGGGGGCTTGATGCCGATGACATCAATTTATTACGGCAATACTGCTCAGTCAAAATATATTCCATCTCTTTTTCAAATCTGTTTTTATGCATGTTTTGGAAAGAGTTTAGCAGTTTTGTTACTAAATTCGTGTTTCTTACTGCCTAAATGTTTTTGAACGAGGTAATGATACTTCCAAAAGCTGTATGTTCAGCCAGTGATCTGGTGTGACGTCATCAACAGGCACAGGACCCCAAGCTGGCCAGGAGGAAACATGGTGTCCCGCAAAGAGGCTAGACCCACACCTTATGTACTTTAGACCTGATTTTGTGGTTAGATGGTAAGAAGCTGCCAATATTTTTCAACAACATATTCATGGATAATTCCAGAGACTAAAGGTAAAAACTACTGATGGTCTCTTTTAGATGTTAAAAGGACAAACGCACAGTGAGGAGAGGTTTTGGTTCTACTTAACGGACACTAGGGGGTGCTAAAAGCAAGCTAAAACTGCTTAGTCTCTCTTTAATTTGAGATATTCATTTTATTCTTAATAGTGATCATTTTTACAACAAAAATGCTTTTTAAGTATTTTAGCCAATTCATGGTGTTAAATTTGATCTCTTTAAATTATTTCTTACTTCTACAGATAAGTGTTGCTGATGAAACTGAACTAAGCTTTCTAAATAATGGTATTAATCACAGGTAACTCATAATTCTAGTATTCCATATAGGTTGGTTTTGATACAATTTTTCTATTAATGAATGAATACTTTTGCACAGCACTGTGGGCATATCCAGAATGTTTTCTCTTTCTAGCAGTTGCCCACAGATGAGCATATTGGGACTATTGTGATGTTTGAACTCATACAGAGAACATCATAGTGGCCAGAAAGTTCTGAATGACCCGGACTGTTCAGACTGATGACAGTGTGGAAGTCTTCAATGAAATAATATTAGTGGTGGAACTTTTCAGGTTAGTCTAGTGAGTAAAAAAAAAAGTACGGGTAAATGGAACAGATAAAATGCCTCCACATCCTGACTAAACCTTTCATTTTAGCAGATGACAAGCTGCTTGGTGTCACAATGAGTGAGCTTTATCAGAGGTTTACATTCTGGGTGAGTTTAGTTTAAAATAATAAAATAAAATAAATGTAGTTCACATTGTGTGGTTTCTTTTTACTGATGTTTCCTCAAAATCAGGAAAAGCTGCACTAGATGCACAATATTCAGGTGAATCATACCTAAACTTAAGAAAACTTAAGAATTATCCGGTTCTGCAGCTGCAGCCTGCAGCTACTCTATGTGCTGGAGAAAATCTGGTAAATATAAATAAAGGAAACCCCAAATGAAAAGCTGCTGTCATTATTTTTGGGACAGCTCAATGCCCCCATGCTGTTATCAAGCTAACACATTAGCATGTGGCAAAATAATCAGACATGTTGGAAATTAATAATAATCAGCAAATCACTTATAAAAGCATTGGAAACGTGGGCTTATTGAATTTGTCCAATAATCTTGCCTAAAATAACAAGTTGACATTAGCATTGGCTGCATGCTAATCTCTACATTAATTTCATTTAATTTCCTAGATGCAAATGCAACAAGTGACGGTTAAATTAGGATTCTTGGTTGGACTGGGATTTGGCCTGTATGACCTAGTGCAGTGGCTCACAACCTATTATCCTGGACTCCCTTGCCTGTGATCAAAACAGGCCAGGCCCCCAAACCCCAACTCCTTCCTGCATGCAGACATACTAAGAGATTATTTACAAACCTTATACAAGCATACTGAGTTTTGATTTGCCATTGGGTATGTTATTGGGATTGTATAAATGTAATAATTACTAATATATATCTTGGTAACCCTGACAACCTCATCACAGACAAAATTGTGGACCCAGGTTGGGAGCCATTAACCTATTGGCTTGACTCAAGACTTAACTTGGTCTACGCTGGGGTGTGTTCGAACTCAAGAGCTGTGTCCTTCAAAGTGGCGACCTGCCTGGTCAATGTTGGCCGGGTCCATGTCCCGAAGCTGTGAATTTGGACAGTCTAGCCTTCAGATTTCTTCCTGCCACTTCTTTGGTGAAGGTCCTGTCACCTGTCACCTAGCATGACTGCCCTGAGCAGAAGCTACAGAGAATGAAGCTCAAATCAAGTATTACATTTTTTTAATTATTATTTTATTGTTTAAAATGACTTAAAAATTTTTATATAAATGACTGAAGCCCTACATCTTAAACTTATGCTTACATTAACCCCTTAAGCCCTAGGCCTATTTTGAAGCCTATTCCTCAAAAAATGGTAAAAATGGTATTTAATGGTAAAATAGTTTAGATAGCCTTGTAGTGCTGGGTTTGCTGATTAATTTGATGGGAGCTACCATTTCTTCTGTAGTGTGAGGGTTGTTTTGGGCCTGTTAAGGAACTAATGTCACAGACAACAAACTTTAACCATTGTGTGAAAAATCTTCTGTTCGGCCCGCAATGCATTTTGGTGACCTGTGAAGGATACACCAGACCCGCCTTCAAACAAGGGGGGGGGGGGGGGGGGAGAGACAAGAGGACTGGGTTCATGGGCCACATTTAAAGGAGTCTTTGAATTTGGACAGGCCTTCGTCACGGCGCTGTGAGGTAACTGGCCTTCAAATCCGGCTGAGAAGGATGCAGCCCCTGAATGTGGACACTCCCTTGGAAGTGCACTTGGACTGGAACACTAAGGACTCAAATATGACTTGAACTCAATAGATGGAGGCTTGACGACAACACTGACTTGTGCACAACCTCCCCTCCCACCTTTTGAATTTAACTCGCTCTCGCCCACCAAAACGACAAAGCTTAGAGATTTTAGCTTTAGTTTCAGAACATTGATGAGGTCACATTTATTCCATGACAAAGTCATGTGTTTGGCTCATCCAGTCCTTTTTTATGTATAGAGCACTTATGCGCAACAAGTTCGGCCAAAGAGCCTTGGGGTCATGACCAGAGAAGATCCACAAAACACTGAACTTCAAGCAGCTGAAAGTGGAAATGTCTTCAGCAACGAGTAAAAACCCTAAACTGAAACATGTGATGTCTGTTGCTCCTGCTGCTTTATATAAACCAAGAAAGAACCTTGGAAGCATAAAACTTAAGAATTATCCGGTTCTGCAGCCTGCAGCTACTGTATGTGCTGGAGAAAATCTGGTAAATATAAATAAAGGAAACCCCAAATGAAAAGCTGCTGTCATTATTTTTGGGACTAAAATTTGTTTCTTTTAGCTATGATTTATCAAACATGCCATAAAGATTCACTTGTTGAAAATGGAATCTCCTTGACACGGTTTTTTGCAAAACTCCACCCATTTATCCAGTTTCAGCTGCTTATCCGGGGTCGGGTCGTGGGGGCAGCAGCCTCACTTTCATCAATGCGTCCCAGTGGCTTGGGCTACATGGTGGCGCAGTTGTTAGCACTGCTGCCTTGCAGCAAGAAGGTTGCAGGTTTGAAACCTGGCTGCGGTCATTCTGCATGGAGTTGCATGTTCTCGCTATGCAGGTGTGGGTTTCCTCTGGGTACAGATCAGAACATGCCCTTTAGGTTAACAATTGTACGCTTTGGATAAAAGCATCTGCCAAATAAATAAACATAATATGTATCTTATCATGTGTGAGTGTGTGTTTGAGTGAATGACTGGATGTATTGTGAAGAGCCTTGGGGGGTTGTAGAACCCTAGAAGGCGCTGCACAAATACAAGCCATTTACCATTTTATATGTAAAGCACTTTGGAGTCCCTGACTTGGAGAGTAATTTACAAATGAGCAATAAATGTCCAAATGTGTCTTCACACGCCTTCATTGTAAAAGTTTTGTTTCAAAACATTCTTGAAAAACTAAAACAAGGAAAGAATTTTTGTTGAAATTAAAACAAGAATGGGTTGTTTTCACAGCGAGTTACAACGGGAGGGAGAATTGATTTTCATAAAACCACATATTCAAATGTGGTGGAGGAAGATGAAGCGTTTAGATTTTAACGTGAAACACAACAGGTGTGCTCATTGTTCTCCCTGCCACCTTCTCTCAGGTGTTTATTCTAGTAAAAAGATGGCCGACATCTTTGCCTACGAGAGTTCCGATATTGACTGGTGTGAAGACAACTACAGGCACTCAGAACATGTGGTGGAGTATTTCAACACAGTAAGTTCTGCACAAACCTTTGCACCAGAAGTGAATCAGCACCAAAGTTTCCTCTTTTTTTTTTTTAATCGACTGATTGATCGATGAGCATCTTCCTCGCAGATGAGCAACTTCTTTTTCTTCATCATATCTCCCATCATGCTCTACCTGCTGCATCCATACGCCAAAGAGAGGAACATGGCTATCCACCTGGTCTGGGTCATGATGATATTTGTTGGTGAGTTTCCGTGCTTGTTGATGTCACACACACACACACACACACGCACGCACGCACGCACACGCGCGCGCACACACACGTGTAGATTGATCATTGTCATCTCTAAACCTCACGCTACACTTGAAGATAAGTCATGCATCCAGGCAGTTGTTTTTTTAAATGTGTCATCATGGTTTAAAATGAAATATTAAAACATGAATCAGGATTATTATTCTTTCAGGTTATTCTGCAGGAGTTCAGTCATTCTTTTCTATTTATTTTGATAATTTACTTAGATGAGTTTGATAAACCGTTTATGACCTGACTGGTTCATATTTTAGAAGACAAATGACAAAATCTAAATTGTCTTAGTTTGTGTTCCTACATCCACTAAACATGACTTATAGAGTCTGTTGGGGTTAATTAAGTCAACATTTGATCTGTAAATATGTATCGTATGCCCATCTAGCAGAATTGATGCAAGAAATTGGCTTTTAAAGCCCTCCATCGTCTGTGGAAGTTGTTGGAAATCTTTAGATGAGATGGTTATCATCAGATTTTACCCTGGAAAATTTAGATTTGTTTTAAAACTATAACAAAATAGGGAAGTCTCGTTTCAATATCGACATCGGAAGTCATTTGATATTGGCCCAAAAACAGTCTATTGGATTTATATCGGACGGCATCAAAAAGCTTTGAAATAAGCAGTCCGTTAAGGTTCTCATTTTTGCAACCAATGGTTGAGAAAAGATTGTCATTTTTTTCATACTTACTGTTATTGGCTCTTCTCCGATTGAGTAATATCCCTAATATCAGTAATCAGTAATATCATATACTTGGGCTGCAGTAGCTCAAAAGTTTGAGCAGGTTGTTCAGTAATCAGAAGGTTTCAGGTCTGATCCCGGCTCCAGACAGAGAATTCTGCTGTTGTGTCTTTGGGCAAGACACTTAACCCACCTTGCCTGCTGGTGGTGGTCGGAGGGACCGGTGGCGCCTGTGCTCGGCAGCCTCGCCTCTGTCAGTGCGCCCCAGGGCAGCTGTGGCTATTTCGTAGCTCATCACTATCAGTGTGTGAATGTGTGTGTGAATGGATGAATGGTACACTGTAGTGTAAAGCACTTTGGAGTCCTTACTCTGAGAGGCCCTATACAAGTGCGGCTCATTTATCATTTATCACTTGATCAAGCCTTTCATACATTCCACACTACGAAATTTTCGTGTTCCGTGTCCTTGTAGCCCCCAGCCCTTTTTTTGTCCCCAGCTCCCTCCAGGTTTTCCTCATGTTCTCTTAAACTTGGTTTATGCTCGACGCGTCCGCGAGGTTCGCACGGCTCCGTGCGGCAAAATTGCATAATTTTAACAACCACGCCCCTCCACCTGGCCTCCGCACGGCCCAAACTTTCCGCACCGCGCACCTAGGAAATTTTCTAACCACGCAGATGGTCGAACACAGAAAAACATGGCGGACTGGCAAGAACTAGTATGGCAGAGGTTCGTAAATACAGACATTTGTATGATTCAGCTCTCAGAGATCACCATGATCAACATGTTGTTAATAATTCTTGGAGAGAAATAGCTCGCACTGTTGGAAAAGACGAGGACGCTGTTAAAAAATGCTGGAATGCCATGCTGTAATCAGGTTGTAATCAGTAATTTCTACTTCTACTATGGTGTAGTGTTGGATGCAAGCCGTAGAGCTCCATGCTGCCCCCCACAGTTTGGGAGAATATTGGCTCACCGCAGAGACTAGCCGCATGAACCATAAACGCTGCAATTTGTGAAGCGCATTCCATCCGCGAGCCGCATCACCAAGCGGAAAGTAAATGTGTCGAGCATAAACCAAGCTTTCTCTTAGTCTTCCCACTGTAGTTTCTATAGGTCCATTATTTCAGTTCCTTAGTCTCCTTTAGTGTGTGTGTGTGTGTGTGTGTGTGTGTGCGTGCTCCCCAGTTAGGTCTGGTTTCCTCCCATGCTCCATTCTGCTCCTCTGTTATTAGTTTCACCTGTGCCCAGTTCCCCACGCACCTGCTCCTGGTCTCCTATCACCCCAGCCCTGTGTATATAACCCTGTCTGTGTCTCCAGTGTTTGTTGGTTCATTGTCTTATGTCAGCGTTGCTTTGTCCTCTACAGATTTATAGTTCCTGGCTCATGAGTGAGCTTTTGGTTTTCGTCTATAGAACTTTAGATATTCTTGTGCTTAGAGTCCTACAGTCTTGGTTTTCCTAATAAAAGGATTTTTATTTTAAACAACCTCTCCAGCCTTGAGTACTGTGGTGTTCTGCGTTTTGGGTCCAGTCCTCCTGCGCTTGCAGCGTGACAGAAATAGGTAAAAGTATGTTTGATTTCTGCTGATATCGTATCGAATTGATATCGGTATTGGTCAATACTGAAGGCTGCGATATCTGTATCGTATCAGAAGTTAAAAAGTTGTACTGAAACATCCCTAAAAGCATTCATTTTTCATCAGTTGGGGCAAACTTTTATCTGCATCTCTGCTATTTTCTTTCATGTCAGTTATAATTGAAAGCCTTTAATAAGTGAATGTTCACTTGTGTGTTTGCCCACCTCTCCTCATCCATCCTTTGCTCTGCAGGGCTCTTCTCTGCATACTTCCACATGACTCTCAGCTTCGTGGGTCAGATGTTGGATGAGCTGTCGATCTTGTGGGTGTTGGCTGTTGGATACATGGTTTGGTTTCCACGTAAACACTTTCCTTCGTTTATTAAAGACCGGTATGTTTGACCCTGTGACAGGTGATGGATCTGGTCTTAATGTCTGTTTTTTTTTCCAGAGATCTAATTCCAGCGTTAACCTACAGAGGCCTTAATAACACTTTAAAAATTAAAATTGAAATCATTTCCTCCACAGTGAAACCTAATCTGTACTGGCTGAGCAGTTTGTCACTCAACCCTGACAGGAAACATTATTCTATAGAAATAAAATGGATGTGACAGAAGCTGCTAAAATGGAGCTCCACCCAACTTGTTTAAATATTTACCTACTGCATGGGAAGCCATTAAACATTTATAAGCACCTGAAAACTATCTTAGAGTAACATTTCCAGTATTTCTAGTAGGTGTGTTTGATTTTGAACATGTTTAGGTTGAAGATTTTTATGCTAATCTGTCGACTTTGTCTCTAAATCCTAATTTTGCCCTTCTTCAGATTACCACATCGGTCAGGATGATGCTGAAACTTTGTCTCAAAACTTCTCCTTTGACTTTCCAACCTCAGGTCCACATTTTCTAAACTGGTCCTGCTGATAACCGTCGTCGCCACGGTGTCGTCGTTTGTCAAACCCACCGCCAACGCCTACGCTTTGAACTGCTTCGGTCTCCACTTCCTTTACATTCTGGCTGTGGAGATGAGACGGTGAGACATGAACCGCGCAACACCCAGCTCTGTTACCTGGATGATTTTCAGAGTAAATAAAAGTACATTTTTCAATCTCAGCTGCACTGACCAGAAGGCTCTGCGTCTCGCCAAGCAGTCAATGGCTCTGTGGGTGCTCGCCATCTCCTGCTGGCTTAGTGACCGATTTAGCTGCAGTTTCTGGCAGAAGATGAACTTTTGCTACCTACACAGCATCTGGTAAGTCTGGATGGATTCTGTCATGTTTTTAATGACGTTTCCTTAATGTTTTATGTCTATCAGTGGTGCCAAATATTGCCATAGCTGTGCTGGGTTGAAGCTCAACAGTCCATGCTTCTGACAGCATTCTAAAGATGATAGACCAGTAGGCTGCAAGGGTCCGACATAATCAAAGCGTGCGCTAAATCAGCAGGAGTGTTTTGACATCTAAAAGACATTATCAATAGATTTAAAAAAGAGATTTAGGAAGAGAAAGTTGGATACATTGAAAGAGGTAGCACAGTGTAATGGACAAGGACCAAGGCAAACAGTAGTGGAGTGATCTGACCCATCCCAATGGAGGGGAGCGGTGGCTGCGATTGGGAACTATAATCCAACCCCCTTAACCCTCCCACTGTCCTAATGGGTGTGACCCTGCGAGGAAAGTTGACCATTGAGCAGGGTTGATGGTTTATCCCTTGTGTCCACGTGGCAGGGGTGAGGAGTGAGCACCACCTCACCCCTGCCACGTGGACCTCAAGGGATAAACCACCAATCCTGCTCAATGGTCAACTTTCCTCACATAGTCACCCATAAAGACAGTGAGAGGATTAAAAGCAAAGTGTCAAGCAGGGAGACGTTGGGTCCCATTTTTTAAAAATCTTTTGTATGACCCGACCGGGAATCGAACCCTGATGTCCCAGTCCCAGGGCCGACACTCTCACTAGGCCACTGAGTGGTTAAGTGGTTACGGAAGTTTTAGGAGAGGTATGTGAAAGTTTAATCCATGAAATAAAATTAGGGCCATATCAGATTTCTTTAAATAGACAAATTAATTTCCCCATTCCTATCAAATGCGTTCTCTGCATCCAGCTGGCATCAGGTATTACGTCGGATGCAGGAGAGTGGATGACATTTAGAAGCGGACAGACATTTGGAAATGAATGACGGTTTAAAATATGTATGTATTGCCTTTAATGAGGCACTCATTTTATTACAATTTAACAGGGCTCAATATTTGCCCTATGATCGGCTGTCATAGAGGGAACCTGAAGGTGTCTGAAGAAATGTCCCATGTTAAAAAAGAGAGTTATGTTTTTTGTCAAAATCTTATAAAGGTCTTTCCTGTCTCCTCTTCCAGGCACATTCTCATAGCGGTGACTGCAGCCCACAGCAGCACGCTCATAGCATACATCGATGCCAACAGTGAGATACCTTATTCTCTACCAGGACTTCAGTACTGGCCCTGCGATAAATGGGCTGTGGGATTTCCTTACATCGTCCTGAAGACCACCTCCAAATTACAAAAACGGTGCTGAAAAAAAAAACGTATGAACTTTACTCGGCTGTTGAAAGTTTGGGGAAGGCTCATCAGAGTGAACGCCTTTGGCTGGAGACTGAATTTGTGATTCAGACATCCACAAAGACATTGATGCAATTTAAGAGAAATAAATTAAAAAGTATTTTCTCTAAGAGAGGTAAAATAAAAGGTATTTGATCCAGGATGACTCACAAATCCAGGCTTAAAGCATTCATCTCCGCATTTCACTTTTTAATAGAGTTGCACTTTTACTTGGAGAATATCTGAAAACATGAAAACAATCAAAAAAACAAATATATATATATATTTATATACACTATAAAGCTGGTTGTAAATAATGTATTCCTGTCCATTTCATTCATTTAATACTTAAAATACAAGTCACAATGATGCATTACAGCAGAAATACTGTATCAAAAGATACCTACAGGATAAAAAATTATGATTAATTTAAATACAATTAATTAAAATTCAAAAAATCTTCCATATTGGGAAGAGGGTTAATGAATTCTAACTTTAATCAAAATAAAAAAAGGTCAGAATTCTAAGAAAAAAGTAAGAATGCTTTTTTCTTTTCAGTGGCCCTAATCCTCTTCCGTAGCTGTCACATAATAAAATATAAATAATAGAATCAGAGCATAAACAGGGTTAACTGTATTATTTACCATTACATCGGCCTCACCTGCAGAATCTATTTGTTATTTTTGTGGAAAAAGTATTTTTTTTTTACTTTTAAAGCATCAACACTTCTGTCAAGCTTCACTGACAGTTTTAAAAACAACTGATCAATGTTTCAGTTGTCTTTTATGTGGCAGCAAAGGACTAAAAAATTCTAGCTTTTTTTTTACTTTTCCACTTTATAAACCATAAGTGAACATTTACAACTCAAACAGGTAATAAAATATGACATGAATATTATTTTTATCATCAGAAAGATGAATTTTAGATGATTAATCATCTGAATTATCGTTTGGGAATTTTACAGTGAAAGAGAAAATAATAGAAAATTTAAAAATCATGAAATAAATCAAATTACTGTTACAAAACGATTCTCCAACGCCAACTATAAGAGAATAAAATGTAACCAGAATTTGAATAAAACTGTGTTTTATTTTAGAAGCAATGTGTAGGCCTGCATGTTTTGATTTAAACCAAGTTGGCTGTAATGCCCCATGACCTTGGAACCAGAACACAAACTGAGCTGTTTCATTTTGACAAGTGTGACCAGAAAAATGTTAACATACCGAGTGATTCTCTGATCTTTTATTGAACAACACAGATCCTCTGAAATATGACTAATGACTAATCAGTCTTTTTTTTTAAGATTGGTACTTGATTAAAAAAATAATACATGTTTTGTTTTGTTCTACCTGGTGATGTGTGGGAATATTCAGGGACAGTCTGCCTTTGTTCACGTGACCTTTCCTGTAGCCTAAACAAAGAAGCACCCAGGTGTACAGGCGTCTTGTGTCAAACAGCGATCTCTTGTGGGCAATTGGCGAATTACACAGGTCACTAAGATCACGGTAGGTGTGGGGGTATTTTTACAATTCATTCATACATTTGAATGATTTGTATGTTTTCTCTTTCAACTTTTGTTTTAACTGAATCAGATACCTTACAGAACGGCACTTGACTGATTTGTTATTTTTTCTAAGTAGCCATGTTTTATTAAAAAAATATCTTTGTGAAAAATGTGTGAAATTTGTTTAGTTGACTTACTTTACTTGACTATTTGTTTCATTTAAAAATAAAAGATTTACACACACACACACACACACACGACAAGAAAACAGGACATTTTGTCCTAACAGACATAAACTGCATGAGCACCATCAGTAGTCTAATTAATCTTAATCAAAGGTCTAACTTTAATATTCATCCCATTCACTATTATTGATACTTTTGAAGATGTCATCTTGATTTCATCATGCCATGTCTTAGCGGTTCCTGAGTTTGTTTACACAGTGAACAATTCAAACGGGTCAATCCAAACCATTAGCTCACAGCAGGAGCAGAGTGCACATTTAGCACTATAGGTCAATAAAATTAAATATATATGTTTAAGTAAATATTAAGTGTTTTTGTGTGCAGGTTGTTTGTTTAGTGTAAAGATAAATGTATTACTCTAATAACACAGCTTTGCAGACAATTGAGTGCTCGGCAGTGTGTAAACAGTCATTTGTTTAATTTGGCTTAAGTTCACCTTGAAGCTAATGATTCAGTTAGACCACATGCATGAAACGACAGGTCAGATTTAGATCTCTGATGGTGAAAGTGACTGCCTTAGCCACAAACAGCTGGGGATGAAGATGCAAGAGGATAAAGGGATACATAAAATATCTGTGTTTTTTTATGTAAATTCTACTTGTTAAACTGTTTTAGAACATGTGCATGTGTGAGTAAAAATATCCAACTCCACGCATTGAAGAGAAGGATTTAAAGTTTGAAACCATCGTGTCTGGCAGCCAGGTGGTACCATTTCCCTTATATTTCCTTGTAAGGCAGGCTGGATCAGTGTGAGCGGTGGAAGAAGGGAAGGCTCCAGTGGTGGTGACCTTCTGTCACATAGCTGCGGCCTGATAATCTCACATCAAAGTCTGAGAGCTGGACAGTTTGGCTGCAGTGGGCCCTTGCCCTCCAAGTGTGCAAAAGAAATCAAAAGACCTATGACTGACTGCCTTTATGGATGAAACTACTGAGCTTTAGCTGGTATTTGGGTGAGATGAGACATATATGAGTGACATTAAAGCACAGTGTGCATACTGGTGTTCTCAACTTTAGCTTATATCATGACATAATTATGAATTGAGATATTTTTCCACCATCACCTAACATTCTTAAGTGCATTATATGAATACCATTATTTAGCATTATGTGTGATTGATTTTCCACAACAGCAAAAAAGAAAAAGCTATCTTCCAACCCTGATTAATCAATTATCATCGTGTGCGTTTTATAATTGAAACTGAGCTGGAGCCATTGGGACTTGACTGCTGTCACTCGAGAAAACTACCCCAAAGTGCTTCAATTGTATTTGCAGTTTCCTCGTTGTCCCGCCATCGCCTCACTCTGATTGGTTCAATTCAAGACGGCTTGAATTTACCACGCTGTGATTGGCCCAGAGAGCTTTCTGTTTTGGTCCCCTGCCAGCAGCCGTCTGGAAGAGGAGGGGAGCCGTCTGCCTTCCGCTTCTGGGCTGGATTGACACACAATGAGGAGCAGAGGCAGGGGAGACGCTCCACAAACACCGCTGTAAATAAATACAACAATCACTGAGGCCAGATAAACATGGAGAACCAGGTACAGTAGGGTTTCCGCCTCCTTTCGGAATAGGAGCTTTCCACAGTGAAAATGACGGCGGGCTAGCGAGGGAAGGAGTCAATCCTCGTTTCTGTTGCTGTTGGACTCGTAGTTTTTGGGCTCTGGAGCTATGCTAGCTGTGCGCTCATACATCGGTATTTACACCATTCAGCACCGCTGCATCGCTGTAGCCACATCCAGAGACACAAAGAAACCCCCGCTTGGTGTTTATTCTACTTCAAAACCACATGCATGCTGTTAAACATTGCAACAGTGCTTTTGAATCGAGGTTTTGTTGTAGCTAAGCTAAGCTAATTATGAGGAGAGTGTCGACTGTGGGCTAAAGGCTAAGGAGCCGCTACAAGGCGAAGGGGGAACAGATTTGTCCTCCCCGGGCTGCTGGTGCTGGGTGTTGTCTCCACTGCCCGCGGCCTGACACCTAAAGTCTGGGCTGATAAAATCACGCATCTTACCAGAGACTGGGACGTATATTAGAACTATTTGTCCACAGTGGGTTAACATATACCGCATCCACGATGGTAGATGGTACATTGCATGCTGCATGGAAGAAAATCTGTCAGAAACTGCGTGTGTGTCATGTGTGAATCAGCCTTGGTGGCTGGTTGTTAAAAAAGCCACAATATATTTCTTAAAAGAGCTAGTCTGCAAACCACTTTTAGTTGACTAGTGTGCTTAAATGTGCACATTTAAGGTCAATGCCACTTAAAAAGCTACATAATTCACTTGGCAGATGCATTAAATTATATGTCTGCCCACCAAAGTAGCTGCAGCCCCAGACTTCCTTAGAGCATGGGGTTATTCGAGGCTGTCCTTCAAAGGGTTAAACACCCCCTCTCTCTCTCTCTCTCTCTCTCTCTCTCTCTCTCTCTCTCTCTCTCTCTCTCTCTCACACACATACACACACACACACACACATGAAAAGTGGCTCAGCCACTTTGATAAAGCTCATTTCCATTCGGCGCTGACCCCTTTGAAGTTTTAACCCCATCTGTAAAAGTGCATTCAGAGGAAGTCGTCATCTTCAAGTCAAAAGTGAAGTGTAGTTTAGTGATGCACGTGCACGTGAAGGTCTTTCAGTCATGTTGCACAAACCTGTGAAGAAGATAACCACATCTGATTGTGAGCACTATCCATGTAACCTTTATGGGTTACATTTTAGTGTGCGTTTACTTACACGAATGTTAAAAACACAGAACCGTTGCTAAGTTGTAGTTTTATTTAACTAAAAGAACACAGCATGCAACTGATTAAATCAGTGTCAAAGACAAATGATTAAAATTTACAACTAGTGATGACGTTAAAAACGGTTTGGTACTTAATTTAAACAGTTGGTGTGAAAGGTCATTTTTAAATGACACATTTAGACTTTTAACAAAAGTGATAGACAGCCTCTGATTTACAGGCTCTCATGGCAAACATGCAAGTCTAAAACTTTCTTATTTAGGTAGATTTGTTGTTGCTTAAGATCTGCTGTTGAGGATTTGTTGTCGTTTTTAAGATCTGCAGTTTATGATCCTGTTACGTTTCTTTTCATTTCTGAACAAGTCTAACTTCTCTCATGTTTAATCATTGTATTGCCAAGACAAATTGCAGAGTTACTGGGTTACACTTTATCTTATTAAATTTAAATATGTTTTTAGGAGTATTGTATCACAACAGGATAGTTGCATGATTTCTACGAGAGTTTTCTTGAGTCCAGATGTGTATGCATGATCACAGCTGCTAGGACAACAGGTCAAGTGGTCATGCAACGTTTTATAACTCCCCACTCTCATTTTCACACCAAATTCCCAACACTCGTTTTCCTTGGGTTTTGTTGAAAGGGTATTTGCAAGCAGGGATTTCCCCCTTCCAGATCGATGTTTTCTTCTCTGTCTGTGCGATGTGGCTTGTTAACGTTGAGAACGATGACAACATTGGTTGACGCTTCTCACTGTGTGAGTCCTCCCAGGAAAACTTTCCTGCATTTATTTCAATCATTTATTAGCTGGAAGAGATAAAGTGGCTTTATTTACATGGCAGCCGGGAGTTAATTGTTTTCATGGGAGCCAGCATGTCTGCCAAAATTTGTATTTCCCCTCAACCAGAGCAGTGCTCGTGAGAGGAAGAGCAAGGTTGTGTACACATTTTGACAGTTTTAGCAGCTTTGTGTTGTTTGTTTGGGAATGCTGTTTGTTGTGTTTGGTAGAAGTCTGCAAAGGAAGTGTTTTTTTTTTTTTGTAAATAGGTTGACCCTTTGTTAGGGCCAGCAGCAGCTCAGGAGGTAAAGCAGGTTGTCCAGTAATCCGAAGGTTGTAGGTTCGATCCTGGCTCCCGCCAGAGAATGCTGCTGTTGTGTTATTGGGCAAGACACTTAACCTACCTTGACTGCTGGTCGGAGGGACCGGTGGCACCAGTGCTTGGCAGTATCGCTCCCAGTCAGTGTGCCCAGTGTAGCTGTGGCTACATTGTAGCTCATCATCACCAGCGTGTGAATGTGGGTGTGCATGGGTGGATGACTGATTTTGTTGTGAAGTGCCTTGGGGGGTTATAGAACTCCAAGAAAGCGCTGTACAGATACATGTCATTTACCATTTGTTTTATGTAGACATTTCAGTATTTCCTGAGTATTTTTGTAAAATAATTTAGCTAAACCGTGTTTAAAGGTACAATAAGTAAGAATTTTACAGTGAAATTATTCCAAAACAGTCTAACGTCTCATTCATGTTGGAAGGAAGGTTACATTGAAACAGATTTCCTTCCCGGCCGGCTGGGGGGATGTCCATTTATCTCATTTCAAAAATCTAAATAGGAACATAGTCATTTAATGTGTTTATATGTGCATCAGAAAACCGAACTGTTGCCCTAAATAGATGGACTTTTTAAAATGCATGTAAACACGTTAGTCTTGCTGAAGGCAAACCGGTTCTTATCATGTTGAAGCACCCAGATGTAGGAAAATGGCGCAGTCTCACTGATATTGAAAACTTCTAGAAGCAACAAGACTGCAAAAGCGGTCTTCTGATAATAGGGTTGGGCGACGACATCATTCCACCAGCAGCGATGGGCTAAGCCATTATGGTTGATTTTACAAGAGGCTATTTGTTTGTTTGCCCATGAGTTAGTTTGTTAATGACAGATACTTTACACGTTACACACAGAAAACATTGCCAGGGGTGGACCTTTAAAGCGCCCGAGCGCCAATGGCGCTAAATTTTCTCGTCGGGCGGTAAATAATTGACGACTTACCGCCCGGGTGGCGCCCAAGCTTTATTTGTCATTTACACACCGGCTTTCACCTACGTCATGGCCCCGCCCTGTAGGAAGCTGCCGTTTTCGTTTCGCGCGCGTGAACCTGCGCGCCTCTAGCCACGTACTGCACTTGTACGATTCGTGCACGTCCTGCACGATTCTAGTTATTGTCACGTGAACTATAAGTTCACTATTAAAGACGAAGTGGAACCACGCTAGAAACACACAAGCACGCAGGAAGATCGCGCCACCACAGGGATTGGATTTCTTGATGAAATCTCCGGCAAAACGCTTTAAAACTGGTGAGGAGAAGCGAGACAGTTCGAAACGGTATGAAGCAGAGAAGCGTGTGCGTAGGTGGAATGATTCTTGGAGGTTTAAAGAAGACGGGAGGCGCGGAGAATGGCCGTATTTGAGTTGAGTAGCGGCTCGCCTGGAAAACAGACGAGAGCAGACGGAAGCAGCAGGGGGAGTGGCTGAAAGCCGGCGTTTAACGCCGGGGACACACCGGCCGCGGAAGCGCCCGAAGCGAATCGCTCACGAAGTCCGGCCGCTGCTCGCCGCTCCTCAGTTCAGATCAGACGCGCCCCATTCGAGGCGCGCCTCGGCTCAGCTGTAGTTTTTCTTTTAATTACTTGGTGTCCTCCATTTCCTCAGCTCTTTTCCTGTGTGTGTGTGTGTGTGTGTGTGTGTGTGTGTGTGTGTGTGTGTGTGTGTGTGTGTGTGTGTGTGTGTGTTTGTGTGTGTGTGTGTGTGTGTGTGTGTGTGTGTGTGTGTGTGTGTGTGTGTGTGTGGTGTGAACCAGTTGTTTCTGCCAGTTGAATCTCTTGGACTTCCCTACATGTGTAGCTCGGGGGTGACGATGGATGAAGATATCGCGTTAGCATTCACACTTGTTCAATTTTCAATTTTAATTCTGGTGCCTGTTAGCAGCAGAAACACATCCTCACGCGCTTGTGGATATCATATATTCTATATGAAAACATGACTGTAATAATAAGTAAAGGTTATCAGCTGTTCAGTGTGCTCATAGGAAACGTGACAAAAGAACACAACACATTTCTCCTTATGGCCTATATTGTTGTTATCATCAACATAACATGATTTACAGAATACATGTGACCAACTAACATTTCATGTTCTACCACCGGATGTTTGGATCAAAATGTGAACCAATCAGATCTTAGATCAGGTGAGAGCCAGGCGTTTCCCATCATCCTCTAGGTTTTGCAGCCGGTAGAGAGCAACTGCAGCGCCTTGCTCCAAAATCTGCGGCCGCCTTGATCTCACGAGGTTATCGATGCCTACGTATGCACGACGTCAGAGCAAGTCAGGTCAATTCGGACACAAATCTAACCGGCATGCACCGCTCGCCGATCACTGCTGGTCTACTCTGCGCAGAACTGGCTCATCTCGAACACAGTCAATGGCTTGAATACAGCAAAGCGGCGTTGGTGATGTACTGCGTTGTATGCCAGAAGTATGCGACGACAAAATCGTGTTTTGTTGAGGGAACAAACAAATTCAAACTTGAATACGATATTATGTTTGTGAATGTGTACAAAATAAAGGTTTGTTACATTTAAAACGGTTCAGTTGTTATTTTGACTCGTTTTGGCGGCTGACCAGTGGGGCCGGTAGATTCTTGGCAGGGCCGGTAAATATTCAGAGTTACCGGCCCGGCTGGCCGGTTGGTTTTGAAGTTAATGTCCACCCCTGATTGCGGAGGTAACAATCAAGAAAACATC